TCGATAAGAAAGTGTATCAATAGGAAAGTCCATCTTCGCACCTATAAAGCTCTTAATGGTTAGGCACCATCATATCCTAATGAGCTCACAGTGCCCTTTCATCCCTCTAACATGACCCTACTAGACTAATGGCCTGCTTGTGGTACCAAAAGGACCAGTAAGCAGGAAAAAAAAATTGGGATGAGATGAAAAAAAAAAATTGCTGAGAGTTGTGTAACTGCAAAACTCTTGTTGAGCCATAACAAGCTATAGAAAAACCAGTGAAGTCTTCAAAAGTTCATGGTGCCTTGCCCTTCTAACCCTCCATGCTGCTCAAAGTGTTTAGTCTCCATTTGGCAACACATAATGAATCTATAGGCACACAACTGTAGAAAAAAAATAATAAAAGCCTACATTGTGACTGTTTGGACAAAAGAAAATAGCACCTTCTTTGTCATTTTTAAAACTTTCTTGAGGGAACCTTTCCAAAAGGATAAATAAAAGTTTATCTGAACTTATCAAATACAACCTGTTTTAAGCTTCTTCAGTTTGGCTATCAGCTTCTCTGTTAAATCCCACTTATATGTTTACATGTCTGCTTGCCAAAACTACATTCACATGACTTCCCACACCACTCGGACCCTTATCAGTTTTGGCGCTAATGAATTTCTGTGTACAGAGGTCGAGGCTGTCCTTGATCACCTCTTCAGCTTTATGTACCCAGAAACTTGAACCATACGATCTCTTTCAGGACCGCCTATCAGAACAAAGTGGTAAAGGTTGAACCACAGCTGGCAAAAAGAAATGGACTTTTAATCACAGGAAAATATTAAGGATAATTACTTTTTGGCTGAGTGAGGTCAGATTTAATCACAGGTTTTACAGACTGCCACCTCTGAAGCTGTTAAACAAAACAGAGAGGAAAAAGAAAAAAGTCGAAAAAGTAACTCTGAGTCTGAGAGTATGTGGTCGGGGGTCTCTGACAAACTGAAACCTCATGTTTTTTTCTTTCATTATCATGGCTAAGATAAGAACAATCACACTTATTCTTAAAAGGTCAGGACTTTTTTTTTTTGCAATTACCTTGTTGTGGTTTTTATGACAGCACCTCACACTTAAGGATGGAGTTGTCTAGACATAGACTTTGTTTTAGTGCTGATTTGGGCCCTGCCAGCCTCTTCCTGGCAGCAGATGGTGTAATGCAGAGAGTCTGACAGAAGAAATATAAGGTCAAAAGAACTGGAGGCTCATAATCGTAAATAGTGAGGAGGGAAAGTTTGCTGTTGTTTTTCTCATCAGGGCGAGGGTGTTTTTCATCAAAGAGGAGAAGTCACAGGTTGGACTTTCAACTGGGACAGATCTGGATTAAGTGTCAGCTGTCTGATGCATTTAATGTGTTTTTTAATGTGACACGTCCTCCTTCTGTTATAAACAGAACGTTTTAAGAGTCATGCAACCCCAAAACTCATCAGCTCAGAGTGTATTTATACTGTTTTGACAGATTCTTTATTATGACTGGAAGTGTTTAACCAAATATTACGCCTGCCTGCTGGCTCCTTGGATTAGGATCTGTTTCACATCCTCCCCTTTCTCTTAAAAAACCAACATGTATCTATTAGGCCATCTGTGTTTCCAGTTTAACCTCCCTCCAAAGCAGGATTCCTCCTGACTCTGCCGCTCACTCGCTACAAGAGACGTTAATTTATCGTAATCCTTTGAAGAGGGGACCCAGAGGAAGCTCGCCCAGTCAGTGTGTTCCCTTCGCCAGTCCAAGTCTAAATGCTGTGTGGCATGTTTGACATAGCGAATGAAAGCAATAACGCATTATGTCAGGTAGGAAAGAGTCAGGCTGCGAGGCCACAGCAATCAGGCAAAAAAAAAAAAAAACTGGGTCCGGCACTAGGCATGACTTCAATAAAATACCTCCAGTCCTGCTTTTAAAAGCATTAGTCCAGGGCAAATTAAAAAGTAGAGTGCAATTAAAAGAAATCACTGTGTAAATGTTAGCATGTGGAAGTTTTCCTTTTCCCTTTTTCCCCCTTTCCTCCTAGCTGAACAAAGAATGCCCTGGAGGCAGAGCCGCGCAGCTGCTGAATATTACTACATCCATGTGTTTTAAATAAGACCCTATTATAATCAAAATCATAAAAAAAGAAGGTAATGCGGCTCCCTTAAACATTTAAATTTAACTAAAACGATGTCGAGTTCAAGCCTTTGTGTGCTTTCTGTAGCTCCTAATTGACTAAATCTCTGGAAGAAACAGATTGAGCATCCTTCAAGGAACCTTTTATTAGTAACAATTACATTTCTTTATGGAAAATGGTTTTAGAAACTGCAATCTGTTTCTCCGAACATTTTCAGCTTGCCCTTTCAGTCAGATGTTGCCTATTTGCCTCTGTTTTGCAAGGAAAAGTCACAGATACAATCACAGAAAATGTGTGTGAAAGCAAAGGCTGCATAGGATCTGCAGCAAGAGGGAAGTCTGTCCGTACACAATGAAGTGATACGAGATCTGCAACACAACACAATGGACCAAGGATAGCTGGCTTGTCACACATGCCTAACAAGACTCTCCCCTCATATCATTTGCTCAGTGGAGCCTTCATGGATCATCATGACCCTGCAAATGACCTCACCACATACTAACAGTATGAAAGTATTTGGGGTACAGCAGCAGCATTCACAAGAAATAAAAACATTTTGGCTGACTGACTACAGTTTGTTTGACCCCTAATCCGTTTAAATACAGGAATTCAAGATGAGGTGTTATGAACAATATGTGTCAGACTATATTCAAGATTTTTAGGACCAGATCTTTGGTGAAATCTCTGTACAGACCAATTCAGCAAACTACTGGAAGTTGACAAACAGCTATTAGTGTGGTGGTGCTCAGTTTTCTTCATTTACCTCTACTGTTTTTGTGTAACTTTCTTTTTTAATAACAATGTTGGAGGCCTTTGGAATATGAGCTTGTTATATATTAATGTAAAAAAAAAAACAAAAAAAAACTAATCTGGTCAAAATCTGCTATTTTAACCAGACTGTGATAATAAAATATAGTTGTTTGTTGATTTGGAAGGTGAAGAAGACAAGAGTGGTGGTTGTGTGCAACGGAATTAACAAGACAACGTGAGAAAGTATTTTCTGTGCATCGCAGGAGCTCGACGTCACAACAGGATCTTCACCACAAAGTAAGGGTGAGCAAGAGAGCATTTCATTTTAGAATCCGCCCTCTAGAGATTGCTTAGAGAGTCATGGTGGTAATGACAGAGAGTCTTTTTATCTATTATTTTAACCTAACAAGCATGCTTTAGGAGAGAGATGGAACAGAGCATCAGAAATATTAGAGGCTACTGCACTTGTCAAAGCTCCTGTGACAAACTTTTTGGATTATCTCAAAGTGGGACATTTTGTGACATAGTGTGAGCTGGGTTTTTCACATGTTTCAGTCTATTTCCATGGTTAAACCTAAAGAGGGATTTGTGGAACATGAGAAAAGTGAAAAATATGCCTCCACTCTGAAACACTGTGTTACTTGGAGAACATGGAGGAGTTACAGAAGTTCATACAATTTTGGTTGGAAGTGTTTTTTTCTTTTTGCTCTTTTTAAAAGAAACCAGAGGACGAAACTACAGATAAATACTGTGGGGCCTGTAGTGGTCTGCAGCAGTCTGCTAGACTCAACCCTTTAGTTAAAAGTCACTGAGGGTGTCGCCTCACACCAGGACAGATGAGTTTCCATGGGAGGAATGAAGATGTCTGGCCAAATCCACTTTCCCCCCTTATTAAAATGGATATTTCCGAGCTGTCAGAGGGTGAAGTCTGGGTTTGCAGAGTGTTTCGCTGACTTCTCGCTGACAGTGGGCTTCCTTTCCCCCATAGGTTCAATATCTCCGGTGGCTCTCCCTCCCACTGTGCGGTATAGCCGCTTACCCTAAAAGTCCCGGACCGGCACGGCTCTGGCAGGCTGTTCTCCCCTTGCATAGCGGCGCATGCTAATTTACTGAGACGCTACACTGTGTTGGGTCGGCTGTGCATTTCCCACGTTCCAGCTGAGAAAATATATCATTAGTCCCTCATCGTGTAATGCTTGCCACGTTACGTTATAAAGCCGGGTGTAAAGCGACCTGTAGAAAACAGGAGCAATTTCCAGTGTGCCTCATTTTCACCACCCGCTTGGAATAAGTGGTGGGTGTTAAGAATTTGAAAAGGGGACAAGATGCGGTGTTGAAAAGGCCATTTTGCTTACTAACTACTCCTGGGTGGCTGGAAGACTAAGGATTTCCATTGCAAGTGTCTCCACTAACATATTACAGCCATATGAGTAAAGGTCTTTACGGGCCTGCCTTGAAAGTTATATAGATTAATTAAGTTTCCAGGCAAATTAAGACTCTGTGCTAATTGTAGTCTAGGTAAGTTTAATGAGATTTCGGCAGAAGATGCACAAATAAAGACTGTTTTAATGCTGGATTAATGAATGAAAACGAAGCTTGTTGACTCGAACGGCACAGTTAAAGTGACATCTGCAGATCTGTCCCTGAGTGCGACCTATGTGTTGCTCTGTCATTACCACCATGAGAGTGACTGAAGACCCTTTTTTGGCACGAGACCACACTTCTCTGGCTTCTTTACTTCACAAACATTTTTACAGGCGTGACAGGCCATGACCGAGCAGGCCGCAACAGACAGCTCTGTCACCTCAAAACAACCACCGTGCAGGGCCACACGAGACAGCTAAATATATTGCTTCCTAGAAGGAACCTTTGGGTCTGAGCGGCTATCTTGTGGCTTAATTAACTCACACAGGACACAGTCATGGAAAATTAGAGGCCAGTGGAAGCTCTTTGACTGGATGCTGTGTAGGATTTACCACACCGGGGCCACAATACAAATGGCCTCTTATTTTACTCATTTCACTTCTTCATAATTGAAGACTTTTTTTACCCCTCTGAACAAACTCCTGTTTACTTAATGTTACCTTTTCAATCATACATCTCAACTGGGTAGCAGTTTGGTCTAACAGACAATATCAGCGCCCCTGACCCCCTCTTTGCCTCCTTCAGCTCCTTTAGCTACCACTGCCACCTTCAACTACACCCTAAAGAAAGCCACATCTATCACAGGAGCTTTTATGGTCCTCACTGGCAGCAGGAGCTAAATAAAACTTGACTTTGAGGTCTGAGGTATCGCAGGTTACAAAATGTTGTTCTGGGCATGAATGTGACTGAACTAGCTCTGCTGTATGCTGCTACTTCACTGTGGTACACAAGAGTAATGAGAATAGGTTTAATGGTGTAAAAAAAACATGGGTAGAGTAAAACCACCACACAGGGGTACTTTAAGATGCTCTCACCTGCTTTGCTGCTGTTGACTGTAAAGGACATGAGCTGGTTTCACTTTTTTATTTCAGAGATGGTTGATGCCTAGTTGCTTCTCAGGCTGGTCCTACATTAGCCCCTGACTGACTGTCCAGATCAGCTTAATATGGAAACTCATGTCTCTGCCACAATGTCAATGGGCTGTGCAGGATTGATTTAACATAACACGTGTAATCAGGTCGCTATCGAGAACATTGGAAATATCATTAAAAGAGTCATAGTCTGAAGAAAAAGGGACATGGCTGAAAACAAGTGCTGAGAAGCTGTAATGTTCAGGGCCTGCATTTATAAACAGACATGACTCTGAAGTGGAAATCTTTGCATAGGCTTAAAATAACTTCTGAAAACCGTTCTCTATGAACACAGTTTGTTACTCCATCCAAAAATTCTGCTTTAAAACTGAACCATGCAAAAAGGACAGTTTGTTCTGTATAAACATGATCAGAAATCTGGGAAAGTTCCATCTAAGGTAAAAAGACGAAGTACTTTTATGAATACTTTTAAAACATGTCCATATGGGACTCAATTAACACAATCATGTGTGTGAAAACATCTAGAAATACTATTATTACAAAGGCTGATGATGGACTGAGGTTAAGTTGACAACTGTCCTGTACTAGTCTGACAAATGATAATTTGACTATCTTCTCGAAAAACATGGACACTGTATCCTCAGCTGTAATGATAAGTTTACAGTGTGTTGTTAAGAGAAGAGGAGATGCCACATGATAGTAAATATTCCACTTCAGCAACTTTTTTGAATTGAGAAGCTGGCATCAAATTTAGAATTAGCATGCATTTTTATTTATCTTATATTTTTTAAATTACAACATTATATTGTCATTGAACGATCCTCGATTAAATATAGGGTTTGAATATTTACATCCATCATCTTTTTTTCATCAACATTTTAAACAGAATCCCAACGTTTTTGGAAATCAGGTTGTACACAAGTTTGTGAGCAAAAGTAGATAGTCCTATTTAAAAAGCCTTACTCTGCAGCTTCTATGACAGTTTCTAATCGTAAACTCAGAACTTATGAAACACAGAAAACAGTGTGTGCCCTTTTTTATTCTTATATCAAGATATTTTTATGATTTTATTTTATCAGGATTAATAAAAAAAGAATAGAAGAACTTAAATAAAAGCAGTAATCACGCCACCATACTAGGAAATTGGGTAGCAGCCCCTCTTGCATCTAAAGTGGCAGAACACACATTTCCTCAGTGCGAGGGCTCCTGTGAAATCGTGTCATTACCACAGAAAAGTAGTGGCCTTTGACTCTGTGCAGAAGACATCATCCGCTTACAAGCTCCAACAATAAAACTCATGGTTGCTGTTGTAAGCCCCACTTTGTTACACATACATCCAAGTGAAAACATTTATTGCACTAATTACAACAGCCTGCCATTGGATTTTCTTCCTGTGTTACACATGCTTTGGCACAGTTCCCAGCATTGTGCCCAACCGTCTCTCCACTCTTGACTGGTGCGCTAAAGGACATGCATGAGGTGAAAAAAGGAGGCGAGAATGGGGGCAAAGGAGGGAAATACTGCTAGAAAGTTAAATCCTATAGAGGAGTAAATAACACGTGTCTGTTTAAATTGTAAATTACATCAGAAATCAAATATTGTTTCAAAGATTAGATGGTTCAGACATGACTTGTTTGTTTTAATAAGACACTGAGGCCTGTTCCCAGCATTACTCTGGATGTAAAACCCTAACTAAAACAATTTGAGTCATTTTTTTTATTTTATTAGGCCCCCATTATGTTCTTCACACTGATATCATATCACAACTGACAGAAGTGTGACAGTAGTGTTAAACTCTGATGATGCTATGTTATCTGCTAACACTGCAGGCTTGAGGGTAATCCTTGACTTCCTGTAATTTATGTGAGTTTAGTGACGTGACTGCATCATCTTTATAACTTGCTAAATATCAGAATCAGATTCTCTTTATTGTCCCAAAAGGGAAGTTATTGTTGCAGCAGGAGCACACAGAGCAACAAACATCAGCTGCATGTCACCACAAGAGCAGTGCCATCACCATCAGTCAACACTAAAAAGTTCACTGATTCTAGAGTGGGAGTGATGTATCCAAGGGAAAATTGGAGTGCACAATATGAAATTTTAGAAGCTTGCAAAGTTCATCAAAACTGGTGTCCTGATACAGACCAGTTGAGCCTGATTGATGAAGCATTCTGATGATCCCTGGCTTAGGAGGCCAGTTCCTTATCCATCAGGCCACTGGGGCTCAACATAGATGCTCTGTCCACATTCAGTAAGTTACACTACAGAGCATCAATGCAGGGAGATAAATGACTGGGTTCAAAATGAGAGATGGTAGGTAGAAGCATTGGAGAACCCTGGCACCTGAGGTTGGAGGTTGAAGTTGCCTTTGTCAACTTGAAAGTGTTGCTGGACTTGTTTGCATCAACAGTGGTGTTCACTGTGAGAGAGAGCAAAGGAATAGAGAGCTAGCAGAGGGTGGTTTCGAGCCATTGACCCCTGGGTTATGGGCCCAACATGCTTCCACTGGAGCACTCTGATGTTTATCACCCCAGATGGGACTCGAACCCACAATCCCTGGCTTAGGAGGCCAGTGCCTTATCCATTAGGCCACTGGGGCTTAACAAAGGAGCTAACCCGCTCCGTCCACATTCAGTGAGTTAAACTACAGAGCATCACTGACTGGGTTCAAAATGAGAGCTGGTAGGCAGAAGCCTTGGAGAACCTTAGAATCTGATGTTCTGGTTTGACATTTCCTCTGTCAACTTAAAAGTGTTGCTGGACTTGTTTTCATCAACAGTGGTGTTCACTGTGAGAGAGAGAGAGAGACCTAGCAGAGGATGGTTTTGAGCCATTGACCTCTGGGTTATGGGCCAAACATGCTTCCACTGCACCACTCTAAGTTAATCACCCCAGATGGGACTCGAACCCACAATCCCTGGCTTAGGAGGCCAGTGCCTTATCCATTAGGCCACTGGGGCTGGACCTAAGTGCTCACCTGCTCCGTCCACATTCAGTGAGTTAAACTACAGAGCATCACTGACTGCGTTCAAAATGAGAGATGGTAGGTAGAAGCCTTGGAGAACCTTGGCATCTGATGTTCTGGTTTGACATGTCTTCTGTCAACTTAAAAGTGTTGCTGGACTTGTTTGCATCAACAGTGGTGTTTACGGTGAGAGAGAGAGAGCAAAGGAAGAGAGAACTAGCAGAGGATGGTTTTGAGCCATTGACCTCTAGGTTATGGGCCCGGCATGCTTCCACTGGACGACTCTGCTGTTTATCACCCCAGATGGGACTTGAACCCACAATCCCTGGCTTAGGAGGCCAGTGCCTTATCCATTAGGCCACTGGGGCTGGACATAGGAGCTCACCTGCTCTGTCCTAATTCAGTGAGTTAAACTACAGAGCATCACTGACTGGGTTCAAAATGAGAGCTGGTAGGTAGAAGCCTTGGAGAACCTTGGCATCTGATGTTCTGGTTTGACATTTCCTCTGTCAACTTAAAAGTGTTGCTGGACTTGTTTGCATCAACAGTGGTGTTCACTGTCCCATCAGACATGGAAATGAATGCAGGAAAAGATACTGTCTTTGTGAAAAATGTCAATACAAGTCCTTTAATTGAGTTATGTTAACTGCATTCAACTTCTCTGTTCTACGCTTACAGATCTATAGATGTGTTGAAATGATGATGAAATTGGTTTTAAAATAAGTATACCATTTTTGGCTTTTCTCTGGAGTTTCACCAACTAAAAGGTCCAGTAAATGGATGGGGTGTGTTTGTGAAGACATGCTGCCAGTAAAAAAAAAACCTGTTTTTCGATAAACAAAGAAAACAAACTCTACATGCCCTCTTCTATTTTCTGATGTATCTGCCTGAACTTTGGTCTGTCTGTGTCAGATTCTCATAGTGGTAAACTGTTACTACGTTTGAAGGGGACTTTGTTCAGACTTGTTTGTTTTTAGGTCTGTTCTCTTGATTGTAATTCTGGATCAAATGGTATTTGAAAGGTAAGGGAATATTTGACCACCTACTGGAAGATTCTGGCAGGTTTGGAGCAGTTTTTGCAGTTTGACACTGTGGCTCGAGCAAGCCAGAGCAAAAGTAGATCGGTAATAGCACACTCAAATGTGAATTAAAAAATAATAATAATAAAATAAAATAAAAATCATTCATTTTCTTTTTCATTGACAGTAAAGTCATTGGTCAAAAATGTAAACAAATTATTTATTTTATTTATATAAATAATCCAAATATGCATTAAATGTTTTTGACATAAACTGTTTGAAACATCAATTGAATTTATAAAAGCAAGCATACAAAAATACATTCACGTTGAATTCATATACAGTACTGTACGCTTTGTCCATATATTTGAAAATATACATTTGAATTAGATATGGTATTTAATGTGTTGATCATATCTGTTGACGATATACATTTAACTGATAATGGCATTATATGTTTTTATAAATAGATATATATGGGCCATATGTAAAAAAAAAAATAAAAAAAAAGACAGCAAGAAAGAAACCCACACATTTTTATGCATACGTATATGTGCATTATTGGAATTGTTCCAGTTTGTACAGATACGTATGTTTTCACCTCATTAAATATTTTAATATGTTATATTTCACATAATTTATGTTATGTAGTAATCTGTGCGCACAACCCACATTTGTCACATGGGGTTTAAATGTATGCAACTTTGTGTAATCGTCTTTATTTGTGAAAAAGGGTGTAAGTCTTACCAGTGGGTAGAACCTTACACACACCAATTCCATCTTTGCTTATTTGAGAGAGTGCAGAGGACGCCCTCCGCAGTGCTTACCGCGACACTTGTTGAAGGGCTGCTTTTTGTCGCCATCATGTGGCATTGCTGTCTTCAGCCACCTCTTGATCTCTTTGAGTACTGCACGAAAATTGTAATACACCTCGCTGGTGGCGGATTTAAAGGTGAGAAGAGGAGCTGATTTGATTGGTGAAAACAGGTCAGCTGTGTTAAATCCACTCCACGCCTTCTCTCCTCCTCTCTACTACTTATGCCGCTGGGAGGAGCTGAGTAAGGAAGGGGGGATACTTACGCCAGGCTGCGCCACTTACCAAAATGCCAAACTGTGCTCTGCGCGGTGGACCTGACTAACGCTGCACCTGCGCCATGCCACTGGCAAGGCACGAAAATAGAGCCCTAAGAGTATGGTCTAGACCAGCTTTTTAAGTGTCTTATGATAACATTTGTTGTTTATCGGCATTTTATGACTAAAGACTGATTGACTGATATATCAATGCAATACATCTTTTACAGCTCTGAGTGGGTACTTAGCAGGAATTGATTTTGACTCAAATTTGCATTGATTTTGACTTTTCTATGTTGCAACAAAATGCAACCATTGTCTTTGCAGCCCTGCACTGTTTGGTGGGAATTTCAACTCCAGTCCTACTAGCTCCATAGTTAATTTGCAGGACATCTGATTTGATTCGAAAGTTTGAGGTTCATTTTTGTTGCTCACTGGACAACATGGAACTCGGTCAAATCATGAAATTGCCTCTCCAGTATCAGCAGGGGTCAGGGTCGGTTCCTGGAAGCCTGTTCGTTCTGCCAGTGATGAGGCAACAGTGACCCAGCTGAGTATAAATACACCCACCCTTCCCAACCCAAACCATCAGATTGACAGAGCCACTTTGGGTTGCTGCTTAATCTACTTTTAAACTTTACTGTTTCCACTCTGAACAAGATGAAGACATTCAGCATTGCAGTTGCCATCATGCTCATCTTTATTTGTCTTACGAGGAACTGTGCTGTCCCTGTCACTGTAAGAACTCGACTTCATACCATTTGTATTGACATTTGAGTGTTTGATCAAATGCTAAGACATCTGAGTTAAAATCCATCACCAGGTGCAGAAGCTGGACAAGTCAGTGGGCCATGAAAATCCAGAGAGGCTCATTGAATTATCAGAGGTATGATATGCTGACTAAACACATTAAGTGTGAGTGTTTTTGCTGCTTAGTTATCTCCAGATAATCAGAGGAAGATATTGATGCTGGTGTCCATACTTCTCTCATGACTCTTGTCTCTCACACTACTTGATCACAAAATCCAGAGGCATAAGCGCGCCCTTTTAGGATGCACAGTCTTCTGCTGCGATGAGATGCCTGATGGAACTAAAGACTGTAGAATGTGCTGCCCGTAGATGGTGCTGCCTGTCCTGAAGATCTCTGCATCAGTCAGGGATTATAGCAACAGCTTGTTAATGCCAATTTGCTTCTCTTTAATACAAATGTCATCATAGTTACACCATTACATATTATGTGAAAGCATGGGTTTTATTGATGAATGTGTCCTTTAATAAACTAAAAGTTACTTTTGTGCTCTGAATTGTTTCGATCTGTCTTTTATCACATCTACTTTCATATAATTATATCCCCCCAAGTGCTCATAAACAGAAACAACGTTGTAGAGGACCAAAGGGAAAAATCACAAACCCCAAGTGTAAGTGCTTTAATAATAAAATAGAGTCACGTTGTGGTTAATACTTCCACTTCCATGGCTTGTATGTGTGTGTGTGTGTCCGTGTGTGACTTGTCCTGCATATCATTTGCTACATTGGCAGTGACAGCCCATCAGTCACTGTTGCCCTTCTTAAAATGCTGAGTAAACCTAACTTTTTGGTCAACAAGAGGCGGGCTCTACCTCCCAATAACATGTCCAGGTGTAATTTTTGTGTAACCTAGAAACATACTGAGTTGAAGCTGAAATAGACTTTAAACCTCCTGGCGGACACATAGCGCTGGATTAGGTTATCAAACCAGCTGTGTCTTTGATTGTAAAATAGTTTTAAATGTTTTATAATGGATTTGAAGTTGGAGAAAAATGTTTAAAGTGCTCAATTCATGATGATGTATTGTAAACTACAGTGTCTGTCTGTGTATTCCAACAGGTCAGGTGTCCGTCAGGTCACTGCTTGTTGACACAGAGGGATATGATGCAAAAGAAGGGTTTTTGTTTTTGTGCAAGAGTTTTGGAGGGACTCCAGTCACTCAAATTTAAATCCCCGTCTTTATCAGTGTCAGCTCTACACACTGGCTTTCTGATGTTTGCTTTTCCCCATTTGAGTATTTCTTTTACACAACCAGGCTGTTAGTACTGGGAGATGCTTACACAGCTGAGAGGGCTGGAAGATAGACCATATTAAACTTCCACTCAGAAATAAAAATTCAAAATTTATTTACAAGTTGCTTGAAAAGTGAAAAAAATCAAGAGAAAGCTCTGGGAAAACTGGAACAGTAGACACAGGGCAAAAAGAAGAACTGGGTTAGAAATAAGGGTAAAACAGGGAGTGAGGAGTGTCACAACACAGAGTCAGTAAGTCAGACAAAGAGAGACACACCACACTATTAAAACTGTTCAATAAGTTAAAACTACCTTTCTGAATTTTTTAGACAAACATAAGACAATGTTGTAGGGGAAACTACAGTTTCTCTTTTTTTAATAATGATTGTGTTTGTTGATGTGGAAATCAAAGAAAGTAAATTTACCAAAAGTTATGTTGATGGAAGTAAAGGGGCCACTTTTAAAGATATGAAGCCAGCTTTCTTTGAAACATAAGCTTGACATGACCTTTATTGGGAAAGTTGTCCCTGCTCCTTTGTTTCACGAAAAGACAATATAAAAAACCGTTATTAACCGTGTTGTAAAATTGGCAGCAGCTCCAAACATTAAAATTGTACCTCAAAAGATAAGTGTGTTTTTAATATTTCTCAAATATTATTCTTAATATGAGGCACATAAGTAAAAAACAACAAAAAGTTTTATAGACTCTCCTTCTACCAAAGTACATTGTCAGTCCTATTTATGCCATCAAATTTAAACTTTTCATGGACTTTTTCATGGATCAAACTCTAAGAAACTTCTGCAGTAGATGGCAGCTGCTGAGTCATTTTGTGTTATACAGCATTAATGTTTTTACTCTGCCTTAACATCGGAAATAAAACCTTATGGAGCATCGCTAACTGAGCAGTCTGTGCAACAACCCTTTGCTTCATATCCACCTCATGTTTTAAAGATTAAATACGTCCAATGTGCACTGCAAATGTGAGCAAAATAAAATAAAAATATTTATAACCTTGAGTTTTGTTATTTTAGGAATTGTTCAAGCTGTACAGTTCAAACAGCCAGTCAGATAAACCAGTTTAAAAAATATGAAAAGTGTTTAAACCTTCTGTTCATGGTCAAGTGTTTGTTTATGTAGCTTTCTTCATCGTATGCACGTGAGAGATGCTTGAGTGCGCAGCAATACTTGCACTTCAAGCAAATGATAAACAGATAAAAAAGAGTGATAAATTGAGTTAAAAGATAAACAAATAAATAAATTCCAGTCTTTGATAAAGTATTTCCTGTTTTCATTCCCAACATAATTTTTATGAAGCTCGTGTTCCACTTATCAGTAGATATCATTCAGAGAGGGATAAGGATGCATAAGTGTTGACATATAAAAAAGTGGGGTAATAAAAATGCAGTTTCTCTTGTTGTCTATATTTTCTTGTTGACTATCTTAATATTCTCTTTCTCTCTGTTTGCTCACACACAAAAAATGAGCCAGAATGCCAATTTCTGTTTGGTTAGATTAGATTAGATTAGATTAGATTAGGCTAGGTTAGGTACAACTTTATTTATCTTTTTGAGAAGGCTGCTTCAATGAAATTAAAATTGTTGACAGATTTGATACAATTCAAACATGTCTTTCAATCGGAAAGTTATGCGATTTATTGCAACCTATCGTTATCATTGATGATAAAGAAAACACAGTTCTGTAAAAAAAAATCTGTGGATCAGCTTGAAACATTGGCAGCTCATGTATAAAATTTGATGGTGTTAGTCATCATTTAAACATTGCACTATATTGAAAGTTATACAGACAACAAATCAAATATTGAAACTGAAAATTCTGTTTAATATCAATAAACATCACTAATGATAACAGATTTTGTGTAAATTCAAATGGTCGGTTGGTGAAACCTCTCCAGTAAAATATATTTAAAAATCTTTTCTTGAGTAAATGTTTTTTTTTTTTTTGTTGATAGCTTGCACATAAGTGATACTTGTCGGCACATTTGTATTTCAAGTATATGATTAACAGATCAATAAATTATTCAGTATATAGAGCAGTGGTTCTTAACCAGGGTTCTATCGAACCCTAGGGGTTCGGTGAGTCAGTCTCAGGGGTTCGGCGGAGCCTCTGCCACGGAGGTCAAGACACACCTGACTCATTATGTAAATTCGAGAAGGGTTCGGTGAAAGTGCATACAAAACTGGTGGGTTCGGTACCTCAAACAAGGTTAGGAACCACTGATATAGAGGAAATAAAAAGTACAATATTTCCTGTCTTTTATATTTTAAGTATTTCCTGGTTTCATTCCCAGCATCTCTTAGATAAAGTACAATATTTCCTGTCTTTTATATTTAAAGTATTTCCTGGTTTCATACCCAGCATCTCTTAGATAAAGTACAATACTCCCTGTCTTTTATGTTTAAAGTATTTCCTGGTTTCATTTCAGCATCTCTTAGATAAAGCTCACGTTTCTCTTTATCACAGATACGGTAGATCAGGTGGTTTAAGTGAGTATAAATATCAGTGCATTTTCCATCACAGCCACACCAGGCAGAAGAGGCAGTCAGAGGATTTGAGACGAGTCGCCGACAAATGAAAAGATCTTAAACATGAAGACAGTCAGAGTTGCAGTTGTTGTGGCCCTGGTGCTCACATTCATCTATTTCCAGGAGAGCTCTGCTATCCCAGTTCTTAAGGTAAGAGACTTCATTTACACATGATTAAGACTATTTCTGTTTGCGATTTACAAAGGTGTAAATTTGGTGACATGATCAACAGGTTCCAGCAGAATTGACTCTGAATGATGACCAAGTAGTTTTTGAAGATGCAGAGACCATGTCAGGCTCATTGGAGGTACGTTCAGCAAACTGACTGATTTTAAGCCAATGATCATTACCAAGTCTTGATGCTCTGTCCATTTGAGCAGAGTGAGCAAATGAGACTGCTTGTAATGAAAACTGTTCATGTCGCTTGTCCTCACACAGATACCTCCTAACAACACACAGAGTCGTGGCTTTTGGTGTAGAATTTGCTGTGGATGTTGTACCCCTGGTTTCTGTGGACTGTGCTGCAGGTTCTAGGGATTCCTCAATCAAACAACTACCATTAGCTTGTGCTGAAGCTGTTGTGAAAATTTTGAATTGAGTCTTTGTATATATCATGGTGTGTGTGTGTGTATCAATACTTTGTTTTTAGCTTTGTGACTATCTAGTCTTCATTTTAGGCTGGAAATTTGCAAACTTTGCAGTTTATTACAATAAAATTGATGTTACAATATGTTGTGTTTCCTTGTGTTGCAACAGTTAGTAATCAAAACGATGAGGGCAACACCAGGGGACACTCAGATTACACATCAAATTAAATCAATGTGACGAAAATGCTCTTTCCTAATGGCATCAATTCACAAATATTACTCCCCAATTTTTTTTTTTTTTCGAGACCACAAAACTTCATTTTCATGGTAAATGGCTCACCAGTCAACAGAAAAGTAAATCAGTGCAGAAACAGAGAGGAATGAGACATCTGACAAATTGAAGAAAGGAAACACATAGGGAGCAAAAACAAAAGTAGACATCAGATCCAGTGAAAACAGAATTATTTCACTCTACTGTTTAAAAGGAGGCATACACTGAAAATTTGGATACTAATGTATTCATTTCTTTAAAATGTACTTGAATACTATCTCAAAGTAGTAAATTACTCTTATCGATGGTAATATTTCATTTTATATGTATAAAACCATTTAAGAGCTGTCAGAGGAGTGAAGGTGATGTTCATCAGGAAGATGCTGAGATGGTAGTGAAACATGAAAAGCATATTAATGACCTCAAGAAGAGCATGATCACGATTTAATGTTTTAGGTCAGTTGTTGTATTAAAAGAACTGTTAAAGATTGAGTTAGTCTGCCTTGGTTATAGTGATAGATCAAAATAATTTGATATGATACATAAGAGCAACAAAAACAGATTTAACAATTGATTATGTGATAAGATTTTTGTTACGGGGAGATTTTCAGGACTCTTATGCATGCACAAAGAGCTCAAGCAAAGGTAATGATGTATGTGTGAAACAGAAAAATAAGGAAAATTAATGAAAAAACAGACAATAAATTCCACTCTTTCATTACCAAGGATTTTCCCAAACTCATTCCCAGTGACCCTCAGACAGCATGTGACAGCAGACTGATAGCAGGCACTGCACTGCTGGTGGTACTGGTTTGTATAAATAGCCGTTCATCTTCCCTCTGAACCATCAGACAGAGAAAGGAGTCAGAGCATTGGACACGATTAACTTGGACACTGTAAGGTTGTCACAGATAAACTTCTCAAACCAACATGAAGACAGTCAGAGTTGCAGTTGTTGTGGCCCTCGTGCTCACATTCGTCTGTTTCCAGGAGAGCTCTGCTGACCCAAACACTGAGGTAAAAGACTTTAATTGTACTCACTCGTAAGTATTAACCATTGATGTTTTACAAAGAAAGTAAAATTTGACACATTCAGCAGGTTCAAGAACTGGAAGAGACTGTGAGCCATGAGAACCTTGCTGCTGAAGAGCCAGAGACCGCTTGGAGCTCATGGACGGTATGTGGAGCTGAATTCAGCCTGTTATTGTGAAGAGTTACAAGTGAAAGTGTTTGTTTTTTTCCTCTCTGTCTGATGCTCTGTCCACTTAAGCAAAGTGACTGAGTGGTCCTGCCAGTGATGAACACTTTGTTCATGTCTTTTGTCCTCACACAGCAACCTACTAACGTAAGATACAAGCGTGGCTCCAAATGTAAGATCTGCTGTGGATGTTGTACCCCTGGTGTCTGTGGATTGTGCTGCAGGTTCTGAGGACTCAACAAACACATTTCTTCTGATTTGTTTCAAAGCCATTTTACAACAATGAATTTACTAACTGTATTATTCGAGATGCATGAGTGAATGCTTGTTTTTTAGCTTTGTGACAGTCTTGTCCTCATGCAATGTTGGAGATTTGCAAACTTTGCCATTCGTCATATCAATAAAATTGACATTGCAGTACATTGTGTTTCACTGAGTTGTTTTTTCACTGTGTGTGCATGAGCCCCACACATTTATAAAAATAATAATTTTCTTTTACCTAAGTGACCCTATACTTACTTCTTTTAGCCATTCTCCAGCAGTTTTAATGTTAAACCTGTTTATAAACTGATAAACATGAGGACAATTTGAAAATACCCACAACACCCTCTTGTCTTTGCACTAGTATACAGTATGAACTTGGCTGGTGTGAGTGTGATGCAGGAAAAAAGGACTTGTTTCTACCATTGGTTCACTTTATTACTTATTGTCGAAGTGAGTTATTCATGTTTCGCAAAGATAATAAAACTCAGTATGATTTTTGACAGGGTCTTCTGAAAGAGACGATGAACAACATAAAATTGGAATTAGAATGTTTATTAGGTGTACTTTTGTCTGATGCAGCCCTGAACTCAGTCTCTTCGGTATATTCAGTGAAAATTTCATACACTTTTACACATACTGCTGCTCATTACCCTACACCTATTATATCACATTTACTCATCCTTATCCCTTTTTAGGAACTTTGTCCATGTCTGAAAGTTATCCAGTTTGAAAGCCAAAAGAAAACCCCATTTAAGTCTCATTTTTACCTATTAAACATAAAAAAGTCTGCAGCTTTAAAAACTTAAGCACACACAGCTATTATTTGTTAAATGAATAGCCCTGGAAATCTTCTAGAATTAGAAACATATTGGGTGAGATGATTTTTACATCTCCATAAATAAGGATAAGACAGATTAAACACAAATAAACAAAAACACAAAGAAAATTTCACAGCAAACAGACATCCACTCTGGAGTGGAGTGGGTGTTACTGCTGTGTCTGCTGCTTCTTTGGCCCCTTGAACCTAGCAACACAGGATTCTTATTTCATTAGAGATGTCACCCAGTGAAATAAATGCACTACTAATTGTTGCAGTGACACCCATGAGCTACAGGCCCCTCAAGCTGCTATCATTCTCACAACCATCTGACAAACATGTCCTCCAAATATGAGGGTTTACGTAAGCTGCAAAGCTTCTGCTTAGTGTCTCTGCTCTGTCATTGCCATTGCTAACCTGCACCAGGACTGCACCCCCACTTCTAAGCCCCTTTACCACCCATCTTCCACCTGCAGGTTCAGGCCAGGGATTCAGAATATTATCCTGTTACTCCTAAAATTCCTCCATGTCAAATAAATCTGTGAGGAACGATGAGGTCAGAGCCCAAACGTCAAACACAAACAGGATTCTGCTGCTGATTAAATCCATCACAGAGCATGGCAGAAATACTGCAAATGCAGATTTTATTTTTAGAGTAAGAAATTCAAGAAAAGGGTCAAGGGTATTTGTTTTAATTTAATTATATACAGTACTTACAGGTTACATGATGGTCACAAATTAAGAAATACAAGGCCTCTACACTGTCAAACATGTGAAAACACTTCTACAAGACCATACGCAGGTCTAAATATTGTGGTGCTCAGGATGTAATATCCTCCACTGGCCTCAAACAAACAACACTTCCAGAGGCAACTCCGTTTTCCAAGGGTGGTCTGCTGTCCAAGTGCTGAGCAGGCCCCGCTGAGCTCTGCGTGCTCTGCTTGTTATCCTGTACAGAGAGGAGGTATGGCATCTAGCCATGGTGGTATGCATGCTATTGTGTTACTTTCAGCATGGCTGGATTGCACCTCACAATTATAGTGACCACAAAGGTCAAGTAAATGGTCTGGTGTTAATTCAGTGCAGAAATGATTGGGGAACACACACACTCAGATGGACTCTGTGATAGCATTCTGAATGTTGCAACAACATACAGAGAGGTCAACATATTGCAAGTGACAAGCAGAACAATGGTGAAACTGTGGTTGCTATTTAAATCGATTTAATTACCCCTCCCTCCATACGCACACAGAAGTGCATGTACACGCCAAAACACTCACATATGCTCAGAGTCACACAGACTCACAGACTGGCAGTCTGGAGCCTGGCGGACTCCGGCTCTGATCCCACCCTTATGCAGCCTCGCAGGGGGCTGAGCGGCATGCCAGGCTTGCCTCGCGCCCAGACGGATGCCCGTTGCACGCCCCCATACCAACAGAGCTGCTGCCAAACCACACAAGGAGATAGTAAATGGGAGCAGAGAGTTCTGTTCAGCTTCCTCACACACAACCACACACCATGTGGTTTATTTTATCTGAGTCACACACACACACACACACACACAGGCACCCATGCACACACAACAAAATGAAGGCAGGCTGCAATTAGGGGCCTGTTCGTCGTTGAACTTACAGTATACTAGGTCCATAAATCTTCAAGCTTGCATTTGAAATTGACTTAACTGAAGAGGTTAGATATGAAGCAGAGGGTGATGTTGCCGTTCTTTAGAGGGATTAGTTCATGTTAGTACGACTATAAACTAAAAGCAGCTCTGTGCAAAAAACATCAAGGAAAATGTCAATGAAACATTTCATTCAAGGGTTTGAAAACACTGCCACTACCTTTTATTTAATAGAAGAAATCAGCAGGAATACAATGTGTTTAATAGAAGAAAATAATCCATTGTTGTGTGCTATGGCAGCATGTTGGATGCAATGACTCTTGATGATCTAATCTGATATTGGATAAATTAAATCTGATCGAACTTGGGTAAAGATGTAACTGATATCATAACTAGCCAACCTTATTTGAATGACTTTGGTGTTGACATTCCCTACGGCTTATCTGCAAAACCACTGGTCACCAATTTAGGAGAGGGGTTTTCCATTCAGTTGGTAAGAGGACCCGTTGGCAGTGCCGTCCCTTTTTAGCCGCAAGTATGAGTGAAATTGATTATGAAGTCAGACTTTCCATTTCAATCTTTTTTTTTTTGCTTGTACTAAAAGAAAAATGGAAATAAATCAAAACGAATGTATGAAAAGACAAACATATTGCTTCATCTTTTAAATCAAATAATAACGGTATCAGTCTGGTAGAGGCACGTTGAAGTCTATGACCACTATTGAATCAGTCATCAGTGCTATCCTTGCACAGACTCACTTCATCCACAGTGGCCAGCATGCTTTCTCTCACCAGTGCTCCTTTCAGACGTGCACAAAGTTCCTAAAGAATTTTCAAAATTACCCGACTTGAAATAGTGGAATATTTCCTTCTAGCCCCCTGGTTTCATTTTGTGGTAAAATCTCAGTAAGCTCGTGTGAGAATGCAGGAGCAGATCTTCTGGATAAGCCCCTGTGAGAACGGACTGGGGGAGCAGGCAGGGTGTCTCATGCAGCCAGTGTTTTGTCTAGTTTTACTTGGTTGAAGAGAGCTGCTGTAGCATCAGTCAAAGGTGGTTAGCTTGCTCTGGTTTCAGGTCACAAAAAGAGAGATGTTCATTGTAAGTCTAAGACAGCATGTTTCAGCGCACAAGTATGGAACTTTGATTTAAGAATTCCCTAAAACAGGAGAACTTTGAAACTGTGAGGGTGTATGTACGAACAGCACAGGGGGGCATATTTCTGGATGAGAGCCTCTAAAATTTGAATTCATGTTTGGTGTCTGATAAGGGCGTATTTGTCTGAAGTTTCTGTCTGTATAAATTTGACTTTTTTTAAAATTATAGTACAGACAACATATTTACAAAGATACTAAACATGGTCTAACTGTTTTAAACATGACTACTACCATTAATGTAGGATTCAACAGGCACTGTGTGCATGTGCAGCTCTCCATAAAGGTGGGATTGAAAGGTTCAGTATAAGGACTGAATCTAAAATGTATGAGTTACCAATGTGTTGTGAATTTTGACATTATTAAGACAGATACTGCTACGGAATTACAAAACAATGAGAGATGAAAACTTGCATGAGGATGCAGCATTGTTTGGCTTTTCTGATATCTGATCTACTTTCTGAATATTAAAGAAAGTTGGTAACAAACAGTGGCTTTAAGCACAGCAGGTAACTGGCTGGTGAGCGATGCAGACTGCAGCTGTGAGTGACCCTCTGGCATCCTCTGATTCAAAGGATAGATCCTGAAGTGTTCTGAAATCTAAGGTCATGAAGTAACGTTGTTTCTACATCCTACTCATGGCTTTCTGGTGGTAAAATATAAAGGGTTATAAGGTTTTAAAATAACCATTTATGTTGCAGCACTGACCCAATCTGCAGTGGTTGGTAGTGAAAACCCTCTTCAGGTTCTCCAGAATACTCTGTTAATATAGAAAAAAATGAGCCATCTTTCAAAGTTTGGAAACATATGATTTAGCACTCAACATCAGAGTTTTGTGGTATTTTCAATCAAAACAAAGTCATTACTCCTTGGTTAACTCTTTACGACTTATCTTTCTGGGTTATAATGACATATAACACTTTTTGAAATGAATATCTAACACTTTGGAGTAGAACTTTGGGTTGATTTCCATTAATTCTCCTCCTGATTGGATCCAGAAGACCACATTATATCCAATATTCCCTGTAATATGTCATTCTGCTGCAATTGTTTCAGACTCACAACCGACAGATTAGTCATCACTTTCTGCAGTTAATCACTTAAAACAGCAACAGCAGAGAGCAGAGTGTGAACCAGAGGCTCCACCGCAGGTCACACTTCATGGCAAAGGCTGGGAGCCATTCACAGTTGGACTCACACACAGACACACAAAACAAACAGAAACACACGCACAATCAAGGCATGGAACCACTGACATGAGGTCAAGACCTCCCCGACAGCTAAGTTGATTAAACACGTCTCAGCAACCCACACACTGGCTAATAAAATGCGCTGTGCTGAGGATGATGACTACGTGGAACATGCTGGGAGCATCGCCGGCTCCAGTCGTCTCAGAGAGCTGAGCTACAACACACCCTGTTGGAGTGGCTCCACTTCCACCTACTCACCAAACCTGGTGGGAGCAATCAGCCTGGCTTCTTATTAGGAGGATAATGCCTGTTTGTACATGTGTATATGTATGAATGAATATTTCCTCCATAGACCCTCCAAGTGGAGGCAAAGGTTGCTCCAGAACCATGGCGGTGCATAATCCTGCTCTGAATGAAGGTGGGGGGCAAGATAAACATTCCTGGACAATGAGACCCTCCTTTACCCCCTGCTGCACTCAAAACCCACTTAAAATCTGCTTACCCACAATGCAACACTTGGCTCGAATGAATAGTCCCCCTGGAACTGGTGCAGTGGCACTACAGAATAACACAGCCCCGCTCCTAGGAGCCACAAGTGTCAGCTACAGCTCAGATACAGTCCCTCTGGGCCTTTACTGGGCACATTATATCCAATTCAACTGGCCTTAATATACTTTAATAAGACCTGTTTTCGATTAATTCTCCCTTGAAACCGGTAGTAACACGGCTACTAGGCACATATAAAAATTGAATGAATGGAGCGGGGCTGCCAGAGTCAGGAGGGGGAAAATAGGAATCCTTGTGGATTTGTCCTCACCAGCTGGCTCTCGAGCCCAATATAATGGTTGTGCCCATGGCTCTAAAAGCACCAGTAATAGGAAATATTTGCCCTGCCTGTAATGCGTTTAAGGTGCGCAGTATGATTCAGTTCAAGTCATTAAAGCCTTTGCGTGTCACATCCTGCAAGGGAGGATGGAGCCACTCTGCCTATATTCCTCTCCGGAGATCCGGAACAAGGACTTTGTGTTGTGTTTGAATCCCAATGCAGAAGAAAAATTCATTCATTTTAGATGAACATCAGGTGAAATAAGCCCCCCAAAAATACTTACAGCACCCATAGGAAACACACCATCAGGTTGGGATAGAAATGCCTGTCTGTTCCGTGTTATGGATGGGGATATAAAGCTCTGTGTCCCAAGGCGCACCTGCTGCAGAAACACCACCATAGAGAGTGATTCATAAATATCTCCCATCCAGGAATAGAAATGTTAACACAGCGTGACTGTATTATTGAATGGAGATGAATGAATCTTTTCTGCGTCCTGTCCGGCAGGTGAGGCAGCTGTGGAAGAACATGAAAGTTACCACGCTCCTGGTGTTTTTCCTGAGCAGCTGACTTTTCTTCAACAGTTTCCCTTTTCAAACTTCCCCGCTGCAAAGCAAATAACTGTCACAGACAATTAGCTTTTATTGAGGTACTTATTTATTTTTGGGATTAACTTGTTACTTAGCAACTCCACATGGAGCCAAAATCTGCGCTGAGAGTTGACTTTGGATTGCAATTTTGCAATTAAGAGCAAATTCAGTCATAAAAGTCGCCCATTAATGCCACCATTTGGTGGGCTTGTACACACCATGACGGCTAACATATGGCAAACTTGTTCAAAATATTAAGATCTGCTTCCCCTTCGACACCAATATGTTCCTACTCAGTGCTGTATTGGCCAGTGCCAAACACCACGGCTAACCCATGTGAAGATTAATGATTCCAGATTTCCCTCAACTCAAAAGGGGAGGCGATGGCTCATTATAAAGTTATTAAAAACAGCACATTACTGCAACATTTATTATACCAGGCAATCTTATTTGCCCCACCAATGTCATAACTTCCATTTAGAGGGAACAAATGTGTCACATGCGCCACAACTGCTACAATTGCACGCTAAAAGTTGGCTGCAGTTTATGAATGAAAGCAGAACTCTCTGCCCCGTTCCCACTACCTTCCTGCTGTCTTGTTCAGTGTATATACTATATACAATGGATGCATTTATGTGCCAAAATAACCTGCTTTAAAAGCACAGATTGGGATCACTGATCCATACAGTGCAGAGCTTACTGGGTCATTTCCTGTTAGTGGTTTCACTTGTTGTGCCTTTGAAGCAGTATTTAATAATAGGACCCAACAGAACTAATGAAAATGCTCTCTGTCAGATTAAAAGGGAGCTTCAGTCTCAGCCACCTAACCGCATTCAGCACAAACATTAAAACACACGCAGACACAGAGGCATGTGTGCAGATACACACAGTTTACAGAAGTGGTTTACACAAGGAGACCATTCTCTCTGAAGTGTGGATGACTGCTAACCCTTTTAATAACACTGAGAATACCATCAGTGTACTGTTTCTCACAGCAGCAGAGAAAGAGTGATGTTGAAGGGAAAAGGTGAGGAGGAATAAAGAGACCCATTCCTGACCAAAGCCGATCTGATGTGATTCTTTTATATCTTTTTTTTTTCCATTGCAGATCTAGCAATGAGTGCTGTAGTGGTGGTCTTGAGCTTAATGAATCCACTTCGATGCAGTTCCTCTCTGTTAGCTGTAAGGTTTAATCCCTCAGTCTGGAGTAGTGATAGTCTGGCCCAGGGGATGACATCTGTGAATCGTTCATTAACTCCTAACCAGCAGCAGATGTCTTAAAGAAAACAACAGACTACACCGACAACTCATTCAGTGCAATGAAATTGTAACTTTTGCTTGCTTTCATTCATTGAAAGACCCTTTTGATATCAAACAGTTAATTTAAATTTAATTATATATGATTCATTTATTATTCACTATTCTAGACACCTATGGCAGCTAGTAGTCATATTGGTTGGGTGGGCTAACAAATGTGTTAGCCTATACCCAATGTTGGGGGTAATGCACTACATAGTAACAGATTACAGTAACGAAATTACTTTTTTGGGGTAACGTAGTAAAGTAACGCACTACACTAAAAAATAACATAACTTAATTACTCAACTAATCAATAGGAACATGCCTTTTTGTGTTACGTCAGCTCTGTTTCCCTGTGTGCTAAGTTCTGATCTGTTGAAGTGGTTCGTGTGTGCTGCTTGTGTGTCTGTGACAATAGCCAGGGGTTTAGTTCTCATAAGGATCAATTTCATCTTTTTAATCTTTTCTTGATATCGAGCCTTTGGACCATTGTCCAGCTTGGATCCGTACGCTTTTCTTTTCGGGATTCATTTTTCTTGGGTGTTTTTTTTCTCACTGTGTTGCCATCTCACAGCCTCCCTGTCGAATGTGAATAAAAAAAAGTTGCCTGCGAATATGGCGCTGTCGGACCTAAGATGCATTGCGCAATCATGTGGCCTTTGAAAGTCCTATGGAGAGATCGATTTGAGTGACATAGCTGCTGATGGGAAAGAGAGATGGAAATGGAGAGGATACATTCATACAATATATAAAATAATGCAGACTATGCTCAGTGATGATTGGGCTATGTTGTTTGTCCATGTACCTCTACATGGTAAATTAAGAAATGGGAAAGTAAAGTAATAAGTACTTAAGTTACTTTTCAAATGCAGAAAGTAGTTCAATAATCTCATTACAATTTACAGAAGTAACAAGATACTAGTAACAAATTACTTTCAATGAGTAACTACCCCAACACTGCCTATACCTATAAATAGCTGCACCTTCAAAAACAGCATAGATAACAGCTCAAATTTGAGCATTACAAAATATATCAGAAAAAAGGTTTGATTCCAGAAAACTCTCCACCTCCCTGTTCCTTCTGCATTTTTATCTACTCAGCTGTATCTCTGTATTGTGTTTTTTTAACCTTGTTGCAGCCAATAAGAGAAGGTGCGAGCCTGTTAGCCCATGCACTGTCCCCACTTTCATAGAGCTCCAATGACAAAACTCAAAATAATCATAGCTTAAAAGGAAAAGGCCAAAAAGTAAACCTGTGTTGAGATGTTCTTGAGCAGTTTAATCAACACTTTCCTAAGCCATACACTATATAAAACATTTTGTCATGATTTTTTCACTCCTTGTGTTTGATGACTTTTCTTGCATCTGGGTTACATTTAAAGCTTCACTGTGTAGATGTCGTATCAGCGTGAGTGTTGCTGTGAGTCTCCTTCGACGTAAACTATGCCGTGCCTCTTTGAACACCTGTGAAAGATGTTCAGGCTCTTAAAACTGCAGCGCCTTAGGCCTCGGGATGGATATGGAGAGTATGAAGAGCTGGATAGTTCAGCACTGACAGCTTCCCTGTGGAAACATCATGTGTGATTTTAAGGGGGTTAACCGGAGCAGGAAGGCTGTGGTCAGTGTCTTCCAGGGTGATATATACTCGACAGAACGTGATTCATCTGCTACTGTGCATCCATAAGCTGTCTAGCAGATTCTGCTCCTTTTCTCCTCTGGGACAATGATTATACTGTGTGGGTCTCAGGTTAAATTAGCCATGACTTGCATTACAACATTTCTCTCTGCCTGTACGGAAGGTAGATTAAGCCTACAGACGCTGAAAAGAAACACTTTCAGATGTGTCTATTTCTCATTAAAGTGAATAACACTTATAAAAGAATAAAAAAGCTGTGATTTTACATATTTTCTTGGTGAAAGCGCCACAGCCAATTATATGGAACGAAAGAAGTAGAGGAAGATGTTAGACATGAATGGGCCACCGGCAGCATGCACTAGTTTAGGAGACGTCATCGTGAATTACGAACCCTTAACAGCACAGTCATGCTGGTGAATCCCAATTGACCATATCCAACCCTTTGGCTGGGGGTAGCACTTGTGTCATGCAGTGCGACATGATGTATTTCACAAATGATTCTGAAATCACATAATTGTACACTAAACTGAAACAAGGAAGCGACAGTTTCAGCGTGAAGCCACATTAGACAATAATGAAAAGCTGCATCATACAGTCACATGAAATGTATTTTAATAAAACACAATGTACACATATGCAGTCCTATGACCATACATTTGCTGGATCCTAATTATTTAACCTAGAATGTGTTAAAGCATAGTTGTATTTGTCTTTTTTTTTCTTCTTCTTGAAAACATTGAAATCAGTAGATGAGGTCAAATGAACGTAACACAACACTGCGTGACATCAGACAAAAACCTTTTTCCACGTGTTAAAGATATGCACTGTTATAAGGAACTCAAAGAGTATTTCAGCATATAAGAGTAACAGTATGAGGCAAAAACTCTCACTGAACAAATAAAGTACAAAATAGAATTAATAAATAAATCAAATATATACCATATAAATGAAATAGCTATGTGGCGGCTATGTTTATTATTTGTTTTTAATCATTTTCATCCGTAGCTTGGTATTATGACCTTTTTATCTCTAAAACATTTAGAACAATGAAGGAGTCAATACTGAAAATACAGTAATAAGCTTTCTTAATTAGATAAACTATGTACACATGAGTCTTTTGCCATGCTAGTCAAACAACTAAATTTCTTCTTTTTTATCCACACTATACAGTTAGAGCATAAAGCGGTCCAAACGTAAACAGTTTGTGCTGAGAATAAAATATTTTGCAACTATGCATGGTAATTTTTCTTAATATTACTCTCAAAAATGTACAGAACATAAAGGCCACACATGGGAACACTCCATCTCCATTTACAGGGGGGAGGTGAGGGTAGTTTTGACATAAATATATAGGAACAAAAAAACAGTCTCTTTCAGTTCAAGATGCCATTTTCTTGTCCATCAGCATCATTTGCGTTAGTCAAATCTCCTTTGTCTCCTCATCTGCCTTTTTTTCTTCATCCTCCCATGCCCCCTCTTTTCCGCAAGCTGTTCGGCTTGCCAGCTCCCTCACCAACTCTCCCATCCACCTCCCTTCATCCGGCTCTCCCGCCCCCACAGTCTCTGGTTGCCTCTCCGTCTTCCATCACCCTGCTCATTTAATGACATTGTTAATGACGGGAAATGAGTTCAGTAATGTCAACTGTAAGGTCCACAAGGCTAGGCGAGGGGTGGGGCAGAGAGAACAGAGTCACCTGGCGGGTCACTGCAGCAGGGGGGAGAAGCAGCGGGAGGCGTGAAGGCATGAAGAATGTGTTTAGTGTGGTGATACTGATATCGCACGTTAGACATATTTTTTTCTTAGTGACGGATTTGTGAGTCATGATTGTGTCCTGGTGTGAAGGGGAGAAGTGGGGGAGGGGGGCTTGGGTAGGGTTGGTGATAGTCGTCAGTCAGGTTATGGGTGCAGCAGTGGCTAGCAGCTTTGCGTTGGTTCTTTGTTCAATGGGAAGTCTGTAGGGTCAGTTTTCACTGGCTGGTGCGGGCAGAGGCCAAATGGTCACTGTGCTGGTTCTGGGCGCGCAACCGCAGCCTCTGCTTGTTCTTCTTCTTTGGTTCTTTGGACCGCTGCTTCCCTGAGCCTGGAGAGGAATCAAGAAAAAACAAAGTGGTTATTCCTTCTAATAGTCAGCCTCAAGTCATAGTCCCACCACCCAAAAGCATAAACTTCTTTGCACATGGAGATGACAGTAACGAAGCGAAGTCTCTCAGGGTTTCGGCCTCAAAGATCAAAGCTGTCTGGTCAACAATCAGGCTATTTATTATAAATGCTTATTTAATTGACTGAACATCATTTAAAAAAGTAATTAAAATATAAAAACTTTAAATTCCCAATGGTAAACCAAAGATCCAGTCTCACAGTCATTTTTTGACCTCCATATCTTGCTTGATTTAAGCCTTTGAATCAAGATAGTTCGTTTTACTTATTAAAAACTATACCTATAAGTTACCTCATAGCCATTATATTGTTTAAAAATACATATCTGGGGTATTAGGATGGAGGCCTCCAATCTTGTTAATGATCCTTGACCATGTAATAAGTCAATCTGGCTCTGCATGCATCTACCATACTTTTATTTCACCAATTTCCTGCTTTTTGGACCAAAATGTGAATTACTACTGGCTAAGTTTTTATGAGGAGAATGACCAGAAACCATTAAGCCTGGATAAGAAAAAAAAACACAACCAGAACGTCAGAAGTGATCAGGTATTTTGTTTGTGAAAAGATCCATGCAGTTGTTCCATCTTACAACCTCATTGACCTGGCCCTCGTATTAAGAGACTGTTGGCAGCTGTGTGGTGCTGCGCTGGGCACATTTTCTTTTAGTGCATTAGGAACATTGCTTTAGTACTATTCCTTGCACTCTGAATATTCATCAGGTCCACTCAAAGTCGGGGCATATTAGCAATGTTGAATTTGAACCCGATCATCCCACAACCGCTAGTGGGATGATGCAGCATACTGATGGGTGCAACAAGATTAATGAGCCCAATTTTTATTTCTTTTAATGTGAAACAGAAGTTTGTAAAGCTCATGCATGCAACCGACTTCTGTGGTATGGACTACACACAGGCGATTTTGGGGTGAAGGTTCTCAGGATGAGGACATGAGGCTTGGACTTTAACACCCTATCCAGATAATAAGTAAAAATAGTGTAAGACTTGTTCGAGAAAACACACTTTAAGGTTTTTGAGAGCGTCAGTGTTTCTGACGGTATGTGTCGCCAAAAATAACAGCTTACAAGAGGTGAAACTTATACCAGTGGGAAGACTAAATGGTGTACAGAAGTAAAGATCATATGAGGCAGCATCAGATATGTGGTCTTCACTTGCTCCAACCCTTCTGGACTAAAGATTGTTTTTAACAAATGTCTTCTCAGCCCAACACTTTTAACTGTCACTGCAATAGATAGGGGAGATAAGTACGGGACGTTGCATAACCCTCTTTCCAAGTTGGAAAAGTCCTCAAGCCCAAGGTTAATCCATCCCAGGTTTCAATGGGATGGGCAAAGCATGCTGGGAGCTTACTTCCTGCACTCATGGAAGCTTGTGCGGTGGAGGTTCTGCACCCACGGCTCTCTGTGACAGAGAAAACTCCGGCTACCGAACCACAAGGCAACAATCTGGCTGCCAAGGCCACAAATAAGATAACGAGGTGTGTGTGCGAGATGTATGTGTGCGAGGGGGAGTGAGTGTGAGGGAATTTAAGGGAAAAGAAAATCTAATGGGGGAAAAGTGGAGTAAGGCTTGGATGATGGGACGCTATCTGGATCCTGATCTAGAACACAAAAGAACAAGCTACACCACGGTTCGCTGAGGAGAGAAGCACGAGAAAGTGCTAAAATAAATGACTCCTGTTGTTTCCTGAGCTCACTCTGAGTCATAATACTGCACTTGTCCAAGCTGGTGCTCTCACGAAGAATAGGTAACGGTGTGTAAAATTTGGCATTATCTTTAATTGCCTCCTCTGGTGGCATTGCCGTGGCCCTTCAAGCACCCTTACAAAAGACCCATTTCCCAGTCTCAGAGCTATGAGGCAGATCTGAAAATATTCACTCGTCTAAGCCGACATGCTTGAGAAAGCGAGGTATTGCTCTGCTAATAGGGTCTCCCAATGAAAAATACAGATGCATGCAAACATCAAACCGTCTAAGAGCTATTTCCTGCAATTAATCTAATCTTGTTATTTTGAGACACATTTCCAATCTGAGCCATAGCTATAAAGTTTCTTGCACACAGCTTCTTGTTAAAATCACCCTTTGAAAACAGCTTTCACATCTCTTCCATCAGAATTTAACACACGTAAATCGAAAAACATTACCAGGGCACTTTGTGCACTTGCCTTAGTAATGCCACTTTGGATTTCTTGCATGACTAACAGTATGATAATGTTTGTTAAAGTAATTTTGGAGTTAAAAGGCATTTGGCCGATGGCTTCATTTTCCTAACTGCTCCTAAAAAGAGGTCATTTACTCTCAAACTGTGTTTTTAGATGCCCGATAACCACAGCTTCAGAGGACTCAACTTCAGATGGATTACATTTGATGGCAGTTAAGTACATAGTGCAGAATCAGACCCTCTCTGTGACATGTAAATTCTTCATGAGCCGCTTTTAAAGTGAAAAATAAATAAAAAAATCAAAACTCAATTTAAAACAACTATGCAATTTGCAAACACTTTATGTGAAGGATCAGTGTTTCTAGCTAGTTCAGGAGTGGGGAGAGGATCCGGAGACCATTTTTTTTTAAGTTATTCCTTACAGAACAGAACCGGAGGTGGAGTCAAGGGGTAGAAGGCCATAATCCCTTTAAATATGACCGGCCAGACCATTGGATACCCCCAAAACCTAACCTATGATTGGCTACCTAGCCTTATCAGTCATATTTTAAAATCAACCTGCTAGTATTAGACTATGTTGCTACTGGACCCTAATAATACCTGAGTGTAAATCGTACAAAGTCATTTTTCAATGTCAAATAGGAAGTATTGACATGTTAGGGGTACTTGTTCATTTGGCTAATGTCCTGTAAATAGGGCTGCAAAATATCAGAGTCTTGTTTAAATGCCGATATTTTCATACACATTTTTACTGATCCCAATATTGATATATTCATACTTCTTTTCAACGTAAATAACAAAGTTCTATCTGTGCTTGAATTCCCCTGTTTCTCTTATTGTTACTACATTTATAAAAAAGAAAAAAAAAATCAGGAAAGTCGATGATGAAACAAGTGGCAAGAAGTCCCCTGACATGAGGAACACTGTGTTCTCTTGTCTGGATGACGACAACAACCCAGATGAGAAGGTAGCTTCTTGGGAGTTTCTGCTGCCATCAAGTTATGCAAACACCAAACCAGAGTTTCAGAAGCAGAAGACCCTCTCCGTAGAAAGAACCTGGATTTGTCATGTTTGTTTCCTGAACTGACTCCACTGAGATCCCCCTACCCACAATTTCTTCATACACCAATGAGAAGAGGTACCCTGATATGCAAGATGATACGATTTGCATAGACAGTTTTTCAGGAAGATGCTCCTCAAAGAGGGATTGGCTCTGGCAGAAAAGACTGTTCTGCCAAAGCTCTCCAGGGTGGTGCATCAAGGCGATCAACGACCTCTGAGCCCTACACCTGCACCTGCACAGATTGAGCCTCCTAGAGGACACAGTCATGGCAGAGAGGCAACTTATGAGGCTTCTCCACTGTGGAGGAAGTCATTCCACTAGAGATTCCCAGACCGATGACGAAAGGGGTTTCCACTTTTAGTCATAAAAAAAAACAAGGCTAAATAAAATAAAATACATAAAATAAATGCCCCCCTGTATTGGAGGGAAAAAATAATATCCACAGGGTAATGGTTGTTCAGTTATTGGTTAATTTTTCACACAAATTCTACTTTGATTTTTCTTTTCAAAGAAAAGCAAGACAGTTTTATCAAAAATAAAGTGCACTAGAGTGCAAAAGGCTCCAATCCAAAGGGTACAGTAAAACAGAATATGCACACAGCTCTTAAACGCTGAGGCGCAGCTAGCTCAGCAGTCTCAGGCTTGGTGAACACTACACTTTTTTGAAGTTGTGGTAGAGGGCAAAGCTACATTGTAGGAGTGAACCATGAACAAAACTCATGATTCATGTGCTCACACTGTGCATGTCAAATAGGGACAGAGCTTTGATGTATTATCTGTTTTCTTTGAAAAGAAAGTGAATGTAAAAGACTATAACTTAAATCATCACTGTTATAAAAGTTCAAACTCAAGCTTTGAGACTGAGTGCGCTGACTTTATGCACATTTGCTCCACACTCTGCCTTTATCCATCATGAGAAACTGATTTTATAGTTTCAATGTGTTAAAAGCTTCAACTCAAAGTCCCTTACACTCCATGAACTCACCTCCATAACAATTTCAGACCATATTTCATAACCTAGTCTCAGTGGTCGCAGCTAGAGGGCAACCAATCCCCACATAAACCCCTTCCCCCGGCATCTGATACAGACATAAGGAGATGTTCTGTCACATCTACCCGTTTAGTCTTTTCTCGGGGCACCAGGCGCTGAACTTTCATCATCTCATATTTATGACCACTGTAATCACTTAAGCTGATTACCAGGGTTCACAGAGGAAACTGTTTAATTTGCCTGGAAAGAAATGATTAAGTCATCTCAATAGCTTTCAAAACCAAGAGCAAATTCACAAATCATTCAGCATGAAAGATAATTTTGTCCTGGAAGGCACAGCAGGTCCAGAATCAATCTGTGTCTTTGTTTTCTCTGTCCTAACCGGAACAGTAAGAACTAAATCAGAAGAGCATGTCTTTTATCAGAAAATTATAAACCCTCTTTCTACATGTCTTTCCGTTCTGGCTGCATCACTACAGCAAACCACAATTTCGCCAATGTTTAGTTTTCCTTGGTAGATACAATCGTCTTCTTGCTCAGCCTGACGTTTGCTTTCAGGCTCCGAATGAAAAGTTAATCAAACAAACAAACAGAAAAGTCAAGAGCAAATCAAAATGTTTTGTATTTCTGAATCAGAAGCAGAGCCTGCGGTGAGATCCTTGTTTACCACTGTCAAAAATGACCTTTGTGGAATTCTATTATAAATCCATGTGAGTGAGCGCACACATTTGAGAATGACGAACTTGCCCTTTAGGCCCATGTGTCAGTGATTGGAAGCTCCTCTATCACCTATCAGAGTTGAGAAATACTTAGTGTCATTTCCAATCTCCTCAGCTGCCAAACCAGAGAGCGAGGAAATATTAAACTCCTCTGCATACAGTGTGGTGGAGGACGTTCCTCAATAACCTCTCAAAGCCAGTCGGGATCCATGGCTTTTTCTCTTTCTTCCCCATCATTTCTCCCTCTGATTTTTCCCCTTCTCTGCGTCCCGGTGATGCTGTTTGAGGCTCTCAGCAATAACCAAGAAGACTGCATGGTGGCGTTCCAACTGAGAGTTAAGCGCTATTAGAAGTATCATATTATTAGGCTCGCACTCCGGGATAATATCTCCTCGTGGAATGGCAATATGACTACTTGTCCAACTGATGCACTGAAAGATAATCAGTCAAATCCATATCCAGGGGGAAGGAAGCCAAAGCCAAAGTTCCTTCATCTGTGTCAGAGCTAATAACTGTGCCTCTGGTAAAGGGACCGAACTCAAGAAAGTGAGGAAAAAGAGAGGAAGAGAAAGTCTGCATAATACAGCAGTGTCATATTCCAGTGAACTCATGTGTTTGTTTTTTTGTCACCTGGTACTCTTTGGAAGATCTCTCTCTGCTCAAAATGAATCATATTTTCTTTACTAGTCCTGAGGCTTCTGCGGGGATGTCTATATGTTACCCTATAATCACAGAGGCCATGACCTGCCAAAAAAAGGAGCAATGCACCGACTGTCAGCACAGGCCAAGTGATTTCATCCACTAACGGCTCCGGCGGCAGCGCAGGAATCGAAGTCCTAATCTTATCTCCATTGCTTGTGGTTTGAGAGAAATCGATGGCTGACCTCGAGAAGGCATTAAGACGTACGGTAAATGGGATCCTGTACTGCTGAAAACTCTCCTGTTACCCCATCCCTCCACTCGACGCAGACGTTCAATTAATAACTTTCATAGGACGCTGCTGAAGGGGGGGCAGGCAGAAAAAGAAAACATCCAAACAATTTTGAAGAAGATTCGGGCGGACTTAGGAAAGGTAAAGCTGGAATTTTTGGCGGCCTGTCTTTTTCATAAACAGACCAAAGCGAAGGCCATTATTTGTGAGGGAAGGAGAGAACTACTGGCGCCAGTGAGATTTGATTTCAGTGGCAGAAATTGGATTAGCAGCCATTAAGGGCCTCCTCACACATACATTTATAATGCTGTGAAGGGGAAAGGATCTGTAGTCAGCCTGTGCCCTCTTACTCACACACCGACAACTCCTCTGTCTGGGAAAAGGTTACGGACATGACACTGGCCTATACTGCTGCTGAACTTGGTTTTCACGTGATTTATAGGTGGGACACAGTGGCTTGACCTTTAGTGACCCATACGTAATGAAGGCGTTGGCCAGAGGTTGGCTGAAACTTTTAACGGTGCTTTGTGTTTGACGGGCGATTCGGTGTTTAAGGGAGAAGAGAACATGATACAGATGAGAAAATACTTACTGTAAGTGTAAAAAGGCCAAAATTTGTAACAGATTCAGACCTGGAAGGAGTCGAAAAGCTACAATATAAGGCGGAAAACTACTGGCGAGTGTTGCTGCAGAGGCACAGACGTCAGATGTAGGAAAAAAGAGATCAGCCTTTTGACAGAGAGGACAATCATTTACAAGAAGCTCATCTTGCCAACCAACTGACAAGAGGCTCTCTGCACAGCGTCACTTAGCCCTAACAAGGTTACTCTGGATCACACTCTTTCATTCACTCTTTCATCCTGTCGTTCCCTTTTCCCCCATGCTCTGCTTACTATCACCACGCTGCGAGGCGAGAATGATTTAAAACATACGCATTCCGATTTAAAAAGCTAATGTTGGGATTAGGTGGGTCATTATTTTCTCATCTATGACCCGACGGAGGATCTGCGCAGAGATTATAAAAGCAGGTTAGCTCACCGCTCAGCTCTTTGATGCTTCGTCTCACTGACAATAAGTTAAAGCGAAAACCCGACTCGGAGATTAACGTCTCTAAGCGGAGAAGTCCCGGCAAAACATGCATGACTGGCATGCTGATTAATATAGCTGATGGTTGGGGCAGACAGCGTGTTTTTTCCCCTCTGGAGAAGGTCGATCACTCCAGAGAGCTAGCAGCCACAACCTGCCCAGGATGGAAGAACAGAACAGATGATGACCTGCACATTAAAGTTCCTCTACATCTATTCAGGGTTCGAAGCCAAGCGCTGCTACATGTTATAACTAGAGGCTATTTCTCTTTGAGCTCCAAGGCAGGTTATCACACAGAAACCTTTTTACAGCAGATGTAAAATCAGAGCAACATCCAAACAGCTCACAGAGAAAGACACGTCTTTCCAGAGCTATTTCCTCTACCACACCTTCACTTAAATACTAATGAAGGGTTTCAGAAAAGTTGGAAAGTTGGGAATAACTACTTCTTAATGGACTAGGGAAACTTAAATTGAATAATCCTTCAGGTCAGATTTCCAAATTGGAAACTTGGGGCACGATTGCTCAGGTTTCCAAGATCCACTTTGATGCTGGCGTGTCAACATGGCACTGTAATCCTTAAGTACTCCTCACGTTAATACAGAGAATTTCACTCTCTGTAAATGTTAACATCTTATTAAAAACAACTGTACAACCACTGTCCAGCAAGTCCATTAAAAACTGCAATCAGTAAGTTGTTGAGAAAAACCTTTTCAAAAAAACTTTCTTCAATACTCAGTCCAACTCTGTCAAAAGTTTTTTTAGGCTATTCAGAAGGCTTAAACCCACAGCTTTTACCTCTCACAAGTTACTGTGGATACAGAAAAGTAAAGGTTTATAAGCAGAATCATAGAAAACAACCTCATTATTCTGAGGATGTAATGTCAAGGTCAGACGATACGATCCTAACCAACTAAATATCAATAAAATAATATAATAATAAAAAATTGTGTTTTTTAAATCATATTTTGTAGTAATTTTTGGGCCTGTTCAATACTTATTAATCACTTGTTTGACACGTTACCATGGTTACATCACTAGCATCATTCACTCACAGGAGTCCAAAGCTTGCAGCTGTATCTGATTCCAACACTTTGGCAAAGGGTGCAACATTCAGCTGTGGGTGTGACCTTAAACGAAGGTCATTTCATTACTGTGTGGAAGAGTGGACTAGTTTGAGAAAGCCCCAAACAACTGCCATCTCAAGGCGGGATATTCACATCAATGTGTCCCCATGAGATGTGTAATTAGGCACCAATTTCAAGCACCAATAATGTCCTGTATGGAAGTCCAATGTCTGAGTACAGAGATGTTGTGATAATAGATCTCCCCCTTTCAGGGCAGTTGTGGAATAGCAAAGTTTAAGAGACTCGTGACTCTGAAAGTTAAGTGATTATTGAGCATATTCCTGATCTGCAACACCAAATAGAATATCATTTGTATGCACTGGCTTACAGGACTGACCTATATATGCTAGATAAGTTACTTTTTAAAGCTAGAAAGTTACTATGCAATCAATCAGTTCAACCTTGGTGAGATTATTTTGAAGAATCAATCAATTTAATTTTGTTTATATAGCACCAAATAACAACAGTCGTTATCTTAAGACGCTTTCCAAAAAAGAGCAGGTCTAGACCACAGTCATTGTTTGAGGAATCACCAAGACCCAGCCTTAAGATGGGACAGTTTTGATCTCATCTAACATCAGTGACAGTGGCAAGGAAAAACCTCCTTTAACAGGCAGAAACCTTGGGCAGGACCTAGACTCAGAATTCAATTGAAATTGTGAAAATACTTGTTGTATCTACATTAATTTCTTCAAAGAGCTTCAAATCCACCTTACAAGGTGGGTACAATGAAGTTTTCTGAAAACCAAATACTATCTCCTTTCTAGCAGTACCTCATCCTGAGACAGCTGCACTCAGCAACAAGACAGCTTGATTTCCTCGTCCCGGTAGTGCAGTGGTTAGCCATTATTTCTGAATGTCTGGTGTTACTTGACGCAGAGAAGAAGAAATTAGGTCTGAGGAGTTAAATCACATGACGTAATATGGTTTCTGGGATATGACCTCCTGCCAACTGTTACGGTTTAACCACTTCCAGCCGAAATACAAAAATTGTAGCTCAGAGCAAAGGTCTGAACGCACGTTGTCGCCCCCTGCAGCACTGAGAGGTAACTCAAATGGAAACCTGCTGTTTATGAGTCAGCCACTGTCTGAGATTAAAGATCCTCTCTTTTATTTCTTCTTCAGTTTTGAATTAGGGCACATCACTGATCATTATCAACTTTTTTTTCCCCCCACTAAATGGATCCTTGCAGTATGGCGGTGGCTTTACAAAGCTAATGGTGTCATGGGGGTAACGTCAGCAGGCAGGCAGTGAACAGGCAGCACGGCCGGCCTGCTGAGGCTGATGCGCCTCGAAACCACAGAACTCAGAGAGAAGTGAGCAGCCCCCTCTGCGGTCTGCTATCTCCCAACTGACTCATCGACACATCTGGGCCTAAGTATATGGGGCTCTCCTGCCCCGTGGGCTCTTGGGTAAATGAGGGATAATTAGCTGTAGTTGACTTTAATGAATGGCTTAATGTTGTGTTTCATTTCTGATGAGAAAAATATAAAGCTCAGCACTTATCAAAGGGAGGCCCCGCGCCGACGTTCCTGAAAACTCGCCGCTAGAGTGGGTCTGTTTGTTTTTGTATTTGTTGTGTGTGCATGGGGGCGAGGCAGGGAGAGCCGGAGATAGCTGCAGAAAAGGAGGGAGTGGCTTAGAGTGTGACCACATACACAAAGACCAGGAGAGCTGCTGTGGATAGACAGTAGCAAATTCTTCCTAAAAGCTGAAAAGCTCCGACACATGTGATCTCTGTTTGTCTTCAATTAAAGATAGAAAAAGGCCACAGTTATCCAGATTGATTGTCATGTCTTCTTTATCTTACGGAGAATGCTTTAAAGGCTTTGATCCACGTTATAATTCCCATATGCTTTGATATAAAGCAGGAAGTGTCTCACCGAGTTATGATAGTCATTCATCTTCGTTTCCAATAAGTGTACTGCACTAAGCTGATGAAATGAATCATTTAAAACAGACTCAAGATCCAACACAGATTTATTTTCTTAGATTCAATCTTTGATAACAAGCAGCTCTCTTGGTGTAACTGTCGTCTATGTTTCCCTGTCTTCACACTGAAGCAGCTCCATGCCGCTCCGTATCATCGCTGTGCCATTAAGAAGTAAAAGCCAATAAAAGCCGTGTTTCTTCTTTTACACACTCTACCTTTTCCTCTTGGCATCCGTTCATGGATAGAATAAAACACACTCACTTAAGAGGACCTCACAAGTCCCTCACTCCTCTGTGTAAACCAGCACCCCACCAGGATTAACTGTGCACTCCAACCCCCCCGCCATGCCAACAATGGTCCAAGACGGGAAAAAAACATCCTACAAAATATGTTTTGCAACCTCCTCTCGTTGCTGTTAAAAAAATATTTGGAACACTTTTTATTTATCTGAGGATGTAAATCTGCATTTCCAGGATCTGTTCAGGATAATATGTCTCGGCCTCCAGGTAAGGGGGATCTACCCCCAACAGAGCGCCACGGCTTAGGGATTTACCTGGCTCAGCCCCCTTCAATGCACCTTCAGGACTTCCTCTGCATTACAGAGCCCTGACCCACTTAATGTAGAGGAATAAAATGGTTGTTAACGGGGGGGCACGCAATAAGGTTTACCTTGAGTAAGGGGATTTCTGCAAAAGGTCTCTAAGAGAGAGGAAAGGGAAAGGTTGTCAGTCAGTAAACACATCTATAATTGACGGTTTATGATATTCCATTTCCAGGAATGTGATCATAACTCAGGCATAGAAACAAGCTTACTGGGATTTGAGCATTTCTAGAAAAAGACAGGAGGTTATTGTCTTTCCTAAAGCAGAAATAGACACAAAATATTAGTGATGTGTTGGCCCTTATTTTCCGAACCAAAAGTTGACAGGTATGCCAGTGACCCCTGGTCAATGCAACACAATTTGTGACCTTCGGAGGTGTCTCTGTTTAATACAGATCCTGTACACATTAAACTATTGTTAACAACAGTGGTAAGGCGTTTGACTGGTCTCAATGCCAACCTGAGGACACCCCATTTGCAAAGTTGACTGTCCTTTCCATTCTTCTCTTGCTTCTTACAAAAAAAATAACAACAACAAAAAAACTGACTCTTGGCTTGAAGGAGGGGTCACCACGGTTTAATAGTACATCTTTAAGGTTTAAACTATGAACTGCATATGTCCCATGGAAAGCTAGAAAGATTTAGCAACAGTAGCTCGGAGGTTAACTTTTAAGAATGAAAGGATAAGGTGACCATGTGTAAGGCACACAGTCACCATTTCCATCATGCACATTACAGTGTGTTCCTGCATAACAGAATTTTTGGCATGGGTGTAGATGTGCATGCACAAACTCCTCATTCTTTAATTCCACATGCTCTGCATCCTCTTGGTCTCTGTGGGTCTGTAAGGGAACATGGAGGATATAGGAGGAAATTTTCCGGCATGATTCCCTCTTTATATCTCATTTCTGCACAAGTCCTTTTATCCCCCCTTCTCCCTACTAGGAAACCCTGGGAGGAAATCCCTCACATGTTTGGACGTGGAGCACAACTGTCCCAAAACAGGACCAGACCCTAACAAGCAGGGAGCCAAGCTAAGTCAGACGGGCTTAGACACTAAAACAAAGACAGGGGCCGTCAGGATCATGCTGCAATCCCCGTGCAATGGCCAGTGATGAGGGAATCAAGTCTGGCTGGCGCTTTTTTGTTTTCTTTGATTGTTCAGCTAACTCTCAAAGGGCGCTGTTGCTCTGTCTCCTCTGATGATCCAACAGACTGCACATATTTTTTGATAAAAATAGTTTGTTGGTTCACCGTGGAAGAAAAGGGTGGGGGGAGTGTGTTTGATGTGTTCACAGAGCTCCTGTTGCACAGGGGAGAGAGGTAAAGCCAATTCAGGAAAGGCTTTATCCTCTCTAAGGCCTGCGCTGCATCAAACACTTGTCAAACACCAGCCAGACAAACAGCTGAGTGGCTCTGACAGATCTGATCACAGACACGGGCAATGAGAGTCACCGGAGCTCAGCTCGTCTATCCAACTCTTGTCAATAATCCCCCTTCAATTCACTAAAACACAAACAGAGGCCTCTGAGGCATATGGCAGACATTTTCTTGTTTCTTTTAGCTGTGTATGATTACAGTGCAATTTCAACGGTCATTTCAGGGTCTCACCTCACAGAGGAGAGGTTTGTGTACTCCAGACGGCAGCAGCATCTGTCAGAGATGCAGTCGAGGAAGGAGAAAAGGAATCAAATCAAAGGGAGACTTAAGCTCTCACTAATCTGAAAGAAAAGTCTCAAGGCCTGTCGGGATCACGATCCTGAACCTTGCCACCCAGCGGGAAGGAAAGCGTTTATGTAGGAAAGGATTTGATATGGTACCTGGAGTGGGTTGAGTTTCATGACAGTCACCACTCAATCATGTCTTGAGATTTTCCTGGGAGAGCCATTATGTTATATCCTCAAGGAAAAAAATTATAATGAAAATGATCTGAAAGAGAACTCGGAAAATTAAACTGCATTTTAAGGATGATGAATTTTGAACCATATCTCATAACACATCCTTTGTTTTAGTGTGTTTATAAGAATAAAAGGGTTTAATGCATCCTTCTTTTGACAACTGCATTCAACAAAGTCCACAATGAGCAGTTTATAGGCAACTGAGTTGCTCTGTTTAATACTTTACATTTTTATTGTGTTGCCTTTGCGGTTCTGCAAGCTACTGATCATTTAGCTAAGCTTGAAGTGACTTTAGACTTAAAGGTGGGGTAGGCAGGATCTGAGGAGGTTCCAGTTTTTGGGAGAAATCTTGAATGTAAACACAACTCCTCCCAACCAGTTTTCCCCTCAGCTCCTCCTCTCCCCTCCCTCTCTGCTCCAGCAAGCCCCGCCCACAAACAGACGCTCCTGCTCGCTCGTATCATTTCAGTTAAATTCAGATACAATGCAGACAAATACTTCAGATGATTACCACTGGGGCCCAGTCAACGTGAAATTAAAAAACATTGGTGCTACTGTAGATGCCAACAGACTACCAACAAACACAATGTTTGCAGGACTTCTACAACCAGCCTCACAACCAACCAGGATAAAGTGACATAGTCCAGCACCCGAGGTTAACAGTTTAGTGGCTACAACACGCAGCAGGTCCCGTTTGACAAGAAACACTTTTGGCTTACTTTGTTAAAGCGGTTTACCTGTCCAGCAGAAAGGTTACAGGGTCCGTAAGATTCCAAAGCGTTCCCCATCATTTATGCCGATGTTGACCCGGCCATTTAGCTATTTCTCTTTTCTCTTTCTCGGCTTTTTAAGCGCCCGTTATACTGCCAGAGTCTCCGGTATGTAATTCCTTTTCTTGCTTGTGTCGGCAGTCATGGTCAAAACTTTGTTTAGGCTCGTGAATGACTCTGGGTTATTTAGTGACAACTTCACCCAACTTCACTTTTAAAAAAAAGTTTTTCTATGATCTCTCGAAACGAAATCACTAAAAACAATGTAGTGCATATGCCAAGCCAGTAAGTGGCGCTGTAACGCTGCACAGGAAATGCACAAAAGACGGAAGAAGAGTACGGAGATGAAAGTCGTTTTCAGATTTATGCACTCTCTGACACGTTTTCAAAAAGTACCGTTTCACCCAAAAACGCTGTTTCCATGTGGATGAAACGCCAATACAACAAAAAAAACTTTTGCGTTTACTCCTGAATTTGTTTCCGTGTGGATGGGTTGATACCCTCTTGAGACAGACTTTACAGCGGGGAGTGGTTTGCTCTTCATCAGAAACTGACTTGCTCTTGCCCTATTTAGCCACAAAATCATGCCTTCTTTTGCAAAAGCCATGTTTGGGAACTGGGGAGCATTCTCACAGGAATGGGGAACCAACGGTGGCCTGGAGGCATGAGACATGATAGAGAGGAAAATTGATTTGACAATTTTAATTTTTTAACATCGTCATAATCAAATAATCCAATTACGATTTAAAATCGATTAATTGTGCAGCCCTATTTAGAATATGACACAATAGGTCCATTTGTAAACTAGCTGTACTGCAGATACCGAAAGGGCAAACTCATTAAAAGGGTGATAGAGGTTAGGTTAGGATAAAGGTAAGGTTAAGCTGTGACTATCCTAAATTCAGATTTTGCCTAATTCAAAGTTGTAGATGGCCTCTTTTCCAAGCATGTCAGAGCAATTTTTCTGTTCAGTGTGGAAAATGTATTGAGGTCCCTGACTTGTATCGGTGTTTGTTCAGCTAAGCCAAAGTCACAAACCCATGACATCACCTCAGCATTTTTCTTTCTTCTGTTGATGAGAGCGTAGCCCTCTAAGTTTGTCCTGGCCTTTACTTACTATAATGGCTGTGCTTTCAGTCTGCATCCCCCCTGTATTTGTCACTGTTCACACACACACACAAACAAAACACCCAGACACACAGACATACACTCAACTGAGGGACAGCAGGTCTGTACTTGCTGTTTTGTTGTGTCTGCATGTCTGTATGCTGGGTCCACAATCCTGGTCATGAGTGGGTCAGAAGCCGCAGCCTGTCTCTGAATCACCAGCTGAAATTAAAAGCTGTGATGTCTCTATAAAGAGGCCCCACCGAGATGGAGAAAGACAGGGGAGGAGGGTGGAGGGTGAAGAAGAGGAGAGGGGCTTCTAGTGGCTGAGCCAGTGCAACTGTGCACCAGATGTTTTCAGGCTCACCCATACGGCTCCTCACCCTCCTTCTTTTCTCCTCAGCCAGACCACTGGAGAGGCAGGACTCCAGTGCATGCAGCACTCCCTCTAACAATATGCGCCACGCGAACACATCCTCCTCTGTGGCATGCACATTGTTCGCTGGACAGGCCTGCATATGTGATATGTGATACATCAATGAGAAAGTGTCGATGGGGTGAAAGACAGGAAAACTGAATGGAAACATGGGCCAGAAAGAGTAGATAATGCGGTGACTTGTACTGCCTGTGAGGTCTGTTTTATTGTTTGTCGGTGTCTGTTACGTGAGTCCTACTCCCTGACTGTGTTAATGTGCGTGTGTGAAAGTGTGTGCGTGTGAGCATCCCCATGCCTGGTGTGGTGGAGATGTGGAGATGAAAGCATTTGCGGCCCACAGGAGAGCTGGCAGCAGTGCAGGACTGGAGGTCTGGCAGACAGAGAGAAGAGGTGAAGGGATGCAGTACGGTCAAACAGAAACAGCTTGGGTTATCTAAATATGAGGTGAGAAGCCCAGTACAGCAGTCTACCTCCACACGAGGTCAGGACGATGGGGACTGATGCTTCTGAGAAACTCAGACTGGTCAATTTGTGCCTTATTCTCATTATAGTGCACCATATCTTTACAAAAACGTTTAACAACTTCAATTATGTTGTCCTGATGGGGTGAAAGAGCCTCTAACACACTATTATTGGAACCAAAGTGAACCGGTTTCATGGTAGGATTTTACAGATTGCCACCCCTAAAGCTGCTCTGTAAAATCGTTTCACCCCTCCCTGTGTCAGTTTTTCTCTCAACTCTCTGATATGAAACAAAGAAACAATCACCTTCTGAGGTCAGGGGTCAGCTTTTATTATATCGAAAGAACTTTTCCGGCTGGAAGTCATCAGATATTTTATAACATGCTCATACATGAGATGTACCCGACTTCAAAGGTCTCATCACAAGCTGTTGCCATCCATCCCTGTAAAGACACAGACCATGTCTCGACCGCTGTAAAAAATCACAGGGTATGTCAGCACGAACTGTCTGTCAGGGGAGCGCTCACTGAAGGTGCGCTTCACGGCTCCGACCATGTCATGGGTAATATCAGCCCATATTCTGCTCAGCGGGGGGACATAGCTCCCGTTTGTGGGGCATGAGAACATGAAAACATTCCACTTCTGTACAGTATCTTTCCCTCACCAACCTCCTCCTCCTCCTCCTCCTCCTCCTCCTCCTCTGTTGTCTTCATCCCTCCCATTTGCTGCCACTTTGTTTGTTTGTGTACTCCTGTTTTTGATGCAGACCCATATGCCTCATTTCCTCTGCCAGATGACGCCAACGGAAGCCTGACGCCTAATGAAGTGTTGCCTCTCTTTGACAAAGTCACACTGAACGATATGTATGAGGATATCCAGGTTGTCACGCTTAGAAGTGACCCCATCGGGTCATGTTTCCATAACCATTCAGCATTAAAATGTCGTCATAAATATAAACATGTCTATTTCTGCGAGCATGGACTCACCGGACGGTCAGTGCAAACTTCACAACACTGCAGGGCGTACAAATGCACGCTTGTATTTTGTGTGTGCACATGAGTCTACAAAAAGCAGTTCTGCAAAACCACATCTCATCTAGGCCAAATAGTGTGAAAAAAAACTTCACTCACACCCCTCCTCTTTCTTCCTGCTTGGAAAAGACCAGATGACAATAATGTGGAGTATGGAGCCCCATTGAGCGCCACTGACCCCTCCTCTTCCACCGCCCTCCTTCCATCCCTCCACCCCCTGGTCTTTGAAAGGCCTCCACATGTTTATGGCTCATGCCTGTGGTATGACGATGGATTCTCCATATAAAAGCCAGCGGGATCATGGGGTGTTTCAAATATTGCTCTCTGAAGACAGTTGCTGACAAAGTGACAGCAGCCATATTTATTTTGGTCAGAGAGCAGGGGCACTTAGTGGGAAGTTAATCAGAGACCCCAACTCCTCCTTCTCCCCATGGCTCCCAGCACAGTCCTCTCCCCCCTAATAAGGAATGTACCCATAGCAGAAAAGTCTCAGACACTTCTGGTAATGACTTTCTCCTAGAATGGAAGATTTATTACAGCTCGACTGCATGAGAAGCTGAGAAAAAACACCCAAAAGTTTGGGTTGAGAACATCATGTGTTGACTGCCTGTCCAGACGCAAGCCCAGATAATCAATTTTATTCTGGTTAGGAGGAGATATGAAACATAAGCATGAAGATGAGTTCAAAAACGAAGCATAATCTGCGGCAGAGTTTTGTAAAATTGGGATAGCTGAAACAGAACTTGTGTTAATTTGTGACTGTAACCACAGCGGTGACCATAACTGCCATTGGCACAGGGATGCTAGAGATCTGGCCAAGTCAATGACAGGTTGATGTGCCTCTCCTCTTAAGCCATACTCTTATTCACCACTGCTCACTGCAATGTTCCAAAATACTCATCTCAGCCCTGCAGCTCCATGGTGAGTGGAGAGGAGTATTTTTTCAAGGCTTCTTCATCTTTAAAACTGGCATCATTCAGTAACGCTTTAGAGAAAGGGCACACAACGTAGTTGTTAACAAACATGTTTACTAGCAACATATTAACTCATTATAAAGCCCTTATTCACATCTTAATCTATAAGGCCATGTTCTATAACTACTAAAAGCTCATTTATGCTCAACGTTACATATGGATAGGACGGAGCTCTCCGTCTGTGGTTCACGTTATTTTCGTCCATATTTCTGCACATATACTAGAAGTTTACAGATATGGGCCAGATAGTGCAATACCACCAGAAACCATGGGAGCAGTGTTGCTGCTGTCACTACCCGATACGCATCTCTAGTGAGAAACGAAGAAGAAAATTACAGGGCTTTTTGAGGATCGTCATCAATTTTCTTTAACTGGTACTAGAATTCTCCATCCTCCAACCGCAAACATTAGGTGGCCTGACCGACCACCACCTCCTCCAACGCTTCCTTTGTTTCTGTCTCCTAAACAAAACATACATTATCACTAACTCCTCCATAGTCACCATGTTTCTTTTTGTTTGTTGTTGTCAGAAACATTTGACTCTGGCCTTCCCCCCGATGGATGTAATGGTTAACATCCTAGTCAACGTAAAGTACACATGGAAATATGTGGGCAGTGACACAACCACCGTTTGAAATGGACGCGTACATTTTCATACGTATGGCGAACATAAATGAGCCTTAAGCCTTGACTACGGGTTTTTCCTTGAATTTACAGACCATTTAATCGTTTTCACTTTAGCCTAATGATGCTGGCATTCCCAGATCATATTCACTATTCACATATGGTCCCTCTTGACATAGCACAGTTCCAACCTACATTTGTGGATGCAGGGATTGATAGTGACCTCAGACAGTGGTTTTTAGATGTGATTTTGAGCCAATGCAGTGATCTCCACTACAGAGTCATGTCTGTTTTTGATTTAGTGTTGCCTGGGGGTCATAATTCACTGCTATCAAGTATTGGTTGTGAGGTTTGTCCCTTTTGTAAAGTGGTTTCTCCAGGTCTTCTGATTCTTGAATTTATGTACTTTAGATGATGAAATCATCGGATACACTGTGGTTTCATGCTCAGAAACATTATTCTGGAATTGCTGAACCATTTCCTCACCCAGTCTCTCAAAGAGTAGCGGATCTTGATCTCAGCCTCACTGGAAAGCTCGTTTTTTAACCCATTCACGTTAGTATCTTATTCACTGTTTCATTGTCCCTGTCCCAACTGTTTTGAAATGAATTCAGAACTGTCAGTTTTATCATTTGATTGGTTGTCTTTGTACTGTTTTCAATTTGCTATAAGCTTTAAATTTTTTGCAAACCATTACATTTTTAATGAACATTTTACTCAGCGTCCCAACTGCTGTGGGAGTGGGATTGTACATGAGTAATGCAAGCCTGTGCAGCAGTGGGTGGTAGTTACTAGGGGGCTTGTCCCAGTAAGACATCAGCCAAGGCCTTGTGTCCAGAGCCAGGTCGTCCATGCTGTCCAAAGGAGGCAGGGTACTTCTCAGGCCTTCCACCAGCTCCTGTGTCAGCCCCTATGGAGCAGCCTTATTAAATGAAGATTAAGCCGTGCCTCCCCCAGTCACAACAGGCTGCAGTGTGAGGCTCACATAATCACTATGACAGGGCGGCTGCCAATTAGGGCTCTCCTTCTGTCCTGGGAAAACGCTCCTCACTCTGCTCCCGCTGGCGGGAAGAACTGATCCGGATTGTCTATAATATTACCCAGGCCAGAGATCGCCGTTAATCACCACCCGTCATTCCACTGTGGCATAAATCAGAACAGGACTTGTCATCTGTGCTCCAGCTCTCTCTTCCATGAGTCTGGGCTTCCCGTGGAGCAAACCCAGGGAACATAGATGGGAATAATGAGATAAGTACAAGAGAGAACAGAAGAGCAAACCTCTGTTCTAAAGTGCCTTAGGTTGTCTGCAGAGTGGGGACTTGAGGAGAGCTTGGTTGTTGTTTGGCTTGACAAACTGCACCATGAGCTCTTCTGCTGGGACAAGTAGAACACACTCCATCAATTAGCCGCAAGTTGAAAGCTTGCATGTGTTTTACAAAAAAGCTGGCCTCATGGTGGAAGGCTACATTTGACAAAAACACATCCAGAGATGTGTTTGGATGTCGGGTTCCCGAGCCAAACACAGGCAAGGCTCAGATGTGATCATGCTGAGTGGGTAACTGAAATGCTTAGAAGTGAATGGCATCTTTCGCCAGGGCCTAAACCTTTTGGAACAACAAGCATAAACACTAAAATTGTGTGTCACACGCATGCTTGAGCATTAAGTGCTTTCTTTTATATAAAGAGTGCCAGAAACCAGAATTATTTGGTGTCTTGAGTGTGCCACAGACAAGGCGGCTGAGTTTCCTCCAGAGCGGATTTGAGGCAAACACCAATGCTGTGTGCATCCTCTTACAGGAGACAAGACTTGGGAGCAGATGGTTCGCAGACGGTGAGAACCAGGAGGTCCACAGCGCAGTGGATTCACCACAGAACCAGACCGGCTTCAGACAGAACCTGGCATTTTTCCCACTAGTCAACCAAATCCCCCTGGTCAATCTGGAGTGGATCTTGGTTTTACTTTGGGTCCCTTTGCCAGGCTGTAGGTGCTTGTGGGGTACATAAAACAACTGCCTGCCTCTCTGTCATGTCTGATGGCCTTAAACACAGACAAAGACCTTGCAGGGCCTCACCCTGCAGAGGGATTGATGAGGTGGAAAACTGAGTCTAGGTGGATTTACCCTCCTGTACACCCCGGCCACAGCCTGTGTAACAAACCATATTTATCCACGGTTTCAAATTGATGGCAGAGGGAATCGACTGGGCATCCTGGCTGCAAGAGGTGGTTATCACAGTTACAGTATAAACTCACACACTGCACACACAGTTATGACAGACAGTATTAGTGGTGACTGGATCTAAGCACTCAGATGACTGATGGGACTGAAGGCTTGGCCTCAGTTGAGCCCTACAGCAGAAAGAGTTTCTCTGGTTACACGCACAGGGAGATCAATACTCCCACGCAGGCCTGTAGCTCTCCAAGTGCAGGTAGATAATCCAATCGTCAAAGACATTTTCTACTTTGCCCCTGTTTCTCCCCATGAGGTCAGCAGGGTGGCAGTGAGTCATCATGGGCTTGTAGAAATATCTGAACTGGCATTAGAAGTATAAATTGATCTGCAGTGTTCTGGAAAACCAGGTTCTTAATACGTTTCTATTACCAGTTCCAGTATTTGCTGAGCTATGAGTTTTACTGCGCTGTAAAATTTGTCTACTAGTTTGATTTAATTTTGGGTTTGGCCGACTCTTGCACTACAAATGCCCCCGAGTGAATCTACCTCCAATTCAAGCAAGAACAGCTGCACAAATGTCCCTTTGGCCTGCTAGCATAAAGACTTTTGTGCCGTCTGAGAATCTGAAAGCCGATTTGGAAAACTGTTGGAAATTAGCCTGAGTTGCAATGGTGTGTTTGTGTTGGACTTTAACCCCTCTTAAATCTCAAACCAGGGATTACATTGAGAGTGGGAGTTGGAGATTAAACATTGGAAGTTGTTTATACAACATCTAATGTCAGTGACACTGCAGAGGCAGCTGATGTTCAGTGATTAAAGAAAGGTGGGTGGGCAAGAGAGAAAGAAACGGAAATACACAGATGAATTGATAGGTCATGCTCTGAGGCAGATTAAAAAAAAAAAAAGCTATGAAAGACGAATGGAACTTGTCACACAAGTCTGTTTGTAAACCAGTGAATCTGATGACAGGGGCTGCTGGGAAATCTCTGCAGGGAATTCCTTAATAGCATCAATATGGAACAGCCGAGCGCTGCAGTGTTATCACTCTCCTCACCTTTCCTCTCCTCTCCTCCCATCAGCTCCAAAGACTGAGAGAGAGGGGGGAACCCAGTCTGTCAATGCTGATGGTGCTGGAGAAGCTATTAATAAAGTCTCTTTATTGTTTATAGCCTGCTCAGAGCAGCACTCCTGGGATCCAGAGGATAGAGCTGTCTCCAGGGTACAATGCAGACGCCTGGCATGCTCGCCAGCCAAGAAGCCACGGGACAGGACTTCCTTATCCCTCATGAGGTTGTTGACCACATTTTCCGTTCAAGTGTAGCGAGAATTTTAGGCATCCGAGTGAAACAGCTGGGTCAAATGGAAATAAAAATGAAGATTGACTACATGAAGATGAGGATGAGCTAAAACTAAAAGTACTAAAAGTATGTTTAGTTTTTGTCGAGACATGACTGAAATATAAGTGGTGGCCTAGCAGCCCAACAAACAGAGGCTACAGCCCATGCTGCAGTGGTCACCGGTTACACCCCTGGCCACGACACTTAACAGTCCTGCATATCCTCCCACAAAAATGCCCATAAATAACAAAAAAAAAAAAAAAAAAAAACGTTGGCAGTAGACACTTAAAATCTATGTTATTTTTCTCACTGTGTCTTATTCAGCTGTCTAAACACGAGTAATGCATTCATCTAACTGACTGAGTAAGTTAAGAGGTACAGCAGGTACAAATCTCCTCTGCCCTGTCACTCGATTTTATTTATCCTTTCCTGATGCAAGTCAGTGACGTTAAATGTACCTGGTTATTTTAAAAAAACGTAGACATTCACCATTGTTTGAACCCTTCAATAAGATGCAAACAGAGAATTAGCCTCTGAATACGCTGAATACGCATGACCTATCAATTCATCTGTGTATTTCCGTTTCTTTCTCTCTTGCCCACCCCACTGAATACGCTGCATTTTAAAAAACTCAGGCCGAAGTAGAGAGTTTAGAAAACAGCAGAAAAACAGCAGATTGTGCGTGGGAAAGAAGGAAGGGACATTGTTATTGTTGCTGCTCTGATTCTGATTGGCTAACGTGGGCTTGAGCTTTTCGCTACACTGCCACCTACAGGTTTGATATGCTCTTGACAGCATATATTCACGGGTTAGTGCATACGAAAACTTTTCTAAAAATGTAGTGGTGTACACACAGTTTTTTTTTTTTTGTTTGTTTTTTTTTTTTTTGTAAACAGAGAGGGTGAAATGTCCTCTCATGAAAATAGCCGGGCATGTGCAAATGTTGTCTAGGTTATGTGAGTTTCAAATGTAAAGTTTCCTGTTGATATAAGAAAGATATTCTACAGTTAGCATGTCAAACCAGCATTCTGCAGAGTTTATCCACTTGATAGTATACAACCATTTGCTTTTCTCTGATACACAGTTGCACATAAACTGCACATTGCTAAACACCATTGAAGTCTTAGACCTCTATCCCTCTGGGACCCCCCAAAATAGACTGTTTCTTGAACACCAGTGTGACATATATTCCAGATTTTACAATAATAGAATTTTTTTGGATAGAAGTTCAGGCTTAATCTAAAACAGCTGCCAAAGACAACAGTGTGTAAAAACCCTCTCCCACATAAATAGTGCAGTACCATATGAGTTATCCCATTGGCAAAAATAAACATACTGATGAAACTATCTAATGTGGCTTTGAGGCGCTGATAAGATTATTGGCATATCCAACCGTTGTTAGTCAACCATTGCGGTCAGACCCTCTCCAGGGAGTATCATCAAAACCCAAAATCCACTGAATTCTCATTTTATTTTTGCCAAACATCAACGATCAGCTGAACATTAAAGTGACAGTACCATGGAAACAGTTTTTGTCACAGTTTAACGCCACAAATTTTGTCTGTTCATTAGCGCCGCACAATCTTTCCCCGCCATTTAAGGGGCAGAGTGTAGTTTCAGGACACAGCTCTACTGGCAGACAGGGCTCAGTGCAGCAAATGAATCCCAGCAGTGTGAATGATATACAGTGTTTACACTGATCAGTAACGTGTACGGAACACATCAGACACGGTTTACTCAACTCTTTGTTTGCTGTGAAAATGCCTCTCCTCCTGACATTATCTGGGCTTTGCTTTCCCTGCATGTGAGTGTTTTACAGAGGGATTAGGTCCTCGTCGACACAGAGGGGAAAAGAAGGAGATCATTGGCGTTGTCCTTGTGTGCAGCAGCTAAGCTGGGAGACAGGGATCTGTCAATGACGTCCAGTGTAATTTAAATACGTAGATATGTAGAAATGCAAGCCAGGGTGATCAGATAAGCATTTCCATAAATAGTGTGTACCTACATGCTGCTTCCTCCGACTCCATTTAATCCGCAGCATCTTTACGGTCTGCAGTTATATAATCCTACGCTTATGACAAACATGGTGTCTGGTGTCTGCGGAGAAGAACTGATAAAAATGTTCATTTTTAGATTGTCTTCGGTTCCAAGTTATCATTACAAGCACTTCTTGCATACTCTGTATTATGTTCTCATTATAAAGCTCAAATATTAAAGTGAGAGTTATATTGCAAATCTGTTATTTTTAAAGACCTACTCTGATAAAAATCATGTTTTCTTTTGTTGTCTACACGTTCATATGGCATTTTCCTGATGCTACAGGACATATCATGAAAAACTAAGTGTAAAATTGCATGTATGAGTATTTCTGCGTTTAAATCACTGTGAATCTCTCGCAGACCCAAATGGAAGGTTCAGATACATTGAGATTTCCTATGTCACAAATCCAAGCTCAACCTGCAGAAACCCCGCTCTGCAGGCCAGACTCGGAAAAGTATAGAGGATAATTGCAGAACAAGCGTGCGAGTTAGCGGCTTGCAATCCTCATAAGAAAGCTAATTATATTAGCTTTTATGTCCCCAAAGACATTAGTGTCTGATAGCTGAATAGCTCCTATGTTACCTGCTTCTTCTACTACACCAGCAATGTCAGGCCACAAGCTAGTTTAAAGACGAGCAACGCTGTCTCCACCCACGACTCAAAAAAAAGCCTTTGAAAATGACACAGGTAATGTGATTTTGGCTAAAAACTTCATAATCACATTTTAAAGACCACTGATAACACGATCAGAGTGCGACTTTCAACAAAATTGAATGTCTGTAGCTTTAAGAGAACCAGAAATGTATACATTTTCAAGGTCCTGAGAACAAGACATTGGCCATCACGAGTTGTCCCTCGAATCTCCACTTCCTGATCACCTGTGGTGTAGAGTGCCGCCTCTCCATCTGTGGATTACGCTTTATTAACACTCAAGGGGAGTGATTATTTTACAATGTCAGTCAGTCCCCTATGCAACTGTACAGGATCTCATCCCATTAGGCTTCAGCAGCTTGGATTTCTATGTTGTATTTATTTGAACTGAGGAGTGTTGCATTTCACTGGCTTTCGACGAGTGGGGAGTTTTAACTAGCGGTCGAGCAGTGGGGAATTAACAACACATGCCTAAGTCTGAAATATATCTTCATTAAAAGGGCCACCACAGAACTTCACAAGCCCAAAGAGTCCTAAGATGCACACAAAGTGACACTTTTACACGCAGCCTGAACCACAGAGCTAAGGCCACTGGGATGTAACTCAGTCACTGGGTTGCAAACTGTACTAAAGGAGTTTTCAATGGCTGCATCAGCAGGGGACAGTAGCTTTAAGGGGACAGTAAGATGGATGTGGGGAGTCTGGTGTCAGGCTGTAAAGGTCTTAAGAAAGATGGCTCTGTGATACACTCAATTAAAAATTTAACACTACTTCCCATCTGTGGCCTCATGCTTGAAATAATAAACAGCTGTATCCATGTGCAACAATGCCAAATTTTAATTAAAGAAGGTGATAAAGTTTCTTGGAAAAGGTCAAGTATTCATGGCAGAGTCATGTAGAGGTGCACGGGGGTTGGGGGAGACTTTGCCTGACAAACAAGACAGAGCTTTAGGAGCAAGATGTGCCATGGAATCACAGTTTCCAACCCAAAGAGTGGAGACTGCCTGAGTCGTGCTGAAATCTGAGACACTATCAGGGTTTATTTTAAGTTTATTTACCCTTTCACCACTTCACTAAATGATCCTCCCATTCAACAGCTCATGCCCAAAATGGAGAAAAATCCTCAAACTTTGAATATTTTCTTCTTCTGTTCACTAATGTTTTTCTTCTTTTGACAGCCTGAATGATATCTACCACTGTAATTGCTTCCTTATTTGGAAAATTAAATATTTACACTTGGCCTCCCCTAATCCAAAGTTTATGAGAGACGTAAAAGTGCATTAAGGGGAGAGACATTTATTTTAAAAGTGCTGCTAACTGGGGCCATCACCCCAAATGGTGTGTTTGGACCATCTGAAGAAAATGGTTTACTTTCTGAAAAAAAAATATTTCCCTTAGCTGTATTCAAACACAGAGAAATTCCAGATTTGACTTCTCATTTAATGGACTGACATACACGCTGTGTGCACCGCAAATATCTCTCAAGCTGACGGGAGGAAACAGAGACAGCCATTGAGGAAACCTGCAGTTCGTACTTTGAAGAATTCCACTGAGGAGAGGAAGAGAGATGGGAGCGAGGGGGAAAAATATACCTCAGAAAAATAGCTGGCCTGAACTGGGCAGCCATGGAAAAATACTGATATTTCATGCGAGGAACGCCACTGTGCACCTCAAAAACGCAGACAGTGAAAAAACAAAGAGTGAGTGCGAGGTACAAGGGTTACATGAAACAGGTGGAAGTCTGAGAGGCGAAGAAGAGAGTTCCCTGATGGGGTAAGTGGACTGTTTTCTTTAATATTCAACAGAGTAGTGCAAAGTGAAGGTGGATGGAGTCTGGACTGTCTGACAGAACCTCTCCCTCACACATCAACATATGGCTCTATGACATCCTTACCTCTCCTGCAGTGCCTCATGGCCATTTTGCACATCCTGGACTCAGCAATGGTGGGACAGGGTATTGTGTCCTTGGGTGGTTTCTTGACAATGTGCCGCGTCCGGGTCTCCAGACCCCACTTATAGCCACAGGTTTTGTTTCTCCTGGTGCACGCTCCCCATTCGCTCCACTGGCCCACCTCGCAGCCCTCTGCAGAGACCCACAGAAACAGTGATGTGCAGTGAAAACACAACAAAGTGCAATTTAGAGGCAACACAGAGACCCCAGGTCAAACTATAAGACAGGGTGAGAGAGCTTTACTGGGGTGCTCTAACCTCTGTGTGTGTGGTCCCAGATGAACCGCTTGTTTTTGGGTCTAAAATAAACAGGTCAGCTGAGAGGTTATAGAAAACGGTGTGCAGGTGACGAAAGGTCACTCAGAGCTGGATTGTTTTTGTTTGGCTACAGGCAGAGGTGGACAGAATAACGTTCTATGTGGTTTATCTGAATGGTTTTGCTGTACCTGTATGCCACATATCACCATGGATGTTTATTTAATGTTAGTAATGACGGCTATGGCAGACGGGGTTCATGTTTCTACACATGGGCACCCATGACCGTATCTATAACCAATATTTGAGGGTTTTAAATTCAAGCTCCCATGAGGAACTTTTGATTTATTTCCCCCGTGAAGAAAATATATATATATCTTTGGTTATCTTGTTACAGTAAACATGCTGTAAATATGAAGTTATTATAGTATTATTTTTTGTAAAAAATATGATTGCCAGTATTTACTGAACATTTAAAACATTCAGTTTACAGCAAAAGGCTGTAGTTAGAATTCTATAAAGTAATTAACTGTATATTAATTTGCAGTAGTATATTCTAACTACAACAAGATACTGTAAAAACTTACAGTATTTTACTGGATTACTGCTGCCAATTAAATACTGTAATTTTTTACAGTAAAAGGTTTTACAGTGTTTAAATACTGTATGTGGGTAGGCTGATGCCTATGCCCTTACAGTCATTTTAAGCATTTGAAGTGACCATACACAAATTGTGGGTGTTGTACCATATGGTCTATTTTTACTTTTTTAAGTGTCATAAAAAAAGCATCACTGTGAGTTTTAGTCTATTTCATCAATGCCAAAAAAACTCACTAAAGGAGCTTTAAAAAAGTAATAGTATGGTTTTAAATATCTTCTCTGTGCACAAACTTCATCAGGGCTAAACAAAATTCACTATCTGACCTCAGAAAGGATGCTAAGCCATGAAAGCTAGAAACGTTTTTTATTCCAGATTAACATATTGAGTGAGGTTATCTGTACTTTGAGTAACTTAAAGCTGGTTGATCCTGTTATTGTTTTGATTATTTTGGAAATGGAAATCAGTTGCATACAAGTTTGAAAAATGTGTATAATAATGTCCAAGTAAACGTAATGTAGCAGATGCACAGCCACGTATTCTTGACTTTACTCATGCTTTGTGAAAATACAATATTTTAAAAAGTGGTTTGAAATATTGAAGTGCTTCAGTATGGTAACTCAGAAAATAATTTGACTGAACAACATTCATTTGTCTTGGAGTAACATTTGACCAGCATACTTTGGCTGAGGTAATGAAGTTGTGAACTTTTACCATCACTGGAGACATAGTTTTTGAGATTTTGTGCATACCTCCACACTCCATGGTATCCTCCAGCGGGGCAAAGCCCTCGGGGCACTTATCAAAGCAGCGCCCTTTGTGAAGGTAGAAACCTGACTTGCACTTGGTGCAGAAGTCTTTGCTGAAGCAGGACTCGCAGTTCTCTATCCTGCACCCTGGAGGAAAAAGGAGAGAAAGAGAAGAGTCATCAGGGTCTGAGTGAGCAACCCTCTCATCTGGAGTTGATCGAGAGCTGAGGGGTTTGGGGAAGGGGTTCTTGAAAGGATTATACCGTCTCTCCCACAAAAAAAAAAAAGAAAAAGAAGTGGATGCCCTGTGAATCATTTCTCTCCGGGGCTCAAGTGTATTTCAGAGAAACTTGTTTTGCCTCAAAGAGATTTTTCTTTCATCTTCCTGCTCTTGTTTGGAGTGAACAAATCAACAGCGTGAAAACACAACAACAGAGACGATGAGAAATTATGTCACACTGGACTCTTTCAACAGACTGCCCGACATCCAACAGTCTGGATCCAAACACAAGCGCTCACATGTTTTCAACATGGTGTTCTGAAACAGGAAGAATACCTCCCATTAGGGATTCTTAATGTGCTCTTTTATTACTCCACACTGCTCCAATTTGTCTCTTTCCATAACTAAGAATTATTGGACGGTCAGGTTTTCATTAAAGTGTGAACCGCGGCTCAAAATAACAATGCTCGCCAGCTGGGTGTTGAACTGCAGAGTTGGATGTGAGACAAAAGGGGAAGGTGAACGAGAGAGGCGGAGGCAATAACATTTTGCGTCGCCCTACCAAACAAATGCTGATGCATTTAGTCAGCAAACACAACAGCACCCTCATCCTCCCACGCCACGCCCTGCCCCCTGCACATGTCATGCAGAGTCCCGCTTGCAAAGAAAATGCACGGCAATGTGTCACCAAGGCTTTACTCTGCAAATAGCAAGTCAGACAGAAATTACAACCAGCACACAAACAGGGCGACGCACAGGCCCACATGATTAGAAGGAGCCTCCCAGAGCTGTCTAATTTATGACGCTCTCTGAAGCTCTATGGGGCTCAATTGCCCAATAGGCATCCTACAATCTGTAGGGTCCGCAGGTAGGATGTCATCTGCTCCCTGATTGTGTCCCGCACTGCAGCGACACAGCAATCTGTTACTACATGAACATAAATTGACATGCAAGCCTACTCTGCAGTGATTTCCCAAATGTGAGTGCGACAGCAGCGGCTAAGGGCTGCTGTTTAATCTGTGACCCTTGCAGGGCCCGGGGAAGGGAAGGTTCTCACAATCACACCCCTTAATTACACCATCTCCAGCTAACCATCAGGCCTCCTCCTCAGCATTCCTCCAAAACGAGGGGGTCCCTCCCCGCTTTACTTTGAACCCTAAAGTATGGCCTCTGCCCACTCACTCTGGTCTCACGCTTTCCCGACCAGTCTAAACAAACCATGGACACGCACACACATACAGACACACACACATACAGACACACATATGCACAAGCGCAGATACCAATCAGATATGACTGCAGATAGCACAATGACGCTGTACTCAACATGCTGAAAAACATACGCACACTGTCCATAAATCGCAGATCTCTTTGGTCGTTTCCTGCGTTCTCATATCCTTTTTATGCTATCAATTCAATCATCTGATATCATTTCGCTGCGTTACTGTTGTTGCATTTTATCGTATATCTTAACACATGTCTCAAATATCCGCAGTTACACAGCACGGCAGAGATTTGTCTGGAATGTGTACGTTTAAGGGAGCTATTTTGCTGTCTTCTCCAAGCTCTACCTCTTAACCGCTCTTCACTGTGTAAAACCGAATCAGTCAGGCTGGAGTTTGATACAAGACAAGCCCCCCATGTCTAATAAATCACTAGGCTAATTGGAAAGCACAAAGCTGTCTCCTACCCTACACACTTCCCAGGCCTGTCATCACCTGCGAGACTTTTAGCTCCCAAACAGAAAAATAAAAGAGTAAGCGGGGGGAACGAGAACATCTGGCAGTACTCTCAAGCACTAGAGTTGTTGTGCAATCCTCAGTTATTGACAGTAAATACAAGCAACGCAGATGTGTGAAATACTGTATCCTGTAGCAGCAGCGACATTGGACAAGGATTTTGATTAAAACATGGCTGGTGGTTTCAGATGTAGAAAGGTGATGCTGCGAATGCTCGGAAACCTTGTTTTCTAAACAGCAGATAAGTAACAATGTCCCTCTGTGAGATGGATGGGGTGGATGACACATCAATGCAGCTCCATGGGGGTTAGAATGCAGGGAGGCAAAGCTGCAAGGTCAAAGGTCATCAGAGACGAGGTGGGTCGGAAGGGATCACCATGACAGACATTTATCCCTCTGTCTAGTTACTGGCAAAAGGCTATCTGGGATAACATGGGCTATCTGTGACACTGGAGATGCTCCCACGCTGATCTGCGGCCCAGTCGGTAGTCAGGCAGCTTGTCCAGCAACTCCAGAAACAGATACAGGGGAGCGGGTTCATTCTTCACGCAGGATTAACCTCTGGACCACCTTTAAAGTCTTCATCTAGGTGCCTCAGGGAGACTAATGAGAAATAATGAGGTCATCAGATCCCATTGAAGGCCCGGTGTTCCTGGGACTTAAACGTATTATCATCATTATCTACAAGGCTGGTTCTGGACATGAGTTATATGATGAACACAGGAGGAGAAGCCGAGTGTTTCAGCTCTGAGGGGAGTTTCAACAGCTGGCTGACGGTTGTCAACACCGTACACTGTATTGCTATTGCACTCTTTCGATGTTTGTTTGATTTTTCACTTAAATTTATGTGGTTTGTTCGCCAAGTGTATTCGAAGTGAAGAGATGAGTCACAGAGCGTTACGTGTGACCTAATGGCACATGCTTGGCAGACGCCCATCCCTCTGCTGTGGTCTGGATAAGAAACCCACCGATTTTTATCACGGACACTCAAAGCCACATGTCAGCTTCAGTCAACTGCTGTTTCAACGCAGGCTGACAGCACCATATGTAATCCCTTCATTTATTTATATGAATATTCAGTGTTTAAAGACAGGGTGTTAAAGTCTTTTTTAAAGATTGATGATCTCTCATGTTTCAGGCAGGGACATTTACGCTATCTGAGCATGAGTTGGGATGTCTACTGGAATCCCCAGCCTCCTAAAGAAAGCTAACCAGAGCCGATATTGCGCAGCAGGAGTGTCCATGTCGTAAAAGGCCTGGCAGTGTGAAGGGGAAAACAAGCCCTGTTTTTCCATCCCTTGCCTCCAAGTTGGGTTGAACAGCTTTGACCTACTCTCTAGGCCCTGGGTTTGGCTGACATGGAAGCTTTGGCTTGCTCGCTGCCACCCAGCCATGTCGTGTGGAGCCCCGGATGGCAGAGGTTCATGACAAAGGCCAGAGCTGCCATGTTCTTCCCACCTCTCTCCGTGCTGTTTTTTTTTTTCCACTCGGGTGCTCCTCTGCACGCCGGTGTGGTGCTAGCTGGAGCAGAGGTGGTGTACCTGTCAATCAGCATCTCCCAGAGAGAGAACGGGGATGACAGATGTGTCAGCGATCTTTCTGGCTTCTTCAACCCGATGAATAAAGCCTGTGATGTACCAGGATCTGCTCCTGGAAGTGCTCAAACAGCTCCAGCATAAACACAGACAGCTTGAAATTCAGACAGTGGTCAAGCGCAGACTGCCTATTCCAATCACACTCCAGTACCCAAGAGTACTGATTCCACTCATGTCTGGCTGCGATGTCATGGGAGCAGGGCTTGGTTTGGTGTGTCCATTGTATTGTCTGGCAAATCTTAAGGCATAGTTAGTAGAGCTGTGATGATTAAATGTCCCTCGGTAAAGTCCAGGGGCCAAAAGCAACTGGTCTTTTTGTTGGTCAGACTGTGCAATGGAAATACCCACAAGCTCAGAGAGGACTTGAATGAGAGGTGTGGAGAGGCAGAGCAGGAGAAAGAACTGCCAGCACTGCCAACTTAAAGTTACAAAACGGGTATTAGTTTCTTGACCTAGCTTCAGTACCCATTGGGCAGAGATCCACAATCCATGGCTCTCATCCATCTCCAACCGTACAAATTCCCATGAGGTGCTTAAAAACTAAAACGATCTTGGAAAAGATGCATCCAGTCAACCTCCTACTTCCAACCCTAATTAGAAGTGACAAAGCAGCGAGAAATACAACAATGGGATTTTGTAAAAGATTTCCTGAGTCTGACAAATGCAATAAAAAAGAAATCACAATTAACTCTCCGAAAAATTACTTTTGACAGAAGAGCCCCTTGTGGCACATTACACTGGCACTGATTGAGCCGTGATATTTAAACCACGTTTTCAGGATATTGGCAATCTCAAGCCTTGATCACACTGGTTACTGGTTGGCAGCATGCAGCTGGGGTTTTTAAGGCCTGCTGCATTCAGGCAAAGCGGCTGGGTTGGTGGCTACAATGTGTGTAAGAGCATGAAGCAATGGGGGGTCTTTAATACACCCTGAGGGAGGAAGTTTTGAATGCAGCACTGCTCCCTTGCTGGCCCTCTCAACACTTATTTCTCTTCGAGGACAGCTCTGGTAGTTGCCTTTCAGCTCATAATCCCTCCAGCCAGAGAGCTCACTTGTGATAAAAAATGACAGAATACGCTTTGGCTTGGGAATGTATGTAAAAACCAGTCTTATGAAATGTGACTGTGAGACTGAACCGCATTCACACAGATTTGGCTGTACATACAGCAGCACACTGTGTGACCATTGCTACAAATCTTCCCTGCAGAGCACTGGGTTGACACCCACAGACACTGGTGTGGGGCCTCTTCTGGGCGGCTGATAAGAACCCCTCTGAATAATGCTGGAGTTCCTTCTTATGGTTTATGGCCTGTATCAACCCATCCATTAGCTGCTGAAAGAAGCCACGCAAAGCAGAGACCCAGGAACATAATATATGAACATACAAAATGGTATTATGCAACGAGAAGGCACCGCTAAGAATGAGATACATCTTGTTAACGCTGTGGCCTCTTATGTGTTGGGCCTCTTGGAATTCAGCTGATGAGTAGCTGTAAATTCTTGTTATTATGTTGAGGTATGTATAGAGACCATTGTTAGGGCTCTTTTATGGTTTTATTATCTCTACAGTGTCGTGAACTCTCAAGAAAAGTGAATCTTTGGTTACAAATGGTCACCAGACTTTAATAGGTCATGTATGGTAAGGTTGGAAGGCAGGGATGACTTTGGGGGGACAGGGCCTGAAGACGATTTCATTCACACCCAACAGGTCCTTTATTAACATATGAAATACCAGAGGCTGTGTGCACATTTACATGTCATTCAAAAATCAATTTATAAAGTTAGTGTGGCTAAAAATGGATGTTAACACTGTGGTGTGACTGAAATCCCACTAAATCAAACTTTTCTCACTCAGACTAACATGCCCACATAATGTGGTTGGGGACAGACTGAAACTTGCCCAAGTGTTCTGGGCATGCTCTGAAGTTTGCATGCCAGGATTTTACCCAAAAGTGGAATACAATCAATGCATTGCTTGGAAGCTGGGTGGTAAACAAACAAAGGACAAGACAGGTTTTTACATAAAAACAGAAGATTCATAACGACAGAGTCATAAAAAGGGTGGGCTGTTGTATCATAAACCCTGTCAACACTCAGCAAGAAGGTTCCTAGTTTGAATCTTGTTGTGGACTGGAGTCTTTTGTGGAGTTTACTGGTGCCAACTGGTGGATTTTTGTGAGCGGGTGTTTATCCGTTTTGATGTGTTTCACTTGTTCAAAGATTACCCCCACACCTTATGGAGTGGGGACCAGGGCTACCCACAATTAGAATAATAGATAATGGATGGGTGGATTCCTCCATCTCTGTCCAAGATACAGATGCTCCAACTATATACATCCACAGGTCAAGTATAGTCCAGATTCTACAGTAGATTGCTGCAAGGTGAGAATGATGTAACCACAACTACATCATATTATGGTGATCAGAAAGTAGATCTTTTCTAGAATGAGGCCAATGAATGGGATCTTGTAGAGGACAGAAGGTCATACTGAGGCTGCTTTTACACACAAAAAGGGCCTTTCCCTCAGAGACTAAAACCTGTGGTGCATTTAGACAGAAATCAATTCACAAACTTACAGGTTAATGGCTTGGAGATTGACAAATGAAGTCTTCTACTTAAGCTCTGTAAGTTGTAATAAGCTATGATAAGCAGATAAACTGTGTGTTAGATCTAGATTTCACTCCAACAGTCTTTTTTTTCTTTTTTGGCTGGTCTGAATTGAGCAGAATTTAACTTCACTGAAACTCTGTATTAGTCAAACTACGTGTGAGACTTTCTCTATGTCAGAGAACATCATGTTGCAATATCACAGTCTGGCTGAACAGTTTATCATTTTCTGATCAAAACTGCGATTTCGCAATTTTTTTTTTCTTTTTGTGCTGCGCTCCTGACTGACTCGGGATCTGTTGTGTCAACTATTTTACATATACATGCTGTCTCCCTAACGTCCCGACAAACTCACCAATCAGAAGCGGCATACGTTACTCATGGACAACGCAATTTCTGCTAGAAAAATTGCAATTCGATCTTTTCCTAAAATTATTCATCCCTATATCACAGTGTGAAAAGTGTTGTCATCCCTCCTCTCTTCAACACTTGTTCAGGATCCCTCTCTGAAAAACTGACAGTCAGTCTGTAACTAGCAGGTGTCTGAGTGTATAAGCCTCCTGCTTGTCTACTTCTTGTTTTTCTTTACTCAGGCAGTCCACAAAAAAAATTCTTGAATGAGATAAGATCACACAGACAAACTCTGGTGTAATAATAAGCAGCTGCTCCCTAAGTGATTTCAGAGCCTGTGTTTAAAAGCTCGTGATAACAGAGACGTAATGCCACGTTCCAGGCCTCTTTGGTAACCAGGAGCACACGGCAGCGCTGATCGGGTACTTCCTAGAACCCCTCACCTTCATTTAACCGCTGTGCCTTTGAGCTCTTGCTTACCAGTTCGCTGTGTCAAACCACAAATAATATTCACTGACCCGGCAATTAGCTTCCAACCCAATAAAATATCCGTTTATGGAGGTTGGATGTGAACTGTTTAGTGAACATGACATGCAGAGCACAGCTGAGAATAAGGGTCAAATGGGAAACTGGATTAGAGAGTCATGACTGTAGCAGTGATCACATCAAAGTGGGTCTCTCTCTGAGATCTGATGCTACGTGACAATACAAGATGTTGTTCTTTGAGCAGTTTGTACGAGTGGGATTCAGATTAACTTGCCACACATCAGGATAAGTTAGAGTCAAAATTCACCCAGCATGGGGATACAGCGGTTAGGATCACAGGGTTAAAGTGAAAAAATAAAAAAAGGCTTTTCACCAGAGTACAAGATGTCTTTCTCCCCCAATTTTCTCTGAGTCATAAAACAGGATTAAATTACTGCTGCTGGTTTAGACTACAAAAAGGAAAGATGTTTCTCAAGGGTTTCTGTTTGAATGGGAATCTAAAAGGTACAAAAGCTGCATTAAATAAAAATGTGATGTCATTAAATACTGTTTGCTAATTTGGCGGTCTACATCAAGTGACATATAAGACCAATATCTAAGTTTTACGTAGTTGAAGTTTCAATAGAAGATTTATAATTATTTGAAAGGCTTCTTCACTCTTGGCTTAGTTCAACAGTTTAGTCCCTACATCTCTGTCTTTGGTCTCCACCCACAACTCATGATTACAAGTGATGGTTGAAGGTAGCTTGACAGGTAAATCTGAGAACTTCCCTTTCTGCCTTTGCTCCTCTTTCACCTCAGCAGTCTGGTACAATGCCTACGTCTTCTGGCACTGCGGCAGTCTGCAAGTTCATCTCAAGCTCCATTTAACCATAAGTCATGAACAAGTCCCAGAGATACTTGACATTCTTTGCATGCATCGATTCTCTCCCAACCCACTTTATTTACATTTGATTTCCTAAATTGTAGACTTACCAATTACTAGTGCCAGCAGATGTACTTGCATAAAGGTTTAGAGTGATTGGCTGCAGAGACGTTGATTTTTTTCCCTCTTCTGCCTAGGGTTGTGATGTTATTGGGCCTAAGGGTTCGGACACTCTCCTCTGGGGCTTTATTTTAGTGTGTCTGTCAGGAGTTTGGCGCGGGAACCAAATGAGTTCAAGTTCCTCTCTGTTTTCATATGAAACACTCAGCCAACACCTACGGCTCCGGGTAAACCTATAAATGCTCTCTCATTTTTTTTCTCCCACTCTCTCTCTCTCAGACCATATTCCATGTTAGAATAAGGTTATGAGATCCGGGTGCTGCATGAGGAGTAGAGGGAGGCATTTGAGTAATTGGATTTATTATTATTCTTTTATGAGAAGCATGAGAACTTTTAAAATTTTCAAGTTATTAAACCAAACAGAGGTTTTTTTTTCGCAGAAGAAAAAAAAAGTATTTGGAAGAGAATATTTCCCTAAGACCATAAGAGTAATCTGTGTTAGTGTTAGATGACTACTTGATTTTATCACTGAAACATCGTTAAAATGAACTAAATTAGAAACACACCACCAGTTTAAAGTGTTTATGCTCTGTTTGTTATTCCTATTGCTTTGTTTTCCTTGTTCAAACTACTTTTAATGAACAGTTGTTGGGAAAATCTGGACACTTGAGCTGTGACAGGCTCTCTGTTTCTCCCAAAAACAACTTTCACTGCCCAAAATTTTTACTGGCTGCTGAAATTCTCCATCCGCAACCTCTTCAGACAGTCAACAAAAGCAGCTAGCTTCAAACCCTGACGCTTATGTAATCACCTTTGTAGTTTAGGTAATATTGAATGACACAGCAAAGAGGCCTGGGTTTATGTGTTGAACTTATTGTGTTGATATTAGTCTCTGGAGTAAGTTTGGCCAACTTCAGAGCATCTCTGTTGCATTTGCACCTGGGTTTCATGCGTTCAAACATCCATGAGACTATAGGAAGTTTGGTAATGCATGTGCAAAGGGAGTGTTAAAAAGAAAATTAGAAACAGCGCTCTTTCTGGCTGGAGATCGTCGAATCCCGAGGGAGACACTGCAAAGACAAGGCTTCACTACTTACATCCACCTGTGTGAACAGATGAGCCATTCAAATTGCGTGGTATGTGTGTCTCCTCAGGATAATTGACAATAAATCATGTTTTGTGGGAAAAGGGCAAGTTGAGGGAGCGAATGTGTGTGTCTCTGGGGTACATGAGCGGTAGGGTGTTGGGAAGAAAGAAGGGGAAAGTCAGGAGAGTGGAAGATGGAGTGAAAGGAAAGCTGGGTACGGAAAAAAAAACTCAAAAGGACTTACTGGAGCACATGTTGAGTTCAGGGCTTCGCATGCCGTAGTACCCGGCTGGACAGTCGTGAAGACACTCCCCGTACTGCCTCATCCTCTCCCTCCGCAAAAACAAGAAGAGCTTGGGCTGGCAGTTTACGCAGCCATTGTCCCTGGAGCACACCGAGCAGCCTTTACAGATGGGGTAAGCTCCATAGCTAGCTGCAGGGAAACAAAGAATGCAAACAAGGACGATTATTAACATCGAATTAAAGGTCAGCGTGATTCAAATTCAAGGGCATTTTGGATGGTGGATCAGTTTCTGAATCCCATTCATAACACTCTTTTTTTAGGTTCTTCTGGGGCTACCTCCAACCATCTATGTCAGTCAGTAAAACCCCAAACTGAGCCACTCTACTGTGGGATTCCCCCCCAGAGGATCATGAAACAGTGGTCCCAATATGTCTTTTTTAAAAATGTTCAATAATTCAACTGCAAATTTTCCCATTCCTATTATTGTCGATTATACATACATTACACTTGTAGTCGATCCCTATCATCAGCTTCTTACTTTTCTTTGTTGCTTCTTGTCGATGACTAAATCCCCAATTCTCAGCACATTTCATGCTGAAGACTATGAGCCTGTCACTGTTAGCACATGCATTCTCTCACTGGGTGGAGAACATAAATGTACCCTCAGATTTTGCACCCTAACAGTGTGCTAAATACCGTATCACTTTCAACACTGACTTTTGATATTGACGAACAGTCAATGTGCAACCAATAACATAGTTGTCATCCATGATTTAACCTGAAAGCGACCAGCGATAGCCTGAGGAAATGTCAGTTTTTACTAAAGCCACAGCGGAAGATGCATCTAACATGGTGGTTTGGAAGGCTATTTCTTCTGTACTTGTAAAAGAAAACCAGAATTCTTTCAGATAGTGTATCATCACTCAACTGTGAATGACCCTGACTTCACCCGATGACAAGGACATGGGTGAATTTGAGGCAACAGACTCAACTGTGGGAGGGCTAACCAGTGGAAGAAAACCCAAGTACACCAATAAAACCGAAACAACCATAATAGATACATCAACAGGGTATACTATAATTCACAGTAAATACGTTCAATTCAACAATTTGTCATTCATGCAAACTTTGGCTCCCCTCTCAACATTTCAATACTGATTGGTTATGAATGTGAATATTGCATTAATTCTGGTCAAAGCTGGCCTCCTGAATGATTGTTTTGAGACAGCCGATGAAAGACCCGAAAACCGCAGAGCCTCTGGCCTCAGCTCGAGTTGCCTGGGGAAGACAAAGGAGCCAGTAAAGAGACAGTCCATTCTCCAATAAGTGACTTTCAGTGTAAACTCTTTAGTGACCCGTTTACAGGAAAATGTCCTCGGGCAAATACAAACTCTGCGGATGGGAGACGTTTAAATTGATGGAGGAAAAGTCTAAAGTATCACAAGCAGGGAGTGGGTAGCAGCACGGCTCAGACTGAACGACCTACCGCAACGCTTGAATTAAACACTGTTCAACAAACCCTAAGAGACAGAGCAGAGCATGTCTGTGTTACTGGCCCTAGATCTGCATATGAGATTTCACTGATTCCCCCAGATGAAAGTGAGTGTTAAGTGGGCCTAGTGGAAGCATTGGTTTGTAATCATGTGAAAATCAGTCGGCGGATGTCAGACACATCTTTTTTCATTCCTTTTATTCAGGATCAGGGGAAAGTGTCTCCTGAGAGAGAGGCACACCAGCTCTGCCAAACTAGACTCATTCTCCTGAAGTCCGGGTTGATGGAAGTAAGATAAAGTGCTAATCAAAACGTGTCTGTGTTGGTCCTTTGGGATGAGGCCTAGGACAACCCATCGATCACAACAGCACCAGGGTGTTTGCTCCGAGCCTATTCATCACACTGACTGCTGATTGTTTATCTCAATCTGGCTCCAATGAGGGGAGATAGTGAGGATTCAAACCCCTGAAGTTATGACAAGTTTTGGCCCCTGCGATTCTCTGATATAAGACTGTGTCTGATCTTTGAGTATCAATCCAGCGCCAATGCAGGTGGTCTGTCAATATGAAACAATATCTTTGAATCAGTTGGCTGGACTTGTGGACACAGGTGCTGTTGATCAGGTTTATAAATGACTACAGTACTGTGTATCAAATTCACAGCTGTCTTTTGACTCTGTTATTGTTTTTCAGTCATGTGTTTGATTAAAATACTCAATAATACGCAGCCATATCTTGATGTAGTTACTGTGCCTAAGTATTAAAACCTAAATGTTTAATGTCACTTTTATTTAGAGGATTTTTGCAGCTACATAAAAAGTACTGTCAGGTACCACCACAAACATAATTTCTCATATATATCTCTTGTTTCATTCTGTCAGACCTTCCTTTCAGTGAAACTAAACTTCGACATTAGCCCTAACCTCATACTTAAACATATATTTCTATAGTATATACAGTCTGGGTGTGTTTACAGCAAACTGACACTCACATTTACTCGGTCACATTTATTCTCTCAGCACTCGCCAAACCTGAACACAACACTGGCTGTAAGCGTAAGCCAAGTTGGCAACAGGAAAGGGCTGTGAGGCTGGAAAGCTTATTTCTCCCTTGCTGTTTTAGTGGGCTTGAATCTATAACTAATAACAGCCTACTTACAATTCTTTTAAAAGACAAAAGAAGATCAGGGCATTCAGTCCTCTTGTGTCACTGACCAGCCAATCAGCTGGGAAAGTTTTGACACTTTTAGGTGTCTGGTTTGAATCTCCTGCTTGCTGCTCGTTTTCAGTAATTTTCATCGCAGGTTGCTAACTTTGCAATGCACGCTAACATAATCACACACAGCGCAAAAAACAGTTGATCCCACATCCTGGAATTACAATTGCTTGGGGGCGAGGCTGACTATGATGGAGAGAAACTCTTTTGGTGCAGATCTATGGAGATTAGATTGTGTGTGTGTCTGTGGAAAGGTTTGGAGGTTCAGGCCACAGGTATGTCAGGAAGGAGGCCACAATTCACAGTGTCTGGAGCAGTGCTATCCAACTCACGTCCTACCGGTATAATGTCTTGCGGACTTTTACATCAATCTGTCAACTGCCGGCAGATTTCAGCCAATCATAAAGAAAACACTCATCCATGTGTATGATGTTTTGAGATTTGGAGATCAGCTTCTTTATAGTAGAAACGAAACAGTAAAGAGAGTGTTTAGTGTGTAAAAACTAAGATTCCAGTTTGCTTTATGGGTTTAAAATTAAAAACAGAATACCAAAGCATGCAGCAGTAATGTTTCTAAGTAGAACTTAAAAAAGGGAAAATCAAAGCAAAATGCGACTAAAAGTGTTAGTTCTGAAGTCTCTATAGATCATTGCAGCTTAAACTAATTTGGCAGGACCATGAGGCTGTATGTTTAGTGTGGTAGGGATGTGTTCTGAGTTATGGATGTGGTCTCAGTTTTGCATATTGTGTCTTTTTCCTGCTCTTAAACAGCAGACATATCCTAAAGCAGTCCATCGAAACTTAAAAGAAAACAAAAACACACAATGTGTCATGTTTTGACACATGCTCGGCTGCCCCTCATGGCTTCCTCTCCAACCGCAAACCGTCCAATGCTTTAGTGCTAGTATTTCCATTGTCAATCACATTCAAACTCAAGTGACCCAGACATGAAGAGAAGCCTGACTAAAAGTGCTCATTGTGAGAATATGGATTCCAGGTTTACCATACATGTTTTTAGAGACAGGAGAGCAGTGTGCATGCCATTCAAAGTGCCACTCCTTGCACATGATGACCCAAAGGCGTTTACAGTTTCAACCACATAACACATATTACGTGAAACAAAACAAATCCACCATTCCCACTTCTGACAGATAACTGAGGATCCCTCTGATCCTCCAGTTTTGTATTTACAAAGGCTACAGTCTATACCAATGTCACTGAAGAAGCCTCTGAGATGACATTCTAATACAAAGACTTAATAATTGCCTCAATGTGTCATGTCGGCAAAGCAGAGGGTCTGTAAAAGGCTGCTGCTGTTGAACAAAAACCACATAAAAACATTCTCTGAACCGCTCTCTCTCCTATTGATGTTGCATTATGACAACTCAACTAAAACGTCAGTATATGTACATTTTTGACCTTTATGAAAACCCCTTGTTCATTTCTAATCCCTTCCTTTAATGTAGCCTACCTGTTACTCATCATCAACCACTACGATATTTTCTGTTTCTCTTTTATGAAGCCACAGCCAGCAGTGTCACAGTGTGGACCCGCTGGATAGACACTCTGCCTGCCTCGACTGCTTCACTTCTTGTTGCTTAATCGGGGAGTCTTCTTGATAAAATAAGCACTCAAATTGTTTATTTAGGCTTAGGCTAGGTAAATATATGAGGTTCTCCACCTTGTATGTTTACATGAAGTCCAAAACACAGGAATGTTCATTTGGTCCAACTGAAACCAGACTTTAAAAACGCATTTAAATGGAGGGGTCTGGCTAAAATTAACTTATCATACCACTTGGGAATGTATTTTGTCTTGTATGTATATATATATATATGTATACATACATATATATATATATGCAAGATGTTTATGTATATATACAGTATACACACACACATATATATGTATCATATATATATATATATATATATATATATATATATATATATATATATGTACTCCTTAATCAGATAGCAAGTTTGCAGTCCTTACACTTCATTAACTAATTGCAAGCTAATCATATCAGCTGACTTGCACCAAAATAATATAATAAGCCTGATTTCCAAGATGAGAAACTTTTTAATTCTTTTTTTTTTTTTTGATTTTGTTTATTCTCTTTTAACCTATTGCTCTTGACATGTAAAAAAACAAAATCTAATTTGAACATAAAATCTATTACACGCTAGCATAGCCATGTACAAACGCATTGATAAGTATCTAGCGTGTTTCAGAAAAGCCTTAATGTTTTAGTAATATGAAACAGCCAGGCTCACAACAAGACGAATGACGGCATGTTTGGAGTATTTCTCATTCATTCTGCTTCCTTGGAGGTTTTTTCATGAAGCAGCTCAAAAACAATTAGTGCTGCCGTGTGATCCAGCAGAAACCTTAACTCCATCGCAGGTACATTTTTATGAGCCCAAAGCAAGCGTGACAGACTGTTCCCGAGGCTGCCAAAATCCACCACATATACAGGGGGTTCCACCCACGTCCCGGCTTACTTCCTGCCTTTCACTCACCTACTGTTACCCATGAAATCATTCACATTGACCCATTCCAACTTTCTGCAACCTGAAACCCTAACAAGGCAAATTGCACATAATTTTAGTGTTATTTTTTTTTTTTTAGAACAGCTTAACGCTGAGAACAAGAAGACATCCTTACACAAGGTTTCACTTGTGAGCTCTCACAGCAGACTTTGAAAAAATGTTGGCTCTGTTAAAACTGATACTTTCTAGAGTGATGAACATGGCTGATATTGTTGTTCATACTATAATATACCTAATACACCGTAAAACACCAGTTAATGACTGTTTTAGGTGTGATTTGCTGTTAATGTGGATGTATTATCATGTTTTTATTTTATTTTATTTCTTCATTGTTTATTTTTTAATGTTTTTTAATTCTAAGGATATTGCTTTAAAGATCGTGACCAAGAAGGACAGGAGAGCCTCACAAAGAGAGGTAGAGATCCCATTAATCTATTCAATTATCATGCCTTTGACTTTTAGTAATTTTTGTGCAGCTGTACTGATTTGACTTTTCTTTTTCACAGCTGAAGATGCTGCAGGCGATCAGCACACTTGACCCAGTTGCATCAAATATTGTGAATTTGCATGAATCGTTTGAACACAAAGGACAAACTTGTTTGGCCTTTGAAATGCTGGACAGCGACCTGATTCAGCTTTTGGAAGACCGACAGAGTAGACCTTTGTCGCTCAATGAGATTAAGCTGATTAAGTCAACTTTCTTCAATTTGTTTCTATTGTAGCTCTTTTCAGATGTGAAGGCGCTCATCGAGGTGGAGGATGGAAGAGCATTTGTGAGCCTCCTGACTGGTCTCCTCTGCACAGACCCCAATAAGAGGTTGACTCCAGAGGAAGCCCTCAAACACCCCTTGATAACTATGATCCATCTGGAGGAGGAGGCGGACTCCAGCATGTAGTAAGTGACGGTCTTCTGGTCGCAGAGATCTTTGCCTGGATGTCAAATGATCTGAAAACTAATTTTCATGTTTCACTCAGTGTGGAGGACGCGTTTCATAAAATGAGTGTGGTTACATCTGAGAGTTCAAATGAGGTCCTCAGTTTTGACGAAACTCCAGCCCTCCATGCAGAACCTCAAGAACCACTCCCCTCAGCCTCTAAATGCCGTCTTTCTACCAATACATCAGCCCTTATTTGCCAGGTAGAAGAGGAAAACCTGGAGGAGGCTGAGAAACAAACCAGGCCCGCTAACAATGGGCCTACAAGTGAAGCACAAGCTTCTGGAGGGACGAGGAGAGGCCCAATAAAACGGATGAAGAGTTTCTTCACCAGGGCCATCAGATCTATTTTTAGGATCAGGAAGAGTTCCTAAACTAAATATTTGAAAATGCTTTTATTTGCTATATATTTTATGTAGTGGAAATGTTATTCTCTGTTATGAAATGTCACACTCTGTTGAATTGATGTACTACAAAACAAGTCATATGAAACTGTCATTTGCGTGAAATGTGTGAAATGTGATTATCTAATCACATAAATAATAAACAGGTATGACAAAAGTCTGTCTTGAAGATGGACTATGTCATGTCATTAAAAAATAAGAGATGTCTATGCTTGTACGTCAAACAGGGAAGTTTTGAGGGTATATGCTACAGTTTGTTTCATGTTTGCATCTTCATCTCTAAGAGTAAGGTTTAAACTTCAGCTTAAAAGTAAAAGTTTTCTGGATCTTGGCTTTTTTATCTGAAATCTTCTTCCAGGTTTAAACTCTACCTAACATGTCCAGCATACCTGTGTGCGATGCTCAGGTCGAGTCTTTTTGTGGTAAATAATCTTTATTACATAAGTGATATTCATTATATTGCCGATATGAGCTCGATGAGTCGGCTGCCTCTTTCAACCTTTGTCATGAAGGGCCTCGGTGAATGATGGGTACTGCAAAGAGTTTGACAACAGATCGGTTTCATATTGTTTATGTATATGTGATAATAATTAAATGTTAAGGCTTCTCTTACATGACCAAGACAGTCACAGAGGTTATTTCAGTGACAAAGGTCACTCAAAGGTTAAAGGAACTGTTTTCAACTGAATGAAACGGTCATTACATGCACAGCACAAAACAACTGGTCCAATCAACATGAAATCAATTCATTTCTGTTAATCTGACCTTGTTTAGGAAGAAAATAAATATAAGTTAAATACTGGATTTAAAATTTAAATGATAGAAATTAATGTATGAATTTGTTTTCCCATACACATTAAAATCTAATATACATGGTTGTCTGAGCAGTAGTATGTTGAAGAGGGACTTTCAATGAATCAATGGATAGACAAAGATATTGGGTTTGGTCTGGATGATCTTTAGGTCTTTTAAAATTTGCAGGTCATTTAAGTTTAATAACTGGACATTAACTCATACATGAAGTAAAGTATGGTGATTGTAGATGATATACAGCCAAGGTGAGATGGTTGTACTCATAAGACCCTCGGCTATTATTCTAAGACAATGCTAAATGCTAAATGCATAGGATACTGACAGGATGGGATGCCTGTCTTGAGTGAATACTGAGGCATCCCTATAGTGCAGCAAACTCAATTCCATACCCAGCAAAAGCAAGACAAGGACTCGCATGAAAACACAACTGTTTCTATTCTCCTTTTCTCCGAGGGGCTCTGGTATGTAAATCTAATAATACTGACTGTGAACGCATCCAACCAGCAGCCACACTGTCTATTGTTATGAAAAGGCATTTACAGTACAGCATAAATCTGTGGCATTATCAGGTAACACAACCAAAAATAATGCACTCTAAATGACATAAAGAGAGGAGGAAACAAATGTAAACCTCAAGCTTTGGATCTACGTAGCAGCAGCAGGTCATGAAGACTTGTGCTCTCATGTGGAAAGTATCACAATCACCTGCCAGAATCATACACTCTCCTCGTGGCACTGAGACAATTATTGTTTATTGTCCACCTCCCTTGTTCTCTCTAAATGATGGTATAAGCTTTCTGCTGCTCCACTTCGGTGGAGAAAGAGAAAGCTTGAGAGAAACAGAGAAAGGGCAGATATGGGACAGAGCAGCTATGCAACCACCAGCCAACGGGTGGCGAACCGAACCGTAAGAAGCAAAACAACCGCACTCTGGATCTCTGGTCAGACCACGTTACTATCCAGGCTTTCACTGTGAAGCTGTAAAAGGCAGGAGAGCCAACAGTGTCAACCCTCACACTCCGAGTTCACCAGCCGTAGCAACATCTCAACATTGTTAGACCTTATTACAAACTGGTACATGGAAAATTACATCAAACCGCCCTCTTTCCAGGCCTGTGACTTTATTTGTCATGGAAGTGGAAGTTGCACTTAGCTCAAACATTTTTGAGGAAAAACAGAAGGGGTAAGAGGGGGGTACTTCGAGCTTGTGTGCTGAAGGCACATTTCTGCTCCAATTTAGCAGAAAATATGCTGGACTTGCCTCCGACTCCTTTCCAGCTGGAAATAGTCAGGTTTTAGGATCTACTTTTTTCCCCCAGTTTACTTTAACAGATCATACTGTAAGCACATGTTTATAATTTAGGACCGTCCTGCTGCATATAATGATTTTGCAGCATGGGTTGAGCAAACACATTTGCTGTCAGATATATTAGCTTGCTCCTGTGACACAGATCCACCAGGCGAGGCGGGCGTCAAAGAGATTGGAGCCTTCACTTGAAAGGATGGTGGTTTTTTAGAGTCAATGGATAAACCAGAGAACTGTGGTTTAGCAACAGAATAATGGGGGCCAAATTAAAGCTACTTTTTAAGTACACAATAAAACAGAAGCTCAAGGTAATTGACTTTGGTATGATTCAACAGATTAGGCCACAATAACATGCAGGTTGGAAAACTACATTTGACTTATTGGTTGACCACATAATCATCAAGAAAGCTGTTGGTTATTAGAGAGGTTGAACGTAACGGGAAATATGCCCAGAGTTGAATAGGATGATTGAGACCATGCTCAGCTGAGTATTTACCATACACAGTTTCATTAAACCCATTTAAACACATACACTCAGTTAACGAGTCATGACATTTTTAACTTTTGTTTTTCTTCTAAGATAAATTAAACAAAATGTGTCAGGTTAATCAGACAGAGAGGATGGACGGGACATTTTGTTGATGTTTTCTATAATGCCTGGCTAGCTTGTTTCCAGTCTGTGCTAACCTAAGCTAACCTCTAAGAATACAGACATAAGAGTGATACTACTCTCACCAAGACATCAAATACACATATTAACGAACCCACACCTTTCATACATGACTTTGTGATGCTTGCTTAGCTGCAACTAGCAGTGATGATAACATAGGGTGACCATATTCTGAATCCCCAGAAAGAGGACCTGACTACGCGGGGGCAGAGTCACAGAGTCTTGGAGACTCTCTAAATTTTGAGAGTTTTTTGGGTTGGGTCAGGTTTTTTTGTATGTGTGTCAAACTCAGCAAGTCCACATGACACAAACTCAAAACTTCTATGTAAAACCCAGACATTTGAAGGATTTTGTAAAATCCCTCAGACAAGGACAGGCCAGACAGCCCCCCATGTCTGGGTAAAAGAGGACGTATGGTCACCCTGGATAATAATATGAGCAAATGTTAAAATCTAGGGTGCAAGAAGCTTCAGATTGAAATGCTGTTGTATGCATAAAACAGGAAAAATAAACAAGTCAACGAGAGTCATAGGCCATATTAAGACAATCTTAAGTGAGAAGTTTAAAGTACAGGGGGCAAAGGGAACTATAGAGCATCTGACCACATTTTGCTAGTTAAGCGGCACACAATCTAGGAGCTAAGTGAGGTGCAGGGTACAAAGGGCCAGGTGCACCTGCAGACAGATGTGCTGCTATTAACATAGATTTTAGCCTACTCTTGAAAAAAAACAGGCAAAGCAAGCACATTTAACCTCTCCCCTTCCACCGTTCCCCTAAACACACAGAAAACACAAAAGGCACAACTGTAATGCATGAATTGATTTTAAATGACACCAAATCAATCCCTTTGTGTGGCAGAGACAATCAGGGACTTCCTGAATTTATGCCGGAGGCACATAGCTGGATTTACTGTTTTCTTAAAACTCGCACACAAAGCTCAATGAAATCCATGTACTGTGCACTTTACATTATTAATGGTAAGCTGAAATTTTACAAATTGTTGCTGTTGGATTACATTGCGCAATGTAATCCAACATTGCTATATATATATATATTATATTATATATATATTGTGGATAAATTCGAATTTGATATTATTGATAGAAAATATGATTTATTTTGATAATGAATTTGTTCTGAATCTGCACAGTCAGGTGGAGACACTGACTGTTTTTCTGAGTCAATCTGGAAACACTCTGCGCACCTTTCATCCATCTGCCCATCTGAACTCATCATGGTTCCCACCCCTGCTCTCTTTCAAACTCTATATGAAGACCTTAGGGTAGTTCTATTCCTTATTAACGTCTTTACGATGGATTATAACTCAAATCTCGTGACCTGGGTCAAATCAAACATCTGGAGTGCCTGATGTGAAAGAGACCTCATGATCCCTGTTTGGAAATCTAGAAATAAAAGATGACCTCACTGACCTGGTTTCATGGTATGTGCTGCAGACTTTTTAACACTTTCAGCCACATTGACGAACACTTAAACTCTTGACCATGGCAAACGAGAGACCGCCTTGGAAAGCTCTACCCTCACAGAGGAAAACAGAGTGAATGACCTTGATGTGGCGGTCAAGAAACAGCATTGCCTCTTCACTGTGGCTTGCGGTCCAATAAAATGTTTTACAGCTCAGTTGTGCCTCGAAAACAACGGAATATCTGTTCACGGTCAATTTCAACAGAACTCTAACAATGCACGTAGACAATGCAAACCTCTAATCAGGTTAAACTTTTGTTCCAGGAGGGGAAAATCCACTCTAAAACAGTCAACACTTCAAAATAACCATTAATAATGCTGCATTTATATGTCTGCTTTATTTTTGGTGTGGTTATTATTTTATTTTCTTTTTTTTCTTTTTGGTGGCTCATTAATTAATGGCACAGCTAGAAAGTGGGAATGTCAAATAAAAAACAAATGTCAATCCCAACATTTCATTGCACCATAATGAAAGGACATGAGTTAAAATAAAGCTGCGTTTGCATTTGTCTGCATTTGTTGAAATCCCCAAATCAACTAGTTCCTTCCTAGCATCTGACTTTGATTCTCCTGACAGTGATAACCATGTCATACAGCTTGGATGGCCTGCACAGGTGTAAAACCTCTTCATGACACTTTGAAATGAAAGCCCTACAGGAGTTCATTGATGAGTCAGGAAGATTGACTTTATCGCTCTCTGGGCAGGCAGTACAAGCAAGACGAGCATGTGGTTTATGTTTCCAGCCAGTTTTTCCTCCCTTGTCCCTTTTTTAGAGAAGAAGTTGTTCTTGCAAACCGCCCCAGAAGTTTTCAGACTCACTCCATTGTCTCTCAGCAACTGTACCATACCTTAAGCGCTATTCTAAGACAACACAAGCTGAGATTTATTTAGGCATAAAGTGAAGCTGCAAATAGAAAATACCATGTTTTGAGAAATGATGAATCAACTAAACATATAAACTGTACAGATTTCACAGATTTTAGTCAGGATCAGACTCTGGGCCTAAATCTGCATAAAGATATACTAGCTTTTGGCTGCACACTATATCAGGGAGTGAGCAGGTTGTGATGCGAATAAATATCCTGACATAGTGAGCAGGACCCCGACACAAAGCTACACTATGTGGTTGGGGACCGACTACTGCGAGACCACCGATGTTGACTATTGTCCTCATTTAGCTTCCCTTTCTCTCAGAGCTTTTATAGTCAACTCAAATTTACATATAAATATGTAAAAATGAAAATAAAATAAAACTGACAGTGTTGCTATTATCACAACCCCTCATGGTTTTAGTCACTTTGTTGTAAGCCGAGACAAAAGATGCTCTTACAAGCCTTTTTTTTAACTGCACATTGACCCAATAAAATAACAAAATAATGCCAAATGACTTTGTTACCAAGTCAAAACAAATATACACTATATGTCAAATAAAGCAAAATTAAAGCATCACCAAAATACTCTGACTTTGAGCTAACTCAAGCTAAGCACATAGGTGCAGCTGATCAGACTGACAGCAGCAGGCATCCCTTCGGGGATTAATAAAGTTCTTCTTCTTATTCTTACATCGCAACACCAGCTGAACACCATTCGGTGCATTTCAACGCCTCTATTTGATTTCTGCATCAAAACAACAGCAGGAATCACTTTACATCATTGAAAAGGGGTTGAAACTGGTTTGAAGTGAAAAATAATGGAATTTGAAATATAATTTGCAGCGCAGTCAACCCAGATTTACTCTTGAAATTATGTGATTAATCGGGGTTGACAAAATTGTTTGTTTGGCAGCCCAAATACAAATCATGTCATTCAGGGGTATTACTAAGTACGTAAATCAAAGTTTTTCATCTGAGGGATCCAATCAATCCATTCAGAGAGTGTGACTAACTGCAGAAGACAGATTACATGGATGGATACAAAGATTGTGATCAGCCTTTGTGTTACACTCAGTTGACTAACACAACTTGTTTTTCCTGATGTTTTCAAGAAACCAATCAACAGACGTTACAGATCAAGTACAAAGTCCCAAATGAGTCCCAAAAGAAATAGCAGGTTTTGGAACATAGTGTATTATTTCAATATTTACACTCCCTCAAATCCACTCAAGCTGTGGGAAAAATGTGTTTTCCCCCAAAAGGAAAGAAGAAAAGGAAAAGAGAAAAGGTGGGTGGAGAAAAAGGTGGAGTGGCTCCGATTAGACCACATGTTGGTAATTTATCACACATAAACCTCACACCTAATTTTCACACCTGTAGCTCAACGTGCTGGAAGTCTAGTAATTCACTCACTAACACACGCACACACCCACACCTTCCACACATGCCGCTGAGTGGGACCATGCCGTGGGTTTACCTCTGTGCAGGGGGGGAACGAGGACATGGCAGGCGAGGATCAGTAAAGTTAGCGGGCATACTTGGCATATTTGCACCCCATGTAGCATTGCTTTGTGTCTCCCGACCAAAACTTCGCTCACTCTCTAGTCCCCATTTGTCATCAACTGAGCTAAACTCACCCTGACCTCCAGCTCACACATCTGAGCAGCACAAGCATTGGATAAGGACACTTCCATACTTGCCAGAAAGAGGAAAACATACTGTAGCTGTGAGTTCAGATGGGAGATACGCATCGTGCATTTCATAAAAACAGATTGTAAATTACAGTTCACTTCTGATTGACAGGCAAAAAGAAAGAATCAGAACTATTTCCTTTAGGCACCTTGGACAAAGTGTCATGTCTTATTGCTTGGCTGTTTTGTCCTGTTTATATATGTATATAATCCTACTGTCTTTAATAGTCCAATGTTCAACTTTCTATCATTGTTGCTGAGGACAATGGTGCACTTAATCACTTTATCTGACACTGCAGTTAAAAGCGTTACTCAAAAGTCATAACTCAAAAGGTTGCATTTGCTCCCAAATATCATACAGAGACATAAATTTTTATTATGGTCTGTTTTGAATTAGCTAAAAACGGGTGCTTTAAGGTAAAGTCAGCACTGTGTCTAAATTTGAAGGTGGGCGCTAGTTAGCTTAGCAAACAAAGTCCAGAAATAGTCGAACAGTTAGCTCTGTCCTTCTCTGCAGTAATAAAATCTGCTGACCAGCACCTCTCAAAGGTACAGCGTGTAGGTGGTAATATTTGGCAATGACTAATGGTCCAAATCTAGACTGTAATGCTCCCTTGCTCACCCCTCCTGCCAGAGGAGCGAGGGTGGCCTACAAGGACAAGAAGCTCATGTGATGATAATTGTGATCCTCCATTTATCAAAAAGCTTATTCTGAGTTAACAAAAACAAACAATCTATCTATATGTGTGCGATTATGTTCTAGTTTGAAAATACTTACAGATAATATATCCTATTTCTGCAAAGTCTTTTCTACTTTATTAGAGTAGCCATACGTCCTCTTTTACCCGGGCATGTCCCCTTTTTTGGGGGCTGTCCGGCCTGGCTAGGGGAGTTTATAAAATCCTTCAAATGTCCTGGGTTTTGTTATGGAAGTTTTGAGTTTGAGTGGCGTGGACTAATAGAGTTAGAAGTGCATAAAAGACACTCGACTCCGCCCCGCATAGTAGTGTCCTCTTTTTGGGGATTCAGAATATGGTCACCCTAATTTAATGCAACACACTATCCTTACAAGTCTTTTAATAAAGCTAAGCTAATTTTTATTATTTTATTTTTTAAAGTTCCTAAATTATTTTACCACTGCATTATGGAGAAGGTCTTTGTGGGACTAGTTAGGGTTCAAATCTGTTGTTTTAAATGATTAAATATATTCCAAAACCCTGTATCCAGAGGTGAGTCCAAACTTAGGTGGCCTAGTTGGGGCACTTGTATAAGCAAAGGTGCATGCACACACAAATGTCTTCATTATCTGCCTTAAAAATCTATATTGTTGAGAGTATAATATAATCTGTATATTCCTTAATAGTTCATCCAGCTGTGTTAAATGCTTGATTCTGATTGGTCTAAACCCTTGACAATAGTTATGGACCATAACTAGCAGTGGCTACACAGGGGACAACCTGATCATACACACCAGACATGTAAAATCAAACCAGGGAAAGACGTTACCATACATCTAACATACTGATTATAATCCCTAATAAACCCTTGACTGATCCACAACCTACATTTTAAACGATAAATCTTTAAATCTAACACATCTGAAGTAGTTTGAATAACTTCTATGACTGTATTACAGTGAAAAGATTTAAGTAGAGTTCATTGGAGTGGAAGTGGTGGAAAAAAAAGTGCTTAATAAAAGTAGTCAAACAAAGTTGATTCATAGTCACAACAGGAACGGGAAGAGAACTGTTTAACCTTCAAGCAGCGATGGAAAATGAAAATCTCTTGGCATTTAACACAGAGACCAAACAAAATAAAAAGAACTAACGGTGACTGACTGCCCACATCCATCTCCCTCTGTACTGGTCTCAAGGAAGACAGACGTGAATGTCTGCCACAAAGTTCTACCTCATTAACCCTTTAACTAGACACAACCTCATATGCTCTGTCGCCCGCCGAGGCTGACGGGGAGATGTGAGGTGATCACCAGGGTCAAAAGTGGAGTGCACCGCAGGGGGACAGCTGACAGAGACCTGCTCTCACTTTCACACATGGTGCCTGTCCCAAAAAAAACACAAAACTTCAACATCAAAGCCTGTTTTTCACCCCCTAAAAAAACTGGGTCGGATCCAATATCTACATTAAGACCTCCACGGGAAAAAGAGACAGCTCTGCTTGTTTTGTTACCTGAAAACTGAAGTCTGTTTCCGAGGAGAGACACAGTTATTTCATCATTTGGATGATTTGCTAGTTGAGAATCAAAATATTCAAATATTTTCCTACAAAAATGCAAACAGTTAAGTTTTTCTCAACTCAAAAACAACAGAGGGAAGTTAATCTGAGGGGTCTCACAGTCTGGTGCGCAGTCACATATCGTGCACTCTGTATCCAGATGAGAGCGGCCACGTTTGTCTCCAGCAGGTGTCTGAGTCACATCTGGCCTCATGTTCCCTCTGCACCACAAAACTGCACCTGAATGGTTGGCACTGCCCTGGTTTCTTAACAGAAACCGGCTTGTGTTGGCTCAAAAAGGCCAAACTCAGCCCTCAAGAGAACACATTTATTTTCTACAGAGCCCTTTGAGAGAAACTTGGAAGAAATACTTTCATAAAGTACAAGCAAAGGAAGAGCGGACTCCACCTGCAAAAATGGAGCGCACGCAGCCACAACAGTGGTGCAAAAGCCAATTTCCTTTAAGTAAAAGTGCTTCTGGGTTTGGAAACATGACATTTCACTTAAAAAAAAAAAAAATGTAGTAAGCTTTCATTAGAACGTGGGTAAGATACGATCTTAAGGAGGTGTAAGATGTTGCGATAAAATCAACGCTGAGATGAAGAACACAGACTAGCCTCCAAAATTCCTGGGTGGTATGAAATCCAAGTGTATCATTACATTGAAGCAAGAGTTGCACAAAGCTGTACCTTTCCTGTGCCTACATGCCGCAGTGTTTCCTGCAACAAATCAGCAGCGAAATTGGGTTGTCATGCTGTGGATGTTCTTACAACAACGTTCCAAAGTGATACACAATAATTCAACCTCACGTGGGCATCTCGAAAGAGTCGGAAAAGAGGTTAGAAGATGACACCTCGAAATTTATTGCAAGTCATGCAGAAGCATCATTTTTAATTTCAGTCTGTTTTACAATCAGCAAAATCTCCTCTCAGGAGCTTCACAGTCCTGCTCATGAGCTGTTTCTTACGCACATGCTTGGTGATGATAACCAGCCCTACACTGTCCATTACACTTCACCACTGCCCATTACTGCACCGAGGCAGTACCATCTCGAAAGTCATTAGCTAGTAAACATGTAAACTACATGTGACCCCTGTCTACGGGTACCTATTAGTTATGACTCCTGCTGGTGACAGCTGTTTACACAGCTAAGGCCGCCCGCTCCTGAGCCCTGGCTCCAGTCCAAATAAAATAATATCCAGTTAAGGAGAAGTCAGCCAAGATGTAATACAAGTGCATAACTAGAGGAGGGGAAAAGAGGCGAAGAATCTGAGAAATGTTAATGGATTTCTTTTAAATCTTTGTACTTTTGTGTCTAGCATCTGTCTCTACCACAGCCTTGTCCCCATTGTCTAAATCCCGAAACAAAACTAGTCAGAAACGCTGATGGAAGAAGAAAGTCAAAACCAAAGCACCACAATTGATGTTCTCTGTGACAAAGAGCAACATAAATATGTGCCGTGTTAAAATTATAACACGGCTTACAAATTTCTCCTAAAATTAGACCTCCAAACTCTCTCTCTCTCATGTTACACTTTCTTTGTGTGTGCATGTTTGTGAGCCGTGTCCTCAGCTCTCGTGGCATGCAGCCAGGGAAAAATGCAGAAACATACACCGGTTTAGACAACACAGGGAACGACAAGACAAACAACAACAAAGACCACAACCACACAACCACTGGTCCAGACATGCACTGCACTACATTGAACAGGGCTGGGCTCATACTGCTGGATTTTGGGCCTAGTTGTGTTGAAATATCTTGGTTTGGAAGAACAAGATACAGAAGACCTATAGATCCATTTAAAGCCGGTGTCATCAAAAATATTTGTGCATATTTTGGCAACAGAAGGGGAACTTTGCACAACTCGTCCAGACGACTTGGCAAACTTCGAACACTGAAGTTAAACTGCCACCAGCTTCAAAACGTCTGCTTTTTTGATGGTCATATTCCAGAAACAATATTGATGTTGCAAGTTACATAGAGTTCTGACAGGATATCGATGGTTTCAGAGCAGATGGTGTTTTGGTTTTAAGGAGTGACTCTGTTAGTTGGTGACTTTCAGCTGAGCATTCAAGCTGTAACCTCTAGCCTTGAGAAATTTAGCTAATATGACAGTGTTAAAAGCTGCAGTTACATGATTGGCAAGTCAGAGGCATGGCTTACTTAACTGACAGATAGGCACACTAATCACGTGCAAGGCAGCTTAAGGTCCGCCACTCTTAAGTTAACAGAAAGTTACATTGATTCAGCATTTCCAATATGGCGACCGCCACTAATTAGCTTCAAAACTCTGCCTCACAAACAAATGGGTGATGTCACCCATGCTATGTCCAGTTATCACACAGTCTATGCCGAGATGTATCAGGTATTTATTCAATGAAAAACTTACTGAATTTGCAAGCATGTATTAAGCAGAAAGGCCGTTAGTTATAAGAGTCACTCCTCAAGCCAAAACACCTGCAGTATTCGTATCGCCAAGCTTTCAAACATGTTAAATGTATCCTTCCTTAGTTCCATCAGATTCTGACTGCAAATAAATAATATTAAAATGCCAGAATCCTGACAAGACAGTTGGAGGGGACCAAATATGGAGAGGCAAAGAGTGAAAGTTGGAAATACATCAAACTGACCCAGAAGTCACACCCACATTGCAGCTAAATCATCAAACAAATAAGGTCAGTTTGTTCAGGTCGATATCACAATCCTTAGATCAAGAAACTCAACTGAGGCTCGGCCAACAGTGACACACAAAATCAAGTAAACCTGAAGTTTCTTTGTCATTTTGTTAAGATGTCCTGATAAGGAGGCATCTAGTCTTTGACCGACCATGGTTTCATTCTCTCCAAACCTTGTGGCTGCCCTCTATGAGTAAAGATTTCTTTTTGTATTTTTCACCCATCTACGTCTGACTTATGCAACCCAGCTGCAACAGTCTTGGAAGCCAACTGTGAGCTGTGATCGAACTGACAAGACATTGTCTCCACCCAAAGAAAAAAGCCTGAATGTGACAGGGATCGATGAGGACGCCTTTCAGCCAGGATGTACTCAACTCTATTTTTAAGGCGTTCAGACCTCATTACTATTACTGTAATGTCAAGGTATCTTAATAAATACTATTAGAGTAATCATAGAATCTATAAATAATAAACAAACACTGACATCAATCAGTTGTGTACATTCTTGAGTTTGGCCGTACTCAACCCTCAAAACTTTTGGTTCTCTGGAGTCTAAAGTCTCCAGTAACAAGGGCAGAACAATTTAGTGTGAACGCTGTGATTGTGCTGTCTGCATACACAATAGTCCCATCACAAGATATGCAATATCAGTCATATGACCTGAAACATGTCATGCTGTCACCTTTCCCTCATTGTGCAAGATGCAGCCCATTTCATGAACACATTGAGAAACCGAGTCAAATATGCACATGAGCCACCACGCTGCAACCATCTGAATACCTGCAAGATGTTTGATTTTGCTACAGAGATTTGAACAGTGTTACTTGAAGTATATGTAAATCATATGAAGCTCATACGCAGAAGATGGTGAGTTGTTCTGCAATTGGGAGTAACCATATGACTTAGATCAAACATTCACCCAACTACAGAATTTACTGATTCATAAGTCTAAGTAAGTCATTTCTTCATCGAAGTAACCCGCAGTTATGAGTCCCTCCACCTGCACTCTCTCCTCCCCTTGTCTCTCTGTTTTTTCAGGCATCAGGATAACCATCAATGTGCTACTGAAATATGCTTCTGAGCACTTAAAGTTAACAGCATTTTTCTGGTACTCATTCCTGTGTTTTCCATATGGCAGTATATATCGCAGAGAGGAAAAAAGCTTTCTTCTTCTATTTTCCTGCAGCTCCTCTAAAAAGACGTGTGCTTTCTTATCACAGAAGTAAACACAAGGAGTGACAAGTTTCAAGACGTTAGCTTGACTAACTCTGACTGAACGAGGGCTTCACTCTGCTGCCTCGAGGCTAACCTAGAGGTAGTTCCCGTCCCATGATTGATGCAAAATCCTTTTGCTTTGCTCCGATAACGGACAGATGCATACCTCATTTTATCACACCTCCATTTCTCTGTGCATCCTCACTTCCCAGAACCTTCTTCCTTTTCTCTTCTGACAACATAAATCTTCAGGGTATGACCCTTTAAGACCTCTTTACAGCTGACATGCACGCTATGTTGCCCTCTCTGTTCCCCCCCCACTCTCTCTGTCCTCCTCTCTCTCCACAGAGGGAGTCAGAGAGACAATGAGCCCAACATTGAGGCCCAGTAATGACTCCCAGCCTTGTTCTTGATTAAAAACACACCGGGTGCTTCTGCACTCCGCAGGCAGCCGTGAGGCCTTCCTTTCCTCACACCAAAAGTCCTGAGAATTATGAGATATGAGCGAGAGCCAGCCTCAACAAAGCTCCATGCCCAAGAAAGCAAAAACTCCGGTGTAAGGCTTACATCTGTGGCAGTCAAAGCTCCGGTCTCAGTTAGCCCAAGTAATTCCAAGAGTTTGTCTTCATTTAGTCCAAATGTGCTAAATTACCAACATTACCTCAACCTAAGATTGAATTATATCAAAACAGTAACAGAGGTTAATACAGATTTAGCTGATATGCACCAACACTGCAGCTAAATATCCTACAACTTCCTGCGCTTTTACTTCTTCATCCTGCAGGCAGAAAATGAGGAGCGATATTTTTTCAATACAAAAGCTCATCAATTTTGACAATTTTGCTTCAACACCAATAATAGCAGAGGCTCGGTGCATCAGACAATCAGTGGGCAACAGTAGGGCGGCTGCACCTTTACCTGTACCTCTCCCACTTCAATACCCGGGCCGCCAAATTACAGGCGAGCTCTGCAGAGAGACCCTTTATTGCATCTGACCAGCTCACTTCCTCTCCATACCAAAGGCATTGCATGCTGAGCTTATTTTGATGTGGCGTGTAAGCATAATTAGAGGTCCCATAAAAGCAGGCAGAGGGGGAAAAAAGGAGTCTTGTCCATCTGTCGGGTGTTAAAGGGTGGGCTCGGGGGAAGCCATCAGTTCTCTATGCCGAGCTCTTGTAAGACTAGCAGCCATTGGAACAGGCATTTAGACTCCAGCATCAAACCAGGATTGGGGCAGGTTTGTTTCTGCACAGGTTAGTGTATTTTCTCAAGGGGGCCTCCCGGAGTTTCAAGTTTCGAGGCTTTGCAGATCGATGCAAAGTAGGTACTCGACCGCACGCACGTGGAAGAACACACTAACACGGCAAACATGCATACAGAGTGTAGCCTGATGTCGAAACACTGAAAACCAAAAATCCAATCTACAGGGCACTTTAATTCACTTAGTGCAGGTGGAGAATTAAATTTAGACTTATAACTTAAACGCCTCATAAAAAAGAAATAGACTAAATTACTGTCCTGCTTATAGTTGGATTCAGAAATCTATACCACACCTAACATCAAGACTGAAATGGGTGGCAGCATATGTTACTCGAGAACTTCCATGTGATGTTCAGCACCGACAGTATCATCCTGGACATATAAGCCGCCCATGACATGAGCACTTACACATGAACATTGGCTGTGCATTGATAACAGGCCTTTCCTCTTTAGAGTAGAGGACATAGAGTCCATGATTTCCAAAAAGAGCATCAAATTTTGATTTCTTCAGACCACAGAACAGTTTTCAACTTCACCAGGACTTTGACATTTCTCAGTCACATTCATAGGTAGTTCCCTCTTTGTACAGTTTTAGCCTACATTTGTAGTCTGTGTTCACAGACAGCAGTTTTTGGTGAGATTTCCAAGATATAGTCATGTCTGTTTCAAAGCAGTGCTATCTGAGAGCCCAAAATTTAATCAATCAATCTTTATCACAAAGCAACACTTCAGTTCACCAGTTATCTGATTTCCACAAAGGACCAGTCTTTGTTTCCCAAGGACTCTGGGATCAGAACTATCTCAACGATCATAATCTCTTTAATGATAATTTGTATTGTGGATAGTAAAATCTCCAAATTCTTTGCAATTTCATGCTTTCAAACATCACTCTATAACAACTGAACTATTTGCTCTTGCAGTCTCTCTCACGAGGTCTGAACCTGTTTAAATAGCTTTTTAAACACTTTCAGAGTTCTTTCTTCCCTGTCCTGTTTTTAAAAAAACTTCTTGATGGTATCATATTTAAATTGAACATCTTTTTTTCATAAAAAGCTTTTCAGTTTGAAACATTATTTTTGCACTATTTACCACAAATTTAAAAGTTTAAAATTACAAACTATCAAATTGTCTGTTTTAACATGTTACACTGTATTTTCTGCTTTTCCTTGGACTTGCGGTTGTATTTAAGCACTGCTCATAAGTTTGTTTTCCTGTGTGACCAACTCTTTTTTTAACTTCATGCTGTAAACAGCAAAGGGGGAAATTGTCAATCTTTAACAGCTCCTATGACTAAAGTCAGTGGGGAAAAAACACAATGAATGCCTGTTGTATCTACGTCATTACCTCTAAACAGCTCTTCACTGAGGTGTGTGTTAGTAATGTGAGAGGTAAGTAGTCTGGAAGTGCATTTCAGTGTAAGCCTGAGGGGCTCCATCTCCGGCTCTGGGCAGCTCTCCTACCTGTGAAGCCTTGGTATGAGTCATTTTTTCAAAAAATACCCTTTTGTGTTGTTGTTTTATGTGTGGCACTTACAAATGATTCCCACATTAGATTTTTTTTACTACCCAATAAACTTGAGAGAATCGTACCAAATTGGCTGGTCACATTTGGTAGCTTTATAAGGAAACGTATTAAGGTGTAATTGCTCTGGGGGAGTGTGCAATTGAGGGAACGGGCATAGGTGAAGGGTACGAAACCGCCCTCGCGCTCTTGAGAGACACTGCCGTTTTTGTATAATGCTCAGGAGTTTCCAATCACCACGAGGAAATGTGGAGCGGGTTAGAAGATTTCATACAATAAGTAAGTTTTATTTCACATTTCCGAAAAAAATGAAGTTTTACAGTGTGGTAAAATGTAGTCTAAAATGAAACCATCTGTTTGGCATTTAGTTTTAGCAGCATGTGAACCTCTGGTGACAATGAATGAGGGAGGAAGAGAGGATTCCCTTGAATGTATGAGAAAAATGGAAAGGACACATAAGTTTACGATGAAGTGAAATGTGAGGATTTCTCCTCCATGAGGGATAAACAAGAGGAAAGTCCCCAAAGAGTAGATGGATGGATATCTCCTCTCAGTGACTTGCCTCAGTTTGCAATCCTGCAAGAAAAGACGCCATCTAGCCAATTAAACGGGAAATTGTTTATCATTTTTACAGGTTGGAGACAAAAGTCTTATTTTTATCCAAGGGGAAAACTGAGAAACGGCGAAACAGATCATCCCCACTCCGTCACGTGGTCCCCAAAAGAATCTCTCTCTGTGCCTCTCGAGGGAGAAAGTTCATGCCACTGCATGTTTTTTCCTCTGCTGGGCTTTTTCGGCAGTGTAGCATGGCATGAGCGCACTGAGGAGCCTTTCACCGGCTTCATCTGATACTGCTGTGACTCGGAGCTGGAGCTGCGCTACAGGCCAGGATCGACATGCATGGGTTAGTAGGTCAAACAAGGAGCTAGTCTTTCGACAGAGTTCGGAGGCTGGGTCAGACTAATGTGATTTATCAATACAGCACATAAGTGAATCATTGTCCTTAATGGCCATGATAATCCCCGAGACGGACCGTAGATGTGATTGGTGGAGGAGTCGGGGGCGGATGAGGCTGGAGGGGGAGTATGTGTCACTCTGGACTTGATGTCTTGATTAGAGCATCAGCAACATGCACCTGTTATGTATCTGTAAGTCTCTCTTTCTCACACACAGACACACACACACAGATTTACACTTATTGAGGTTTGGCTGATGGGGCCTGGGAGAGAAAAGACAGAGCTCTGTTCCTTGACGCCGGAGCTCCGGCTCAGGTCAAGACTCGGCTCGCTGTAATCCCTCTCAGGTGATGCTGTTCACATTCAGCCGTTTCCAGCTGATCTGCTTAAATGCGCCTTCCTCATCCCCGAAAAAGCCCCCACTTCTCCTAAACCAGTACCGACTCTGAGGATGAGGAAGGAGGGGCTGCTGCTGCTGTTTTTTTCCAAGCTGTCAAATGTCAGATTGCTTTTCAACATTTCCTATAAATGAGCAAACTAGTGTTTCATGTTCATAGAATAAACTCCTTCTGTTTGGTGGAATAAAAAAAAAAAAGCCAGGATGCAGGGCTCACATCACCTGGATTAGAGTGGCATCATGTGAGAAGGCCTTGTTAACAGACGTGCCATCTGCAGGGCCTTTTCACTTTTTCCAAAGGCGAGAGTGGAGGGCTGGTTTTAAAGCAGCCTCTTGGAGCGCTCCCTCTTCTCACTAGGCACTTAATCAACGTATTATATTGCACTGAAGTACCCGGTTCCAACATTAACACTTACACCCACAAACCTGGGATTTTGTGTGAGCTTTCAGCACACTGAGGCCTGATTTCCTAGGGCTTAAAAAAAGCGAGGCAACTGTTTGGATGCTCATCTGCTCCCAAGTTGCTGTACTTCTTCAATTCACACAGCCAAAAACTGCACTTTGGTTTACAAATATGTGCTCAAATCACACTTTTTTCCACAAACTCTTCTGACAGAAGACAAATACCTGAGGGTGATGTGTCTCTGCTGAAAGAGGCTAATGTTAAACATCAACTCATTACCTTTTTGCGCGTGTTTCAGCTGTCCGCACACACCCCTGTTGCTAACTGTCATCAACTGCACAATAACTCACGCATCTCTGACCTCATTCCCTCCACCTCGCTTTGGTGCGCTGGTTTCATCTGATCATTTTTGTGGGAATGCTGTCAGAGTAACAGATGACGCATTTGAATTTGATCTGAAACATGCTGCAGCCTGCTGGGAATTCAAATTTGGTATTTTTTGAGTACATAAAGGGGAGGCTAACAGTATCACATGGCAACTTTTCACCACTTTCGCCTGCTATTATCCATTCATTACCTGTTTAAACTTCTTAGGGGCCCTCTGTGTGGTTGTGTGTGTGTGTCTGTTCCTGCAGGCTGCATTGGAAGTCCAGCCTGATTTTATGTAGTCAGCAGGTGGCATCATTAGCCAGAGAATAAAAATGAAAAGTAATACCCTTGTGTCTACCTATGATATCACAGAGAGGCTCACTGGCATCATTTCAGTGGACAGGATCGGGGGTAAGGAGGTGTAAATTTAATATGTTTTGTCATCTGTTTAACATGAAAATCATGTATATGCACAGTTACCACAGCCAAATGGGAGGTTGGGTCATGCCATGCAATGAGGGAGCAAGACAAGATCAGCCCAGAAACCACACAAAGATCCCAATCTTGCCTGCCCTGGTACATTTCAGGAGACTCGAGTCATAAGCAATGGCTGTTTTTCTCCTTGACATCCCCTAATTATAATGACATCACAATCCCGTACACCTCACCGGCTTATGTGGCTGCACACGCGCTGGATTTTTTTTTTTTACGGCAGAACTTTTTTTTAACACACATGTAAAAATGAGAAAGGCATCTGTTGAATTATGTGTTTAGTTACACATAAAATTGTTATGCCTGTGGAGCGCAGAATGGCCAAATTGAGGTTCGAACATGTCTGGGTCTCAACACTCCTGAACGGTTTGGATTGCTCCCCCTGCATGCCAGACAGGCTGTGTATAAAGCTGTCACAGGAACCTTGAGGGCTAAGAAAATATTCAAGCATTTCTGGGCCTATTGGACGATGATCTCTTACACATGCTTCTTTCAATATAACCGTGATAAATAAAGGAAGGAAGCAAATACCAAAAACTTGGCTGACTGCCACTACTTGCAAGAATGGCACTTTTGGCCCAAAGGGATCTTACCCCCCTCCACACAAAAAAAATAAAAAAAACACACACACACATATACACACTTTCTCTCTCAGCATCACTGTAAAGGAAAAAACTGTACATATTTGCATGGGATTAGTTTGACAAGTGAAACATCCGTTCTGGCTGTAACAATGTGTAGTTTATAGTACTCAGCCTAAAGCTGTTCTTGAGGTCAAATGTGTAAGTTAACCCCCTGATCCCATCCGCCTTGAACCCCCCACCTTCTCTCCCTCTTTTCCTCTCAAACAAACAACACATAAAGAAGCACCTTAGTACAAATACTAACACTGGATTTACTGCTGGACCGTCCAAAATACCCTCCAGATTCAAACAGTTCCAGCAAGAAGAAAAAAAAGATTGATCATACCGAGAAAATTACATTCCATCTCCTTCTATCTAAGATCACACAATCCTCGGAGAAAGAAACACACAGAGGAGCTGAAAAACGTGTGTGTGCCAGTACCCCGCAGTGATTGCCTGATTATTTGCAGATGGGCAGTGGAGGGCTTGCAGAGTGTGGAGGTTCCCCCTGGCACGCAGCGCATATGATTAAATTTGTGATTGCCTTACAATTTACAAGACCCCCCTCTCCCTTGACTTTAAATGACTTCTTCGACTGTACGGCCACACTGTGCGCGCGATCTAGAGCTCTCTCCAAGTCCGCTACGAGGTCCGAGTGTGCGACTAAGCCTCCTCTCATGTTGACCCGGCGGATCGCGGTTGATGCGTTATGTCACAGGTCTGAGAAGGGCTCTACAGGGGCTACGTTGCTAATCCCACTGTCTCCTCATTCATTCAGAGTATGGAGTAGTATTTACAAAGGGGCTGATCCCCTCCTCAGCCCCCTGCGCCTCCGCTGAGCGATTGTCATGCGGGTTTCCTACCAACTGTTCAAAGTGGTTATGAGATCAATTAAAACCAGCTTAGGGGGCTGGAGTGGAGATGTGCAATTCATAAGTCAAAGGAAGGGGATTCCGTATCTATTCATTGAATAACTCCCACAATTCGACCCCCTCCTTTTCTATAAGCCGCCTGCTCTCTATAGACGGATCCGCGCCAGCAGCTTTTTAGCAGCTTCACATGTAAATAATATAGGGAGCTCTTTGTTGGGGCCACAGCACCGGGAAGTAGCGTTAATAGCCCGTCTGACAGCGTGGTTTAAACACTATTAGCCAATCCCCTGACGCAACATGTTTTAATGTTAATTTTGGAAAGCCACACGCGTGGCCAATTTTGCGCACATTTTACGCATTAGCTACCGAGTCTGAAATCGTTACATAATGCTGAAAAATGTTCTTTTAAGAGGTTCTTAAGTTGCATCAGATGTTGAAGGACTGAATTGTGGTTTGGATTAATTTTGTTTTTCAGCGTGAATATCTGGATTTGTCCTGAATCTCTCTTCGCGTTGTGTCAGAAACTCTCTCATTAGTGCTTTAAGGACTTAAAATCTGAACTAAAAGATAATTTGAACAATTTTAAGTTACTCGTCTGCTTTGTGCGCGCTGTGATTTGTGCTAACCTACTTGAAATGAACACCAGTGAAGAGGATTAAACGACGGACTTTGACAGAACGTGCGAGAAACCCTGTCCAGGACTGCAGCCGCCGCCTCCTGTGACCCACACAAACTCTGACCATCTGCGAAAGTCCCCCCCTGTGATGCTCCTAAAAGACCTGTAGGCTAAAACCCCCGCGTTACCTCTTTTGTTTCTCCTCCAGCGGTGCGAAGGCGCCTGACAGTTGCTGTACTCCATACAGTTCAATATGATCAGGGCGAAGGAGAAGAGTCGAAACTGCATCTGGACGGCGATCGGTTGTTCGGACTCCAGTAAAAAGGTGCCAGCGGGGCTTGGGATGAATATCTGACTTTGCTATGTCCTCCTCCAGTTTCTTTGGTCGCTCCTCAGATGTGTCAAACATCAGCCGAGATGCGACATGGTATCACGTCGCCGATTGGGATCATTTTATGAAGCGCGCGGATCCTCCAGTCACTCAAAGTGTCCGTTTTGGTGCGCTGCGGGAAGAATGACAAATGAGGTTACTGTGAAATCTATAGACTCAGATCAACACCTTGCTAAACAGTGATGTTTGAAGGTGATAAAAGAGGAATCAAAACAAAAAAATGCACAACTCCTTTGTGTATAAATGTGGAGGAACAATAAGAATTTCAAGGCAGTGCGTACTGCCCACCCTCCAAAAACGAGCGCAACCGTGCGTAATAGTCGCCAAATCTCTCCGTGAAATAACGTGTCGGTGTATACCTTGCATCAGATGAGAAGTAAATCCGCTCCGGTTCACTTTTTAGGTTCCCTCTGAGTGCAAGTGCGGCTCGGGAACATGCAGCATCCCTCTTTGTGTGAGGAACTTGTGTCTCCAGAAGAGAACAGAGGTTTGAGGAGTAGGAAAAAGGTGGTCGCGGTAAAGGGGAGGGTGGAGGGATTCCTTTCCTCTTCTTTAGTGGGAGCTTAGATTCCGTTTACCTGCGTTTCCTCACTCAAACTCGTGCCGTCCGTGTCCTGTAAGCGCTGCAAACACTCACATGTGTTGCTTGATAGAAAGCGGAAAACAAGAGCCGGTGAGTGAGAGAGAGAGTGAGTGAGTGAGTGAGTGAGTGTGCGTTTTGCGCGCTGCTGTGGTTGACTGACTCTCGACTGGTCCTGATGCTTGCTGCCTTTTTCCTCATATAGCGCCGAGCCTCTGTCACGTGTGGAGGTTTCCAGTTTTGCGTTTTCCTCTTATTTGAGATGTTGAGGATGACATTTAGCGTAGTGTCCCCCGCCTCCTTGCACCCCCCGCGCACTCACCCACACTGGCTGATAGGAGGCTGCCTCTGGGTCCTAGCGATCTTGAAAGACAGGAACAGAGAAAAACTTCGACATTTGTTGGAGATATGAGGCTGCAGCTCGCGTGCTTACTCTAACTTTACGTTTACAACACCCAGAATACTCCTTTAATAAATCCGCAGGTGATATCTCAGAACTACCCTTATCTCCCCACTGTGAATTTCTTCACATCAGTTCCACATTAAAGTTCGGTAACCCATCTGAACTGGGAATCAACTATGAACTGGATAATTACAACACAGCCAATCTTACTACCTCGGTTAGGCCTTCTCGTATCGACTGTTTCACTATTTAATAATTAGAGGTTCGCCAAAAAGGCAATTATCTGCGTAATGAGGTGGGCCGGCAAGTCAACCATCTCGTCACGCCTCTGATATTGCGCACCCTCCCCCCTCATCTGAAATGAACGATAATCGCTTGTGAGGCTGTAATTGTGGGACATGAATAAATCATTCAGTAAATCCAACCTTTTCCAGACTCGGGCCTTTCACCCTGACCCTCGTGACCTCATCTACGGAAACACGGTGAGACCCTCCCTCAGTCTGAACCAGCTTACCTTGTGAGCTGCTGGCATCCATCCACGCCTCACTGACAGTCAAATGCAGGCTGGACGTCGAGCACAGACCTGAGATGAAATGTGACAGCAGAAATTAGAAAATAAATGAAAGAAGGTCAAATAAAAGAGTGAAATGAGTGTTACAACTGATTTAGTAGCAAAAATAAGGGGTCTTGTGTCACTCTGCAGCTGATTGGAGCAGAAGTTGGGAATGCTCTACCCCCTTCTGCCACTAGGTGTGGCACTTAATCTTTTATTTATTTGAGGAAATTATTTTCATGTGAGAGCTATTTTGTCTAAGTCTGTTATTCTGCACCAGTCAATCTAATTGGCAGTCAAGAAAATAGGCAGCCTTGAACAGCCCTGAAACAAATAATAGAGACAAGTGAGTCCTGATGAAAACAAAATCAGTTTTTCCAGATGAGATAATGATTTTAAATTACCTTCTATTTTTATCCATGTCTGGCTGGCATCATGCATCACCAGACCTCCCATCCTTTCAATCACAAAATTTAATTCACATGCTGGTTTTACGCTTTAAAACCTGGGGAAACCGACGATATATAAAGAGATTTCTCCCCTCAGGCAGTAAAACATTCTCTCACTCAAGAGCTAGTTTCCATTTCATCACTGGAAGTGATTGAAAAAAAAAAAAAACTGTGGGGGGAAAACCTCGAGAAAAAAAAAAAAAGAAGGAATCATGGTTGTTTCCTTGCCAAAACCTATAGTGACCTTTGTCCTGACTTTGTTTATTTATTTATCCAGAGAGCAGTGACAGACATTGTGGTCAGGAGGGCTGTTAGCCACAGACTGTGCTGCTGGTTTGGATCCCTCTCTAAAACAACAGAAGAGAGTGCACGGTTAAGGTGAATGTGATAATTTAGGCCTCTGGCACTTTTATTTTCATGATGTGTCATGGAGAAGGGAGCCGGTAAACCAATCACTTTATATTCTCCATCCCTCCTCTCCTCTCCTCCCTCCTTTCTTCTCTTCGCAGTGCACATAAGTGAAGTGACGTCAGCATTCGGACGGTCTGGCTCGGAGCCCTCAGTGCCATAACAGCAATGAGAGAAGCTGCTATACACTCCGTGCATCCCAGATTCAGACTGGACACCCTTCAGCGTGGGCTGATGTCATGCTTTACTTAGGTAAAAACTCCAAAAACTGTTCCAGGCCACTGTGGACATCTAAGTCAGGATCTTCTAAATGTCAGAGAGTGAGGCCAACAGAGAAAGTTCAAGTTAAACTTAGAAATGTCCTCTGTTTGTAGCTGGAAAGAGGCAAATATCAATGTCTAGAAATACTCTTGAATGACATTTGGGAACAAAGCACAGGGATAACAGTCCACATGTACAAATGCAGTTTTATTGCCACCACGCAGATGAAAAAAAAAAAAAACCTCAGAGTCCATTCAGCCGCCGTGGTGAGGCTTGAAAAGAAACCCGAAGTCAAATAAACCTTAACAACAACAACAACAACGTGTCGTTAATGTTGATATAAACACATTTGGATGGTTTGCAAAATCTTCAAAACCTGCTACCTGATTAATAAAAAAGCTAAGACAACATATAAAATGCTGAAAGTAAAAAAAAAAAAAAAAAAAAAAGTTTGTTTTATGAAAACTGCTTTATGAATTTGAAACGAGCAACCTGTTAAAGATTAAAAAAAAAAAAAAAAAGGTGGGAAAGCGTCTTTTATTTTGATTATGGTGCATCACTTCTGTTTTTACCAAACACTGTAAACATTCAGGGGCTGAGGAAACAAGCTTTAGGCATCGTCAGTCAGATGTTGTGCCAGTCAGATTTCAACTGATCCATAGATCATGTTTTTTTTTTCAGCTTGAGGCAAATGTTTTCAGTGGGTAACAAATCAGGACTGCAGGCAGGGCAGTTCTGTACCTGGACTCTTCTACTACAGAGCCATGCTGTTGTGATGAATGCAGAATGTGGTTTGGTCTATATACAAGATTTTGGAAGATCTGCTGCTTCAAAACCTGTTTAGCATTGATGTTGTTTAGCATTAATGATTGTTTACCAGGAGGTGACTTAAGCCCATGCAGTGATTTCCACTTCTGAGTCCTGTCTGTGTTTTACTGCAGTGCTGCCCATAGGTCAAAAGATCACTGTCATCTAGGATTGGTTTCCAGCCTAGTCCCATATGTTCAGAGATTTCTCCAGATTCTGTGAATCATATATTGAGATGACGTACTCAGATAAAACTTAAAATTATTTTCAGTTTAATGCTGACCAGCGTATTTCTAATATTAAAGAATTCCCCAATGCAGTCTCTGATGGAGCAGTGAACCTTCTTACCCCTGAATGACCAGTATCGAAGGCCCTTTAATACCCGTTTATGTTACTAACCTGTTGCAAATTTACCTCATTAGTTGGTAGATGTTAAATGTCATCAATAATCTATTAATTTTCACAATTAATATGAAACACACCAATTGTTCTAGTTTTGAAAAGTTACAGAAAGGGATTTTTTTTAAGATCAATGAAACTTGATCTAAACTACGTAAAAGCTTCTCCTAAAAGGTTTCTAAATCTCCTCTTCCAGTCAGCTCCTCCTGTCAGCCACATGGACACGAGCACTTTTCCCAAACTTGATCAGTTTTTATGTGTAATTGCAAGGGGTGTTCTTGTTTCTGAACCTTAACTTTAATTATAGGAGAATAGTAAACGGTCTGAGACCAAGCTTTTCAAGTCGGATTTCATCATTTTTTAAAACAAATAAACCAGGTTTTCTTCCTGAAAAACACATTGAGTGAGGTCAACCATCCAGACACGTTGCAGTAACCAGCTTGAAGCGCTGTGGTTGGCAGCCGGGACTGACTTATTGTAGGCAAAAACAAAACAAATGGAAACAAAAACAGTGCGGTGCTGAAAGATGGGAACTTCGTGCTCTCTGTCTGCGGATCCTGAGTAGGTGCATAAATTACACCTGCATGGGAAACAGCATTGACTGATGTACAGCAGTGCAGCTTCTTTGCCTCTTTACAGATGTTTATGGCCGGAGCTCTGCACATTTAAATAGTTACATTGTGAAGTAATTCGTAGTTGGCTGGGCTGAAAACTCTGCAGACCAAAACGCATAGATGGGGAACTATTTAAGTGTCTTTTTTCAGTAGAAGAGTCTATTAGGACTAGGAATGGACATGATTAATTGATGATGAAGTGATTATTACGTCGATCACGCAAAAAAAAGAAACAGCTGTTTTCCAGCAAAGATCAACCTCTGCTGATCGGGGGGATACCCTCTTTGTCCAGTCAGCGTGTGTGTGTTGAAGCAATGCAGTGACTATCACTGTGCAGAAGGATTTTGACATTTTACAAAGGGAGTGATACGGCGTCAGTGGGCTTCAGTAGAAGCCGAAAAAACAAAGAAAGAAAGAAAGCAAGAAATGGGACCATTTTGAGCAGAAAAATGATGAGGTTTGATGTAAACACTGCAATGCTGTGTACCAGTAAAACATAACAACTCCAATGATGTACCACTTAAAGTACACACATCCCACTGAAGTTAATGAATCCTGAGTGCTCTTAGTCTCAACCTACTATTAGCTCCTTGCTAGCAAGGAGGATCTGTAGAATGTGAAAGAGGACTAGGGCCACAAAAAGAAAAAAAAAATTACAGTAGGGAAATTTTTTCAATTTCCATTTCGAGATTAAAGTCGAAATTTTAATATGCCGAAATTTAGACTTTATTCACGTCAACTTTAATCTCGAAATTTAGACTTTCATCTCAAAATTGTAATTTTTTTTAATCTCGAAATTTTGATTTTATTGACATAATTATGATTTTTTTTATCTCAAAATTTTGACTTCAATGTCCTTCCTGTAATGATTTTTCCTCTCTTCATGTAGCCCTAAATCCTCTTATGTGGTAGGGTGACCAGACATCCCAGATTTCAGGGGGAAAGTTCCTGTTTTGGATGACCTGTCCTCAGCTAAAGTTGTCCCTGGAAATGTCCCCGATTTTAACATTTCATGAATGAGAAAAAACAACGGTTATTATGGTATCCAGGCAGGTAGGACGCACGAGTTAGCATGTAGCATGCAGTATGTATTTCAATGAGGAAAAGCATGTTTTTCACGTATTTTCTGCCATTAGCATAAAAAACAATCAAGATGATGGATCGTTAATTTATATGATGGATCGATCTAAGGACTGTCTTTAAATGTCCATTCCTAGTTAGGCACCCTCTTTGCACCTCCTTAACTTTTGATATCACCTGATAAAGCTGCGGTAATTTTTTACATTATAAGACTGTTCAATAGTCCGATTACACAGTAAAGAGTTAAAATCAAGAGTTGTAAAGGAATGAAAGCCTGAGAGAGAGAGCTGGTGGTGTAGAGGCAGACTACTGAGTTATGAGAAGGTCGAAAGCAGAGCAAAACGGGGGAGGGGCGGGAACATTAAAAAGATTGTGTCCGTCTGGCTAATGGTTCTTTATGGCTCCCTCATGTCCTCAGATGGGCGGGATGACTGGCAGAGAGTGTGACCACTGGTAACTGTACATCACCTCTGTGTGCCCCCTCCAACTGACGGCCCACTCAGTGAGACGTCTGCCACGGTGAAACGAACCACTAAAACACCATAAAACCAACAGACTAAACAGCCATTCATCATTACAGCGCACACATGAGCCGCATCACACGCAGCAGTCTTAACTGTCCCACTCAGTGACTCAATGTGCACATTAAAACTTCATCAAGTATTACTGATAGAAAAAAAAAGGCTGACCACGCAAACCTCAACCACCATTTGTAATGTCCAGAAATAAGGCAATCACGGGTGAAAATGGTTTTGTTGGTCACTTTTATTGAATTGGTGATGACTTGAACCAAGTGCAAAGCAGCACCGTGCCCCTTACAAGACAAGTGTGGGAGAAAAAGATGTCATACAGTGAGTAAGACGGATCCATCTTCGTTGTGTTGTTAAAATCCGGCGTCCTGACCGGCCCAGTTTGGTGTCTGGAAGAAAAAGCGTGAAAGAAAAATAAGATTGAGACCATTTGTAAGATTGCTGAGACTGATCAGAACAGAATTTTGTTGCTGATTGTGGGAAATGTCGAAAAAGCTGTGTACATGTGCAAGCAGTTAAGAGCTGCAGTTTTCCTTGTAGCGGTGTGCGTAAACGTGTGTGTTCTGTTGGTGAGCTCTGGGTGGCTGTGAGAGTTGACAGGGACCCTAAGCAGTCCGCCCAGATGGTGGGCAGTAAATGTTCTCTAAATGTAAGTGATTTGTAGCCTTGAGGACAGCGGGCCGTAATGGTGCTCTGTGAGCTGTTTGCGGCCTCTTTTTGTCTAATTACCAAAACTCCTTAATGAGGGGAGTTTTGCTTTTTTTACAGGACAGGGTTATGGGTTATGGCTGCGCTCCTGCTGCAGATATTCAAACAATAGGGAGGAGGCTAATTGAGCACATCAAAAGACGGCCACTCAAGAGCAGCTCGGTTAAACAGTGAACATTTAACGTGTCTGCTGGAGCTCTGTGGCCTTGGGAGCTGTCAGGTGTCTGATGAAGGAACCGACCCATCAATCTGCTCTGACACACGTGCGTGTCTTCAAGGAGTGTTTGAAGCGGCGGCCAGCGGTTCAGAGGATGTGCGTGATTATGACATTCTGTGGAGCTGCGGTGCTCGGAGGGTCTGCATACCACTAAAATGCACAAGGTCAACATCAAAAACACACTTAAATAGGATGACTGGACCCTCAGCCAGACATCTGCAGCAGGTCCTAAGTGCAGGGAACTCCAGGCTTTGAGTAATGTTCACCCAAAGTCAGAGTGAGGGTCCACCTTATTTACGTTGCTGAGCTGAGTCACAGAGCTCCGGCATCGTTTTATGGTTGTTTGGATTCTACCTTGTCATTAGGCCTTTGAAGAGCAATGGAGGGATGAAAGCGTTAGCTCTGTTAAACTTGCTCTTACTGGCTTATTCCGTGTAAAGAGAGCTTTTGTTGATGGTTGTTCATCAACATTCTTTCGCCTTGTTGCTCTGAGCTGATCATTTGAGAAGCTTTGAACTGCCCTGTGTTCATGTTGACCTTCAAGCAATCCAATTGGGAGAAGGGGGGGAGATTTCCTCGCATGAGCGCTGTGACTGCGTTCTTCCTCATGTACAGTACAGTATGTGTGATTCTCACCTCGTTCTTGTTGCTGTGGGCCTGCTTTTTCTCAATGTTCATGGCCAACATTTGGCTGCGGAATGAGAGGCTCTTGGTTTTCTCAATCACCTGCTGGTAAGGTGATACGGCGTTGTTCCCCATCACCACATGGCCCTTGAAAAATGGACAGAATGGACAGCATATTCTCAATAACAACAAATAAGCCAATCAAATTCGGTCTCACAGACACGCCATCCTGTAGAGACTCCAACCTAGAAGCACCAATCAGCGGCTGCGTGGGTCCTGTTCAGATCTACTGTAGGGATATCTAGATAATTCTATGTCATTCTGGAGGACTGGGCTGTGATTTGCTGATTACAGAGAAGTGTTGTGATGTGAAGGCCAAAAATGCAGGTTCAACATGGAGCCTCAGGAAGGGGTCCTACCAAGGGTGAAATATAATGGTGGCATATCCTTTCAGTGTGCTCTTCAATTACAAAATACGAACATAAATAATGGCTTTTTATCCTTCTGAAGACACGGGAGGAGCATCGAAAAGAGCTACATGACTGTTACCGCAGTTATGGTTAATTAGCAGAGCAATGACCTGGTAGACCGGAGAAAAAACTCGAAAGATCTTACCAGTTTTGAGTCGATCTTTGCATCCAGCCTGGCATTGCGGATTAGGTTGACAATCCATCTCTCGGCCTCCTCAGGGGACATGTTCAGTTTGTCCGCCAGCATGCTGTCAAGGAAACAGAGAAACAAGAGTTCTAACTAAAAATGTAAAGCCTCAGACAGAGTAGGAGGGTCAGTCTCAGCGCTGGGCAGAGTGTCATTAAAACTTCTTTGTTATGAGGGAAGCCCTTACAGTTAAGTAGCCATGACGAGTAAAGATGGCGTCACTGCTTCACAGGGAGATAACACCATTGCAACAAATCTTAAAGTCACCTGACGAGACCTATTCCCAGCAAAGATGCGGTAGAGAAATGCAAAACTATAATCTCAGCAACTAGCATTAGCACCAATAAAACAGTGAGTGCAGAAGGACACTTGAAGATAACCACAGACATGTACATCACTCAATGACTCATCGTTTCTGTAGCAGAAGAAGACCTGCCAATGATTGATTTGGAGCAGCATCCCTAGTTGCTTGCACTTCACAGACATGTCCGGACCTGCCCTGTATGATGTGACCTCTACACACAATCACAGCCTGACTAACAACATCAGTGATAGTGAAGTTTTACCTCAGCTAAATGGACTTCTGAGATCAACCTAGTGACGACGTTAGCTAGATGACCCGATGGCTGGATGCTTCATCAGGATCATGTTTTCATCGGTTATCGGTAGAAAATCCATATTGCGCATCCCTAATGACAATATACAAGGGCCCAACAGACTTGTTGTCGGGGGCAACGTTATAATGCTAGTACAGCAAACTTCGATGGTTTAACACGAAACCAAATACGCTGAACAAGCTGGGATTAGCTTTGACACTGTAGTGCCTGATTCAGTCTAATGCAGCGATGAGTCAAGTCCTGACAGATCACAAATACTGTGTTGATAAAACTGCCAAATTAAACTAAAACAAACTAAACCTGAAAGAGTTGATTCAGTGTGAGCTTTAAGGAAGTAACCCAGTCTTAACAATCTCTGTAGTCTCTTTGTTCAAAGCAACAGAAGCTCTTTACAAAAAGGAAGACTTCTATTCAACTGGACTTGCACCGAACACCGCGCTACGATACACTGTGATGGATGTTGCAAGTCAATTTTTGCATTTGACTAGGGCTGTAAAGTCCTAGTCAACTGGTCGGCTTACTGGCCGATACGTGCCGAGTCAACCACAATTCTCATTGGTAGTTTTTTTTTATCTGCGTCAATTTACAGTCTATAGTTAATTTCATGAGAAGGAATGTACCAAGTACTAATGGGGGTGTTTTCAGAGCACCCCCATTTCACAGGTACCAGCCTGTCTCAGTACACTCCCTTGTTTTCACCACTTTGGATTCGCCCAACCCAAGATTGAAGAAATCCACGTTAATCAACGTCAACGATGGTTTGCTGAATGTTTATTTTTATTTTGCGCGTTTCAACTTGCCTTTTGTGTTTAATTGCCTTTTTGTGCTGATATCAGTATAATTTCATCTCGCTGAGCCGCACTCCTCCAAGTCGTCCCCTGCCGCAGAAAAATCCCCCCCAAATAGTTGATTTTTGGTCGAAAATTTCATAGTTTTAGTCGCACAAGAATTTCTTTGGTTGATTACAGCCTTACATTTGACAGTGTTATTTAACAGCTGACATATTGTTTTTGTTAGGAGGTGAAAAACAAAAATAACACCTCATGTACGCTTTAAGTTGTCCTCCACTGATAAGCGCTTGATTTACAGACTTGTATAAATAAGTCAATTAGAAGTGTTGGGGGGGCAACCCCATGCTGTGACCTCCTGCCCCATGTTTACTGCTACTTCATTTTTTGGGGGGTATCTCTGTTAAAGTTCTTACTCTCTCCCCACCTGGCTGCTAAAGCTCTTCGTGATGAAGTGGCCCAAACAGTGACTGTCCCTTCAAATGAAAGCCAGGTTGCTCTTTGATGCAGCGAGACGTGGATGTGTCACAGTGGAGGGAGGGGACATACAAGGGTGGCTGGTGCTCTTTGATCCGGAGCTTTCCTCAGTGCAGCTGGCTTCCCTTGTGGCTTTCTAAATAACTAGACCCTGCTAGATATCCCCATCTAGACCCCCTTCCCCCTACATTTCCTGCCCCCTTCCTTCTGCCTGACCCCCCCACCACCACCACCACCTCCCTCTCCGCCTACCACATTTCATATAAGGGCCCCAATAAATATCCTCAACCCCTCTGTGGACTGCCCACAATTACTGCAGCAATCCCCCCTCTCATCTCAAAAGCAAGACACCCCCCTCTCCTTCGACCGCCACCACCTGAAGCCCTTACTAACACACACATATGAAATACTGAACGTGCACATTAGTCACTGTATACTGTGTGTATGTTTAAAGGAAATAACAGGGGTTATAGGGCCTATATAAAAACAATTTACTCGACTAATTATTACTTCCTGCTCCATTAATCACATTTTGCGAGACTACCTCAGTGAGTAAGCTCGAATTTGCCGAGACCACACCACTTCTCACGCCACAGCCCCACAGACGCACATCCCCACCGCCGTACTTCTGAAACCGTCAGCCCTTACAGTTACAGACTTTCTCGAGAAATTCTTTTGGTGGGAAGTAATCTTATTTTGGATTAGTGATAATGTCTGGAGAGAAAAAAAATAGACTCCCACTTTCTAACCCATGAATGCCGGTCAAATGGTGGCAAAACCACATAAAGAAGGGGAAGTGGAATGATGATGTCAGTGTCTGGATTGGGCATTAAAAGCATAAACAACAAACACAACATTACTTCAGCATAACCAGCAAAATAGTGTCTGGTCTCCAAGTGACAGTGCATATCTCTCAACACTTTCACCGCACAGCAGTGATTGAGGAGGTGAATAATCGGAGCGAAAAGCACAAATTGGGAGTTGATTCATGTGTATCTCCGCAGCCCGGAGGAAGGGGAGAAAGAGTCGGATCAACCTGTCACTCACACAGACTGACTGGGCAGCAGATTACATTTGAGGTCACCAAACGATGCCTGACAACGGAGCTGCTCCGTCGACGATCATTACCGGGAGACCTAACAAGTTTGGGGAGTGTCAGCTGTGTAATGACGCAAGTTGAAGCTGTGATGGAGAACACATGTCGGCGATCGCACATTGACGCTATTAACATCAAGAATTTCTGGTTTTCAGATCGAATCTTGCTAATGCAAAGCACATTAACGATACATGGGAAGTTATGTCCACCTTCATATCTTGCTGGTCAACAGAGAGCTATGAAAACAACCATCAACATCTGCTGAGAGCACTCCTTGATTACACTAACTGATATTTAAATCGCTCGTTCATATTTACTTAAGAATCAAGTCATCATGTGCAAATTCAGATCAAATTTGTTGTCGGTTTCCATTTTAGCCGTGCGATTAAGTGATTGCTGCACAAGCTCACTGAGTGTTTTGTTTGGCAATTCAGTAAAGTGGGGGCACATGTCAGTCAAGTCCAGGTCAGAGATGATGATCAAAACAAACATGATCTGGTTTCCTCGCTGGGGAGTTACGCTAACCCCTAACCTCTCTATACGTGATCTGTGAAGGAAAACACAGGAACAACCCGTGCCCCAAAAGGCCCAGGGCCTTGGCCTGCACAAACCAAAGTCCTCTAATCTAATTTATAGAGGAAAACCTGGCAGTGCTTTCTTCCAAGACGGACATCTGTACAACAGAGGAGGGTTTACTTTCCTTTATCTCATTGTCTCTGAGAAGTGCACAGCAGCTAACCCAACACAAACCTCTGATTGGAAAAAAGGAAATAGAAGGGGAGGAAAAAGAAAGCCAGGGAGGAGGTTGTGGGGAGGGAGAGGGGGGTGGGGAATGGGTTTGACTTGAACAACCTATACTATTGACATCCTTTGGCCCTACAGCCAAGTCGACAGCCTCCGTGCCTGGTTTTATTTTACACAACCATGATCCTGTTCCTTTGGGGAAAGGGGATCACTTTCATTTCGACCCCTTCTTCACTCTGGCTCCTGAGCTTTCGACTCCGGGCTAAGGGATTCCTTTGGGTCACACTGCCAGCCTCACACATGAAGAGAAGGGTCACGCTTTGGGGTCTCAGTCAGTTAAAGCAGGACTCGGGGACTTCCTTCTCTAGAGTAGACCCCCTTCTTAACTTGACTGGCCTGAAATGAACGCATTGTTAAACACTAACATATGATAGTGTTTGGGACTCCGAGCCATTTGGAGAAACCTTGCTTTCGGCTTTGGGTAAAATTGATTTTCGGGGAAACCGAAATGATCGTGTGGTATTTTTAATGACTCAATTGTGAGGTGGAAAGATCTTCACAGTGTTACATCCAAATACACAAGACACTCTTTCCAACGACCGGGGAGCTGTTGTGTACAAATACTATCTCATGATGAGGGGAAAAAAGACTAACTGTCCAAATGATCATCTGTCTGGAGCGTTTACTCCAAATGTCACAGGACAAGTGTGCGTTTGAGGTCGGAGCAGGGTCCCGCTGCTGAGATGTTCATGGAAGGCCGAAGGAAAGAAAGCCTTTAAATGAAACAGGGAAAACAAAGCTAAATTGGAAACACACACTCGGGACACTGAAAAGTCTAGACAAAAAGACGTGTGTGTATGCAATTACAAGCGCAGGCTGAATCCTATTTTCACTGCCTACAGTAGGTTTTACATAAGACTTTATTGCATAAAATAACTCAATTACGCCAACTTCTGGTCTACTTTTGTGTCCTGAGCTGTGGGCAAGCGGCGAGCAAAAATCTGTGAAACCATCGTGGCCAACAGCTGTAAAAATGTCCTCATTAAAACAGCCATCAAATTCATTTGGGTCCACGCTTGGGTGCGTAGAGCTCCTGGGTGGAGGACTAATGACTTGGAATTTGGGTGTCTCTCAGAAATAGACATGTTATGTCCATCGTCACAACGCCGACGAAAATAAACACGGAAATCCCTCAAACTGCCCCTCATGTGCTGTTTCTGCTTCAGAAACCTCAACAAACCGAGAGCCCGGGACGCAGAGAAAAAGGTGAAAAGTAGAAAAATCACCATTTGACTTCCTCTTTCAGTGTGACCACTAACCTTTGTGGTCTTTAACAACTAAATGGATCCAATTGCAGTCAGTCTGCCAAAAAGAACCAGGACTCCTAATCAATTCCAGACAATCTGCAACTGGAGATTTCGACAGGGCCTGATCATGTTCCCCGGTTCAACCTTGACTACAGACCTCCATGGCTCTATATAACCGTCAATGCAATCATTTTCGTGTCAACAAAAGTAATTCATTCCCTCTTTCCAGAGAGTGTCGTGTGTTTGTGGACCGTATCTGAAATGCAGACCTTCCTTTGAATGTTCAGGATCCAAATGGCCAAATGGTACCTTGGTTATGGTTTTACAAAAGCAGAAGGACATTTGTGTTGTAGATTAGAAATGAATGCTTTTCCTCACTTCAGTGATAAGATACAGCAACAAGCACAAATCCACCGCTACCAAAATGAGGATTAATGGCTAATAGTGAGGAAGGCTGTCTTTATCTTTGTCACTCTCTAAAACTGATGCAAACAGGCAGCCAAATCCTATAATCCCTTTTAATTGCAGATGATTACTATAATCTTTTTCTTCTCTCTACTATAATTAGCTTTGACTAAACTTCTTGGTTTGACAAAAGCAGCCAAAGTCCATTTTATTTTAATATAACTCAACTGGAGTTTGATCAGGACTCAGTGACGACTTAAAAAACAACCCTCGACCTCCTTTCACCCTCAGTCAGAGACCTCAGAGGTTTCGTGGTACAGCAGGCTGGGAGCGTCACAGCTTGTCTAAACCCTGACCTCTCCCTTGGAGAAAAGAGTCAACGAATTGGCCTTGGACAGGTGGTCTTAAAAGTTGAGTGGGTAGAGTAACCTGTGGAGACCTGGAAGCAGTTAAACCTCCCAATACCTAATCCTGGAGCTGTGTGGGGTCAGCATGGCTGTGTGTGGAGGGGGCAATAAACACTTATCTGTGAGGAAAATTCCACTTATCATGAAGCCCATGGTCTTACTTCCTGTTGACAGACTGCTTACAAAGCCTTCTGACAGTGAAACTGACTTCCTGTGGTTCTGAGGGATGTCTGTCTTCGAGTCTGTTTGCAACTCTGCCAGGATTTAAAACTAACCCAGTCACCATCATGCACATGTAGTACCATGTCTGTTTGTATTAATGACTTACTTGATGCTGATGCATTGGTGGATCCTGCAGAAGGTCTCAAAGATAAAGAGACGTGCATTCTCAATGAAGTCCTCGAGGCAAGCCACCAGGAAGAAGTCATTCACAAGAACCTAAGAGATAAAATAAGCATGTTTAGTAAGAACAGAGCCACGTTACAAACCTAATATCCTAATACCATGAGAGACTTAGACTATGCAGTGTTATTAAACTAAAGAATTTAACACTGTATTTAATGGGAAATGGTGCAAATACAACAAAGGAAATGTTGAAACTGGACTTTTTTGGTTATTTTAGAAAAAACAAATAATGCTAATTTTGAATTTGATTCTAGCAGCAAGTTTAAAAAAAGTTATATAGGATAGGAGCTGCTTGTCATTGTGTTGAGTCAGCACTTCTTTTACCAGTACTGTAATCTTGAAACCCAGGAGATCAGTTTCTGGAGTTGTGAAAGCAAACTGCTGTCCCAGTCTTGCACAATTGTGGTTTTCACCTGCTCAGCAGTCGGGGGTCTCCTCAGTCAAATTTTAGATTTTATGATGCACTAAATGTTTGCATCAAGTTTTTTTTAGCATGCTAACTATTCTACTACAGGGGTTGTAATGCATGCAGACTGTGTTTTTAGCATTATCCTGCTTATATACAATATGTGTATGCAACATGCAAATGGGCGTTCTCTGCATGGCAGCCTATACTGCCCCACAAGCTAAATAAACTGTGTAGTGGTAATAAAATCATGATAACTGAGTTTGTAAAGCACTTTTAAAAACAGTCGTTTACAAAGGTCTTTGACAGAAAGAAAAAAGAAACACAAGAGCTTCAGCACAAAAATAAAAAAAAGACGCACAAATCAAGGCCTCAGAAATTTAAGACCATTTTTATATCTCATAAGAAACCCAGACAATATAAGAACCACGAAACATAAGCTGAGACCATGAGGACCAAAATAAAAGCTAGAGACAAAGAATCAGTAGAAAAAGAAAATGGGATTAAAAAAGGGGGTTGAAAGCAGAAAATAGGGTAGCAAATATAAAAAGAATATTTATAATGATAATAACATGAAAATAAAACAGTAATGAGAAGATAGAATATCACAAAGGAGCAAGAGAAGAAACAATAAAGCCCGGAAAGGTTATTAAATAAAAGATCAAACAAAGTAACAAAGCTAAATAGACAGTAAAGCCGAAACAAAAGAGATAAAAGAGAAAAAGAAAACCATCAGAATCTGTTTTATTAACATTTTACACAGACAGTTGAGCACTATAGCTCAGAGTTAACATAGGAAGAAAAGTCAATCTGCACAGAATTAAGAGAAAAACTGGATTAGACTTTAGGATGACAAAGCAATAGTGTTCAGTGAAGATTGACGAGAGAAGTATAACGAGTTTTCAAACTGTCTATAAATAATGGACTGAATGAAGTCACATTCCTGTTTTCGATGATAACGATGGAGTATGAGAGATCATACTGGTTACTTTTCTGTTAACAAAGATTTACTTTGGCAAAAGTTTAAAGATGAGCGTTTGCTCCACGAGGCTCAAGTAATTCAAGCCTCTGCAAGGTGCTTCAAATCAACCTGAAATCCAAGAATCCTGTAAACACCACATGAGACAGTGCAGCAAGAACAGATCTAGCCGCAGGGATGACCACAGTGTCTGTGACTTATCACCAGTCATCTGCTCTGGTGGTTCAATGCAAGCCCCGCTGTGCAGGGTCGCCAAATTTCACAGCTACAGTCATCCAACATTTGTAGCATCGCCAGTCCAAATAAACTCACAGATGACAGAAAGTCTTTCCAACCGTCCATGCACAGTATCACCTGTAACTTGTTACCGTTAGAAATACAGGCGTGCTTGGACTCTTTGACGCAACCGCATATGGCCAATTCATCTACTGTATATGTTCATGACCCAGCTATGGCCCCAGAGGTACCACTGTGTGAAATGCTCCCATTTCTCAGTGCTAGCTGCATTCCAACTCTCTATTGAGTGCTATTTCACATCATAGGCCTCCATCTTCAAAAGTTTTCTTCAAATGACTCGCTCTAAAGCCGCTTTCTGCCCAGAGTTCTGCTCCAGTAAGTCCCAACTGCATGGCACTATCAGGCAACGCACATTTCTAGTACGACAAACGCTTATCTAAGGCTGATAAACTTTGAACAGTTAAGTGCTCTAATTACGGTCATCTGGGATTCAGACCACAAAGCTCAAACAAACTCGGAAAGGGGCTTGAAGAGCCCTTTTATGCACAATCTTCAGGCCTCACTATAGGTAGGGCCTATACTTTTCATTCTTTGACATGGAGACATCTAACATCTGACAGTGATTCCAGATTTGGTTGGAGTGGGAAAGATACAAAAAAAAACTTCAACATGACAATTTGAGCCAAGCTAAACCCCCCGTTTAAAAGCACTTGGCTCCAACTATTGCTCAGGGTATCGTGATCTGAAGACAGAAGAGCCGAAAACAATACCCATATCTCGCTATTACAGCAATCAGTAGATAGATGGGTGCCACTTGTCTCAGTGGCTCAGAACTGATGCGATGCAAATGCTCATCAGGACGAGAGCCCATCCCAGTGGGGTATCCATTTACCTCAATCTCGCCACAGTCTGTGAATCATCCCCTTTCCTCAGAAATAAGGTTTGCGTGTGAATTTGTGCAAAAGAAATACTTCAAACAAGAGCACTTTGTAAAAATGTTTGCAGACCATCACAGGTAATGCATTAAAGGTGCAGTTAGACATTTGTGGAACCACCCACCTCGATGGAACAGCTTGTGAACTGCAGCAGGTCAATAGAGGGCTTTTGTGCCGACTGGACATGCTCTGATAAGACTGACAGGTAGTCCAGTGCTAAAAGCACCTGGAATAGCTTGGGCTCTGACCTGAGAGGTAGGTGGGATTGAGCATCTGTTTCAACCACAGTAGAGCCTCTGTAAACAAAACCCCATGAGGCAAGGTCAAGACCAACCCAGAGAGCTCCTAAAGAAGTGCTGGCAAGTGTTTAACAAGGTCAGTGATTGAGGGCGTGTGTCACGTCTTAGCTGTAATAGGATACAGCTATAATATTGTTGATAGTATATGTCATCATTTGTAGACAGTCCCTGGAGGCCTTCGCACAGGAAAAATCTCATTTTCTCTTGGAACGTGCTTTGGGTTTTTTTTTTCTACCATGCACAGGTTCTTGAAGGTTAAAACTAAGTGAAAACAAACTTGCCCAAGTCAGTTTGGTTTAAGTAGCTGTACACGACTTTTTATGAGCTCGACAATAGATTGAAACAAAACATACCCGTCAGAAAGCTGCCGACATGATTTATAACCGTTTTCTCCTGGGAGGGAGCCATTTGATCGGACCAGATGTTTCTTATTTGAAAGGTTTATTGTTGAGAGGCAAAAGTTGAAAAAGCAGCTGAATGACCTGAAATTCTCCTTTGATTCCTCTTCAGGTTCAAAATCAAAGAGCAATGTTATGAAGCCGACATAAACGTGCTAAAAAAAATGCAGTTCCTCGCGTGTCCACTTGAGGCTGGCAGCAAAAGCATTGGAAGTCACATACACGCCCATTAAGAAAAAAAAAAAAACATACAAAACTTATTACAAAAATAAACATGTTTACAGTCTGGATCAGAGAAATACATACAGACTAGATCTTGCTGCTTTGTATTACTACTATATAATACTAAGCATTGCTGCTAACAGTTGAAGATGACTGACTTGAGTTTCATAAAGAGATGTTTGTGTAAAGAATTTTCGGGATTTAAGACAATCCTACGACCAATTCATGATATAAATTAGGATCAATCATCAAAATGATAGTTTTTTTGTGCGAATGGCATAAATGCGTCGTTTTTGTCGTTATTGTGTTGTACCTGTACATGGCATCGCAGTGTTTGCAGCAAACCTCATCATTTTTCCACTCGAAATGGTCCCACACCAAACTTCTTCTTGCTTTCTTCGTGTTTTTTATTCAGCTGCTACAGAAGCCTGCTGATGCTGTATCATGGCAAAGGTCCTCTTTTCACATAGACCTTTGCCATTTACTGTTCCGTAAACAGTGTTTACCGCTCCCTATCCACTCTCACAGCAGCAACAACAGTTACATTTAGCCGTTACAAACCAAAATTGAAAGAAATGCTCTAATGACAAATCTTTCCTCTTAAAATGAATGTCTGCACGCCTCTGTGGAGACTTTGGCTTATGAAGCTTTTCGCTCTTCTGATGAGTCAATTACAGGCTACAGTTAAATCTGTCAGGGCAATCTAACATTGTCCAAGATGATCTGTGTATTTTACTGCATGATACTGGGAACAGACTATCAATGTTCTGTCTAGAGTTCACACTGTGTTTGTGTCTAGTGGACTGCATGTGTTGACAAGTGGCTTGGCTGAGGACCACACAATTACCAACTGTCTTTATCAATTATACAGGTGTAGCTCTACAAACCATAATACTGTGAAAATGTTCAATATTTTCAATCAGGTATTCAAGAAGGTGTTAACTTAATAAGTTCTAGACTCAGTTACATTATTATGGCCAGCAGATATACATATAAAGTTTGAATGAATGACTATTCAGTATAAAACAGTATAAAAAAAAAAAAAAAAGAAAGTCTTTTGGTCGAGATCAGTGTAAGCAGCTACAATAAGAGACCTTTGACTTGACAGTCATCAAGACGACAATTATCAACATCACTCATAAGGAGAGCAAACCTCACGGTCACAACTAAAAAGGCTGGCTTTTCGGAGAGGGCTATATCACAGCATATAGCTGGACAGGTGACAAGGATGGGGGAGTGGAGGAAGAAAAGAACGCTTTTCTTCCTCCACTCAGTGGGCTAAGGCTGATTTCAGTGCCACCAGACAAAAAGGCGGACATCATTCCTACTCCTTGCTACTTTGTTCATACCTTAGTACACACTGTTGTTGTGATTATGTGGGCTCTGCATGCTGGATCTGGCTAGATAGAGGTGCCGGAGTAGAGTCTGGAATGGACTGCTTGTAACGGAGTGCTGATATCGGAGATTTTAGATGCAGGCCAGTATTATCTGATATTCATTTTTTTGCTGATATCGGACCTATATCCGATATCAATATCATATTGGGACACCCCTACACCTGTACACATGAAAGTTCTCAAGTCTGACTTGAAAATCTTAAGAACACACTTGTGTTGTCAATGAGATGAAAAATAAGCGGACACCAGTTGAAGCTGGACAGTGGCTACTCACCGACTCACACTCCCTGAGCTTCTTTTGCGCACTGTCGAAGTCGAAGTTCACGTACAGGCACTCCACAAACTCGGTGATTGGATCCTTGTAGGTGTAAGATTCCTGAAAAACAACATACTGAAATTCAATGTCGTGCAAAAATACATCTTTCTGTTTGCATATCAAAGGTGCTAAAGCCTTAACTGAAATGAAGACAATATTTAGTAGATAATGTCCCTGCAGTACAGTAGACGTCACAAAAGTGCACCATAATAAAACTTTGTAGAAAGTCTTACTGATGGTATTTGTTTAAGTTCTTAGTCCATTTAGTTGTTTAAAACACAATATGACACCAGAGCAATATCTATTTAACTCTGTACACTTTCTAAACTCATAGGAGAACAAAATCTTAGTACCTGCTGTATGACCTTCACCAAATCCTTCAGCACCTGCCGACGCTTGCGAACATCCTTGTTTGTGATGACCGCGGTGGTGAGGTAACGCAAGATGTGTGGGCACATAGTCTGGATAGCATTGAGGTATCTGGAATGAGGGAGGATAAAGGTGATCAAACCACAGGCAATCTTCACAAGGACACGTAATGTAACATTTTGGCGGCACGTTAGGCAGCTGACATTTAGGACAGAGAAAGGGCCTTTGCAACTAAAACAGATAAATGTCCTAACAGGACCCTCACTCCTGGACATGGGTCCCAGTTTTAAGCCGACTCTTTCATTAGTGTCCTGTGAGAGGGAGGAGGAAAAGGAAACCCTGGCAAGAAGATATAGATCAGTGAGCAGGGACCTGCCCAGTAGCTGAAACTTAATCCAGCAGGGACTGATGTTTCAACTACAGGTCAACTGGCTAAGGTCTGAACACAAGAGACAGGCTGATCTAATCCTACACCAACTCTGGAGACAGTGTTCTGTATTAAAAAATACATACATAGACAGTGGGCGCGCACAGTCAACCAACAACTTGTCCTTTCATGATGGTAATCAATTAACCTGTCACCCAAACTTTGTACTGGTTTCCAAGTCACTTTGAACTTTGCCCTCTGCTCAACTCGGAGCTGACCAAATTAAAACTGAAAAGAGGAAGTTGAGTGGGCCCCTAAAGGTCTCTAGTACTTAAGAAAAGAGGAACATATGGAGCTCAGAGAGTGCAGACTTGAGTTTAATTAGCTGAAACAATTAAAGGGACAGGGGACCTGTGGTAGTAGTGATGTTGAGTCTAAAAACAGCAGTGGGCTGCTTGGCAAAGCCATCGTCAGCCTGGTTTTAGGAGAGCTCTCTCCCTCCTTCTCTTTGTAGTTGTTCAACTCCCGTGGAAGACCACAACGCTCCGTGCTGTGTTCCTGATTAACTTACACCTACTCACTCTCCAGGGGGGGCTCCAATGGCAAGCAATCTTGCATGAGTCACTGTACCATATCTGGGAAGAGGGGTGGGGGGTTGCATTCACCCTGGCCCACTTAGGGGAATTTATCTTTTTTGCTCTTTTTTTGAGTTTTGAAACAAAAAGCATCACTGCGCTGGTTTGCTGAAGATGCTACTGAGGCATGCAGCCAAGATATCAGGTATGAGTTCATGTTTCCCTGCTCCATAAAGGGCTGTGTGAGAACATTAGGAGGAACAGGGTATCATAGTCTCATCTCACAGCTCACAAAAATAAACATATTTTTCTTTACAATCAAATGAGTCACTCTAAGTGCTTCCAAGAGCTCCAATTTTACAGCAGAATATATACGCCCCCTATGGGCACAGTGTGTAGCACTGGAGCCAGAAGTGTGAAACAGCAATGTGTGTATGTAATTGTGTCTGTGGAGCACCAGCTGTGTGTTTACAAGCGGTACTTTGCATGCTTCTGAAACAACACAACATCATTCAATGTGGAAGGAAACCAATATTACAATGATTCAGAATGCAGTGAAGTTCAGAGGTGGAGTGATCACAGAATTTCATTTCAGCGATGTTGCAGAAACGCAATATGACAGAGATTACTGACCTCCAACTGACTTGGTATAGTATTTCCTCAGCAGTGTTGATTTTACCATCTAATTACTTTCATTGTTTTTTTTTTTTGATGACATTTGCTGTTGACTTGCTGCTACTGCTGTGTCAGAGCCCTAATTGATCCTAGTTTGGGACATATATTAAATAAAAAACGGCATTCATAAGGACATTTGTATTTGACTGATCTACGACAGGTCAAGCAGGAGTTCCACAAAACCAAGTTGCAGCTCCACTTCGAAGTGATGGTTTAGGGCGGCATCTCTGACAAAAGGCCTGTCATCATTGGAGGCAACAGTGACAATCCCATATCTCCACAGTCTGGGACCAAACTCTGTCCTCTAAGAGGAGAATGTGCGCCCGCCTCAAAGCGAGGTCTATCAGGGACTACCCCCAGACTTTGGGAGTGGAGAAGATGGAATGGCCTGCCAACAGTCCCGAACCCCACTGAACACTTGTGGCATCAGCTTGGGCGTGCTGCTCCTACCAGAGTGACCAACGCAACCACAATGGCGGACTTTTGACAGATGCTGGGTGAAGAATGCGATACTGTCCCACAGCAGTGTGTGACCAGCGTGAGGAGGAGGAGATGCCAGGCTGTTGTGGTTGTATATGGTACTTCTACACACTACTGAGGCGCCTGTTTGTTAAATGAATCAATTGTTAAATTACCATTATGCCTCTATGTATGACTCAACATCAGGATGCAGTTAGGAGCACAGTGAGTTGAATGTCTGTGTAGAGTCTGTAAGTCCAGGCATGTTTAGAGACTGTTATTTAAGGGCAATTCCGGCCTTTATGTTATGAACATGTGTGTTTATTGCACTTTCATTTGTAGTCTTGTAAAATAAATATAGTCACAGGGGGCTAGGAAAAACTTGGAGGGAATACTTACCTCTTTATCATTAATTTTATGTGTGTGTGTGTGTGTGTGTGTGTGTGTGTGTGTGTGTGTGTGTGTGTGTGTGTGTGTGTGTTGCAGAGGACAACACAGCGGCATTGCATTGTGGGAGAGTCTAGCAGGCTAAATTATGCAACTAAGGTAAGGGCCCGCATATTAAACAAGTGAAATTGTTAATAGAGTGGGATCAAATATTTGAAGATATTGTTGTTCAAACATTTATTAAATACTTTAGTAAATACTGCGATGAAGTAAGTTTTAGATTGGATATCCAACGGACAAACTCTGCGAATCTACTGTTGTCTTTTCACTCTATAACTGGGAATAGCAACAGTATGTGGTAAAATCTATTCGGCACCCTCGCTGTCAACGTCGGGTGTTGAATAAGGGACCATCAATAAATTACCGGTTGATGTTCTCAAAAAGGCTGTTTTTCTTCAATACCTTCCATGTCATGTGGCCAAAAGACCTAAAACTGATTTCAAATAATAGTACTGATGTCGACCAATAAGACACACATTATTTTATCCATTTTCATTGTGCCCCTAAAGTTCTGTGTGTGCTCCTTCCTTTTTCAACTTGGGAGCACATGTGCTCCTTGTGAAAAAAGTTAGTGTCAAGCCCTGACTTGGTATAAACGTGGTTCCAAATTTTGATTGGCTTATTGGATTTTACCAAGGAAAGGAGGTGTTTAGACTCAAATCTAATGACTTTTGATTAGCTTAAACCAGACTAAAAGGTTTTGAGTTTCTGTCAACTTGGACTAAAACTCTACAGAACAAGACAGACTCAAATGTGACTACATCTGATAGACATTTTCTGAAAATAAAAGCTAAAACAGATGCCAAGATTAATCCTGTACCCGAGCAGTTTTTATGTCTCACTTTGCACCTGTATCTTACTTCATTACAGAGCAATGTTTCCCCTCAAGTCAGCGCAGTCTGTCAATAATACACAAACAAGTCTTTGGATCAACATCTGCTGACTGCAGAGGTAAGGGAGGTCAAATGTGGAGCTGAAGGCCAGCCACTGGTCACTGACTTCAGCCAAAGGAAGTACTGGTCAAGAGATGGGAAAGGGGAGCCAAGCCTCAGCGGGGAAAACATGAGGTTTCGAGGCTGTGAAACTGCAAAGCACACAAAACTACCTAAGTTTGTCCACACAGATGGTTGGGTGAGCTTTTCATGAGTAATTATTGGGCTGGCCTCCTTAATCATCCACAATAAAATTAAAAACTGAGTAAAATTCTGGGAGCCAGACATTTGAGTGTGCTGTGTTGTGGTCGCCTGTCATACAGTCAGTGAAGCCCAATCATCTGTATGAGTCTAATAGCCTGCAATCACAGCAGAGGGATGGAGGGGGGGGCATCAGAGGAGGGGCTGTGCAAATTTTAACGCAGAGTATAAAGTTTCTGATGTGCGATACACATGGCCTCACTCTTCGCTTGGAGAGTAAACAGACCACACGAAAAACACACTTCTGAAACCACTTTAAAAAATACCAGCAGAGTTCACCAAGAAGCCCACCACCCAAAAACGTGTTATTACAGCAAATGATTTTCTCCAAATCAAGTTCGTGTTAGACAATGACTGACTTTTTACCACGTTCTCTTCACAAATATTTACCTTAGAGATACATTACAACTTTCAACACCGAGTGATCCCAATTTGTTAACATGGAACAGTGTACGCTGGGAAAACACATTATCAAAAGAACAAAAAAAAAAAAAAAACTTAAGTTGCTTCAAAGACTGAAAGTTTAACATAGCAGCTCGGGTTGAATACAACTAAAGATAAAAACCACAACATTTCCATTTCCAGCATTTTCAGGTCAGCAAATTTCAGGAGCTAGAAGAGTTGATGTTAGGGGAAAACTTTGGGACAAATAAAGGACAAACTTTGCTAAGAGACGCTCCAATTTAAGTGGCTCACTGCTTCTGCTTGGCCAACAAAGTAGTCAAAGAAGAACACCACGCTATTTCTTTCACCAAACATCGCCAAACATTTTGATTGTGTGTCTGCTTCGAGCTGACTTGTTTGTGTCTGCTCGGATTTGAAAGTTTGGTTCAGCCAAATCTCCTGGCCTCGTTTTTACCGTGACAAAACGGAGAGTCTCTGTGGTCCATTACAAAGCTGCAGTTGATACTCATTTTGGGCAACGTTTGGTTTTTCAGTTTCAAGGTTTTTTTTTTTTTAAACATGAGGTCAACCTGTCTCATTCAAAACACAAATTTAGCCAAAAGATAACAAACAGGAAATGTCACGACATTTTCACAGAAACAGACATTATGTTCATATTTTGAGAAACTAGATCCTCTCTCCACAAATACTGAAAGTTTCAGCAAAGTTTGAATTTTCTGAGTGGAAAAGCAGGGATTATAATAGGAAACTTGTAAACAATAGCATGTTACGAACTTAAATAAACTTACTGTGGCTGATACAAAAAGAGCTCAATGATGTTGTCTCTGCCCTTGGGGTGGTTGAAGAAGACAAAGAGAGACCAGTGAATGAGCCACGTCCTCTGCTGGAGGGACTGGAGAGGAGAGGTGACTGACTGGACAGGACAAAGACAGGAACCATGGACATGAGGGAGAGAGAGAGGAAATATAAACATAAGTTTTTTCAAATTACGAGTATATTTTGACACATCACATACAAGCTGTCTCTATCTCTCTTCATATTATCACATGAAATGAAAAATTAAAATGTCCCTCCTTCTTTACGGGACCATCAATCAAGTCCAGATAACCATTTCATACACTAATCCACGTTCTTAAGTAGTCAGATGAGCACTTGTGGGTAAGAAAAAAGGCCACAGCAGAGCTCTACTGAGAGTGAAATGTCAATATGAGAGTCTATGTAAGGGAATCTAAAAGCCGGATCAAATTCTGAGAAGTGGGGCATTTACGTTGTTATCGATAGTCTCTCTCAGGCGGGTGAGGTCCTCCATGGCTGCCTCCCAGTTCTGCATCAGGATCTCAGAGGCCAGCTTGCCCCACAAAGAGTTCAGGGCATTCCTGTCTGCCGCTGGGACCTTGGTGAAAAAAAAAAAAGAGAGAGTGCACTGTTAAAACCTCAGAAAACAACGGCGCAACTCACCAAACTATAATTACTCCAGAGATCAAATAGTGATCAAAAGTCTGGTGGGCACTTTATTCAGAGACCTCTGCTTACAAATAAAGTAAGACAAGACTCGCCACGACTGACTCCAGTGGCACTGCTCCCCACTCAAGACAATATTATGTCAACTGGATAAATGGATCTAATTATGTCATCTCAAGAGAATGGAGCTGAGCAGAGAGAGAGAGATGAATCATGAAAGACTGTTGAACTTTTCATTACATCAAATTTGCTGCACTTTCAAGGACAACCGCAGTATATGAGCCCATGATACAGTTCAACTCCCAGGATTACCACATTTAGTAAAAGCAACTCCAAAAACTAAACCTAAAAATCACTGCTCTCCTCAAAGGGTACTGTATGATTGTGACAGCGAGTAAAAGGCAATTAAACACTCAAATGCATCTTAGAGACAAAGTATTTGTTTTATTTGCTGTTATGAGTAATTAAGAAATCAATTATTAGGGCTATAAAGAGTTGTACAATAAGCAAAAGACAAACAGAAATATCAAAATCTGTGTGCAGACGTTTCCTCTTACGTTTTACTCATACATAGGAGCAACGATTACGGCAAAAGTGACCTTGACGTCTTCGTATCACAGCAGTCGTGAATTGTGAATAAACTCGGGCTGTAAAGTCCTGGTCGACCAGTCGACTTATTGGTCAATATGTGCTGAGTCGACCAAAATTCTCGTATTTAGATTTGATTTTTATCTGTGTCAATTTACAGTCTATGGTTAATTTTACCAGAAGGATCGTACCAAGTGCTAATGGGGGTGTTTTCGGAGCACCCCCGTTACACAGGTACCAGCCTGTCTCAAAACGCCCCCCTTGTTTTCACCACTTTGGATTCACCCAACCCACTGGAGAGCGGCTGGAAACAGGAAGATTGAGAAGCGTCCACATTAATCAACGTCTGTTGTTTTGCTGAATATTATTTTTATTTTGAGCGTTTCATCTTTCATGTGAGTCCTCCTCTACCATCCATGTCAAAGACATTGGTAGTGTGGCAGAATTCAAAATAGTTTTCCCTGAATTGCCTTTTGTGTTTAATTGCCTTCTTGTGCTGATATCAGTATATTTTCACCCCACCAAGCCGTGCTTTGCCGAGCCTCGCTTCGCCGAGTCGCATCGTCCCCTGTCACAGAGGGGTTTGCTGTCAGAGTTGGGGAAAAAAAAAAAGGAAACTGCATCATCCCTGCCCCACGGACTGTTCCTCTCCTCAACCCCACAATAGCAGGTAAAGGTAGCGCACCAGCTTATTGTTGCAGTTTAAGCGCAAATCTCAGGCACATTTGTTACAACGGTCCCTCCATGACCCTTTGCTACATGTCACGCCCCTCTCTCTACTTCCTGCATTCACCATCTCACCTCAGCTGTCCTATCCAATAAAAGCAAAATATCCAAGAGAAAAAAAAGACTGACAAAGGTAGGACAGAAGGTAGGGAGACTGAAATAATAAGAGTAAGAGAATCTATTACAGATTTTATTTCAGTATTAGGTTCCTCACCAAACCTAAAGAAGGTCATTCAGAGGTGTTTGTTACATACAAAGCCATTGCCACCTGCAAGCTTACATAAAATGCGAGTATCACGTTTCCAGTTTGCTCTCTGCCGCACTTATTTAGCAAACATCCCTCAGCTGCAGTCAGGAGAACGTTAATTACAATAATCTCCCACGATTATCCTCCAAAACTCTGGACAAGTCTGCCGTTATCACAGGGTAATTAGGCTGAAATATGAACTAACCCGAACAGGACACATCTTTGGCAGCATAATCACTCTCTAAATTGTTGCAGGCTACTGTTTCTGATTTCCAGAAGGGACTAAAACAAACAAAAACCAAACCAGGTAATGAAACACAGGTTGAGAATGCCTCTGAACCTCAGCAGGGCAATCACTCTGAAGTGGACACTGGACTACACCCTAAGGCTCATGGGAAACTCTGCGCCGCAGTAGTTCACGATAACACCAAACACCAGACACAGTGACATGAGTCAAGCAGGAAGTCGGGGTGGGTGTCTGCAGAGTGGCCGGAGAAACCTAGATCCTAACCACACGCCCCCGTTCACCGTCGGACAGCCGCTGAAGTGGACTGTGAGACACGACAGACGTGCAAGGAGAGGAAACACTAAAAAAAGGACAGGTTTCCGCTGGAACTCCACAAATGGGCTGGATTATTCACAAATAAAGTTTTCTGTCTAAAGGCAAAGACCAGTTCAGCCCTGATAACATTTTGAGAATCTTCCCAAAATGAGACGACAGTGAGAGTCGTGGAAAAATATCTGGAAATCTCCCCGAAAAAGAACAGAGAAATACGACAATATGATGAGGCATTTTTCATCAAGGAGAGCAACTCAGGTCTATCATGAATGACTTTTTTAACAGCTGAGAAGTCCCAAGACAGATCAGTCTCATAACATTGAGAGAGAGAGAAAAAAAATCCGCTCCCCTGCCAGTATAAAGGTCAGCATTTCATCTGCTGGAGTGTTTTGTTTTGTTTGTTATTTTTTTCCCTCTCTTGGAAGTCCCTGCCTGCTACGTTTGGCTGACCTCCAGGTCATTATGGCAGCTTTACACACATACACACACACACTCACACACACAAACATACACACAGTCTGGCTTTCACTAGTGGCCACGCTAGAAAAGTTTCAATACCTGGGTTTTTCCAGCAGTTACCTTGAGTTTCCATTGGTTTTGTGACATGGGCACATTTTCGCTGACTGACCAGCAACAATAAATTGACTGTGCTGGGGATCCGTCGGGATACTCAATCTTTATTCTTAACATTCAATCCCTGCATTAGGTGATGATATGAATAAGTTGCTCTTTTCGGACAAGGCCACGCTGTAACAAGACCTGAGGCGCGGATTTTGCAAGGCTGGCTTCCTTCGTTTAATTGACTGGGTTTCCCACGTTAAATGACTTTATGGAGCCTCACCTCTCCAGTACAGGGGGAGGGAGACACAGAAGAGGGGCCTGTGAGGATGGGAGGTCCACAAAACACTGAAAAGAATTGAAGGAGGAAGCCGTACACAGACTCGACGGACTAATGAAATCCATTTCTACCTTTTCCCCTTCCTAAAAGCCTCTTGCATTGTCAAAGTAAGCAGCAGATATCTGGTTACAGTCTGATGTAGCTGGAACTTAAAATAAGAGCTCTTACAATTTGAGGGGTATAGAGAAAAAAAAAAAGTCAGTCCTGGGCTTCCAACAACAAACCTCAATTAGAGCAATTTTGGTTTATTTAGAGTGAGCTGCAAAGCCATAAACAACTGTTGTAGCAGCAGTGGGATCTATCCATCGGACCCTTTTGAAGACTGTCTGAACGTGGATTTTATGTGTGTGTGGAGAGAGGGTGGGGGGGGGGGAAGCCTGGGCGAATTACCCCTCATCTTGTCTGGGATGCAGCTCTTCCTTCCACAGATTTGAGCAGATCAGTAAAAAAGCCATCAGATGAAGTACCCACACTGCTTTGGGTTAAGAGGGTTGTTTGCAGCACAGAGAGTTCATCACCGCTCAGAGTCCCTGCCAAGATTCTGCAGGAAGGGACACTCCGGCATCGTGAGTGTGCATGACGAGTCGAAGTCACTGACATCCCAAAGACAAGAGGCGACGCAGTGCAGTATCAAATGCCAATTAGGCTGGGAACAAAAAGATGCTCTTAATGTTTTTCACTCTAATGAACAGACAAAAAACTGGATTTTAGTCGTTCTCATTCTCTCAAGGCTGGCTTTGGCACCGGTCCTCGCTTTACCGCAGAGCTAAATGCTGAACCACGGACGCACAAAAGGACTAAACACACTAAAAGAACAAGCGAGTGACACTTGGAAACCGCAGACTATGTCGCCCGGTTCCACGGTCATTACGGGACAGTCAGTCGAGTCGAACTTACTACTTTTGGATGCAAGATAAGGCCAAAGAAGTCAAGTACAGATCAGTGTTGTTCTTCATGTAAAAAGTAGAAACAATCTTCAACTCTCCCTCACATGCACGCTTGTAACTTCCTCAAAGTTCGCCCCTGAAATCTCTAAAGTTTCTTGTTCACACATGTCCTTCACAGCTTGAGGTCCCTGTTCCTGGCTGTTCTCGTCTTGGAAATGATCCTCCTTCAACCTCAAATGTCGCCCTTCATTCTGATACACATTGCTCTTCGCGGCTCCCACAGATTGTGTGATATAATCGTCCTCGCCACCGCCCACTTGCAAATATTTCCTGCTGCATTCTCACATTGTGGTGACAGGCAAGAAATTTTTGGGGTAAACTTGGAATAAACTTTCGGCTGTTTCTGCGCATTAAAGCAGCCCATCTGGAACATGTGGATACAGCTTAAGTCAACACAGAGTAGCTATAAGCATAAAAATGTACTTTTTAATGTTTCAATCTATTCATTGCTATTCTTTGTTTATAAGGTAGCGCTCACTAACTGTCCATTTAAAGAGTAAAAGGCTGATACTTCCTGAATGAATTTCACTTTCAAGTTAAGATTTAAAGCCACGTCACTCACACGCTCAAATAATAATGACCAAAAGAGATAGAAAATAGTTTAACTAACTAAAAAGAACATAAAGAAACCATCAAATAGTCAACCCTGAAATCAAACTTCTACTGAACCACAGTGAAAGGTGCCTGCTGAGGCTGAATCTGCTGGAGTAGCTCAAACTCCTCTCCACTGACTAAGATCGTTGTTTTATTCTGCATGATTCATGTCTGACCAAAATGAGCATTTTCAACCAGATCTTGACCAAAGTACAAATTATGCAAACTTGACTTGGTTTAAAACGATAAACAAGTGAGAGTTAGTAAGTGTTTGAGAGTAAATGTGTCATTTTTTCTGATTTGCCTTTACCATCTTTGCAGTGCATCTCATGTGTGTAATCTGACACATAGCTGTAGGCTCAAATGCTTTTAGCGTGAAGACTGCTTCACAAAACTGAGTACTTACATGAAAGATGTAATAATGAAGCTGTGTCATATAGAGCTGAGCGATATGGGCTCAAATCAATATCACAATGTATTAAGCAGTTCACTTCGATAACAATAAATGGACGACAACAAAATGTGCTGATACAACAACCTCTGTGGATTTACAGATAGGCAACTTCTAATCCTTCATAATCATTTCTTGAGATGAAAACTAGCTTCCTCTTTACAAATATATGCCTTACTTAAAGGAATGTCTTCCTGGCAGTGCTGTTTTATCTGTTTTACAGATACTAAGAATATCTTATCCGTATGTGTGGATCAGACTGTGCAACAGCCCAATACTGGAACCATCAGCAGTCATTTACGAGGTACTTTGCTTTTGTAAATATCTTTGAGAGCACATCTGCGGCTCGTAATGTCCTCTTTCATTACTATTCTATCAACTTTCCTGAAGTGGTTGTACAAACTGTGAACAACGGCAACACAAAAAAAGAAAGTCTAGGCCAGTCTAGTCTGCTATCCTGAGCTGCAAGAAGCCAAGAAATGGCAACCTTTGTTTACAGATGTTATATAATCAACTGACAGTTTTTTGATCCGTGCGACATCAGTGTGCTTCATAAGAAATACAAAGCCTCCTCCTTGATTTGTGACCAGTTTCTCTCCACAGTGTCTTCAACCTCAGTCCATCAAGTTAAAAAGTCACTACATTTACATGCTGTTAAAAAATGGGATTTATTGCATAACATAACCTACATCATATGGTTGGGGGTGGACATACATGGCTAAATCAAAGTGAAACTGGCCTAAGCGTAATGATGGGCAATAAATTATCACTCACGATATATCGTCAGAAAAATCCTCCTTGATAAATATTTGCCATCTCATGATAAATACAATAAATGCAAGTTGATGACACAAGCGCGAGCGACGGACTCGCAGCCATAGCCCACACAGAGCAGAATAACAAACAAACGAATGAAGACATTTCTGAGCAGCTTGTTACTGAATGAGGATCCACATGTGGGATTTCCTTTAAGATTGGGGTTTAGATAAGTGCAATCAGGTATGCCTGACATCGGACAGTAGATATGCTTCTGTTCACTCCGTGCAATAAGAGTTTTGAAACAAATGTTGAAAATGTTTTCACATTGGAGACTTGTTTGATGTTGTTAGTTTTCTCAGTAACCTACCACTCAAACTTGTGGTTAAGTATCTTATTTGACTTTCCCCAACTGGTGTTCTCAAGACAAAAGGAGTCAAAAATATAGACTGGAATTACAATACTTTTTTATCCGGACTTTCCTCGTCATCACCAGAATGGAAAATCTTATCGGATACATTTTTTAGCCCATCTCGCCCATTCCCTAGAAAGGAGGCATGTCGCCACCTGCTGCGGTGAAGGCAGACATTCTTCGTCAATAATTTGTTGCTTGTAAACTGGGACAAGAACAGTAGTCCAGTTTAATCATCTCTCATTGAGCTCTGACTGTAGCTCGACTTAACCATGCATGGATGATAAGTCATTAGACCCAGGCTCTAAAGTTATTGCGGGACTGGTGATTGGTAATGACTCAGAGGCTAACTGAGTCCTCATTGTGTCATGTGGTGAACCACAGGAGAACACGGTAATACGAAGTGACTGGAAATAAGCCACAGGTTCAAGTCAACAAAACATCATCTTACTTTTATGAAGGACTCAAAACCTCAACTTGCACTGGTATCCAGAAGCCCCCACTGCCCTGGAAAAAAATCACCTCTTCAAAGTTGCCACTACCTGAACTAGTTTATAACTCCAGTAATCAGAGAGTGGATCAGTACTGAAGGTACATCAAATTACATGGAGGGACCAAATGCTACGTGACTCAGTCTTGGTGTTTAGTCTTAGCAGTCCACAGTCCTTTCAGCCCAGCAGCACGTTGCCCATTTACTGACTTGTTCATCTTTCACTTTTTTTTTCTGAGGGCAAAATGGAGACAAGCCACAAGTGCCAGAACCAAGGCAACAAGTTTCTGTGTTTATAGAGGAAACAGGGAGTGTGCATAAGAACTAACAATAACACTTCCAGGACTCTCCCTGAGCTGTAATTATCTTTTTTCTGTAAAGCATTTGTTGGCATGATTCGGTTTTAAGAAGTGATTGTCTCCCCGATGATTTAATCAAACCGTTTTACTGTAGAGGTTTGTCTTCTTCCTCGAGCTCATCATTTTAAATTCGGGAGAGAAGGGGCAGACTCATAAAGACAGCCCCCAAAATAATCGATGTGCATATCCTCCTTTAATCACCTTGCAAAATGTGCGTAACCCTCCCGATGCAAACGCATAACTTAAGCACGCCATAAGCACAGAAGTCGTGACGAGGAGCTCTCTGGCCGAAGCACTCAAATCAATAAGCTGTCTACTGAGGCCCGCCCCGTGAAGAGACTACAGACAGATTATGCAGTCCGCCACTGATCACTTGGCCCAGTAAAAGATCCTACTCAAGTCTTAGAGCAGCAGTCTCCTCTTAATACAAAAGACGTGCAAGGAATTGAGGAGGCAATGACGTAAGCTCTTCACATTCAATTACTTCTAAGTGTTCTTTTCCTCTCCTATGCAACACTGGCCTTTTGAGGAATTAAAGCAATCTGCCCAACATAATGTGATGTTTAATTTCAATATGTCAGAGAAAAGCCTTAAGCCAGTTTATAAATGAGGAGAGTAAAATACTGCAGACACTCTGTTAAGTGAGGGAAGGAGTAGAGTTATCAGTAAACACGGCCGTTACTGTTAGCAGGTGCTGAATGTCAATGACAGGGGTGGTCAACTTACCAATACACGGAAGAAGTAGAGGTACTCTGCAGCTCCGGAGTAGTTTCCACACTCGTACTGGAACTTGGCGTATCTGTACAGCGTGTCCAAGTACTCCTGACGAAACTTCAAGAGGAAAAAAAAAAAGGATGTGAATCATTGTCAGACTGAGTAAAACAAACGTTGAAATGAAACAATATGCTTGTGTTCTAGGGGTGGGGATCACTCGAGGCCCCACGATACGATATGATACGATATTATCACGATACTTGGGCCACGATACGATATTACAGTGATTTTTCACATTTTGCAATACAGTGACTATTACTAAATAAAATATTGCGATTTACACCATTTTTTCAACCGTTTAGCTAATTTAGCATTTGGCTTTCCTCTATGTTTGTCTTATTTACACAGTATTTTATTTTCATGTAGCACATCTTACAGACCTTATCTATATTTGTTGCACTAACTTTCTCCTGCTCTATGATGTCACCTCTGCCAACCTCACTAGACAAACAAATGATTTAACTTTTCCATTATGATAGATTTGACTTCATATGAGCAATTAATTTGAAAAAAATTGATACTTGATCAATGAGACGATAAGATATATCACCAGACAAGCTATTGCGATACTATGCTGTATCGTTTTTTTCTTTCTTATTTTAAACAGTTGAATCAACTGAAGAAATCAGACTTATGCTTATTTCTGTTTATGTTGAAGGGTTTACAGTTTGACTTTTTGCCATTCTTACATCCCTGTGTTACTAATGTGAGCGTTGTATTATTAGTGGTAATGTATTCTTCAAGCTCTGGTTGTATGACTATAAAGCAAACCCTGCTGCAGCATCTGCAGTGACATTTTTGCAAAGAAAGGCTGGAAAATATTTAACTTTTCTTACAAATCAACCAGGAAGTGGTTATGTGAACTAAATTTGAATTGCATATGTATATATAGGGCTATCATTTTCAGCCTTCAAGCTTCCCATATATATCTGTCCTTCCTGCTGTTTAGCATCTCACAGCAGTGTGAACTGACGTCAGTGTTCAGCAGAATTGTTACAGGCATGTGGGTGCTCTGGGCCGCCCAAGCCTTTCCCACAGCCTGCTGCGAGGCCCCGAGCTCAGGCTCTGAGGAGGTGCACTGAGGACAGCATGCAGGTCAGCGGGATACCGGAGTGGGAGGGGACCAATGTAGGGGAGAGTAGGAAGCCAAACATCATGGTAAATATAGAACCTCCGGCATTCTTGCGGCTCTATCCACGAGTCCCGAGCTACTCCGTTTATTCTTAACAATTCACCACAGAATGTAAATGTCCACAGAATTTGTGCAAGCCATACAAACCCCGAAAATGAGTTAAGAGTTTTGGGAAGTAATTCTGCGTTTCCCTCCTTGGCCTTCCCCTCCCACTTCACCCCTAAAACAACCATGGGTTCACACAAGAGCCATGGGAAATGCAATGAAGAAGTGAGATGTCAGCAAATGAGGCCAACTTACGTTATGTTTTTCTGCCAAATACTCAAAGAGCATTCGTCCATCTCTGCAAAAAAAGAGAAAAGCAGACAGTTCCTTTAGTTAGAGGCCATTTCACTTGAGTCGCTGTTTGGCTGCCATCCTGGTGTTACGAGTCCTATTCAGGTATATTTTCCACTTCTGGTCTAACTCAAGAGCTGCACATAAATGGAAACCGTTTGACTTTTAAAACAGTGTGATCGCCTGTTCATTACATTTGGTTTGGCTACTTCAAATATACGCTAGTAAGGAGATAAGCCTGTGAGTCTTCATAGGCCTGTCAAAGCAAAGGAATTCTCTGTCTCCTCACAATCTTCAAACCCAAACTCTATTTCACTCTCAAGCCAGTGAACTAAAATTGTTTTTCCTGCATTTAAAGTATGAATAAATAGGCATGCATGTATGTATTTGTTGTCACATGCTTTATGTAAGTGAAGGTTTTTTTAAGCTAGAGCAGGGCTCTTTACTGCTTCAGAAAGGTTGTCTTTGCTGATGGTCTAGATAAGTCCCTGGGTGAGTTCTCTGTAGTGAGGAATGTCAGCCTGCTGTTCATTACTGGACCTGATAGTAAATCTGAGCCGCTGACCATACATGTCAGTGCAAAAATGCGCTTTTACTTTCAAACCATATGTCAAACTGTGCTGCAAATATATCAATATTCACCGACACAAAATATGCTAAATATTATACTTATAATGTATGAGGGTGTATTCTGTTTAACAAAATATTATGCGAACTAGATGAGAGGCAGCTGCTGACTTAGACGTCTAATAGATGGACACCATTCATGATGAAGTCTGCACAGCATTACTGCTTCCTTCTGCACCGAAAAAGTCAAGAGGCCATCAGCAGCATGTTGACTTGAAACCTCAAAAGTGGTTTTAACGCCTCATTTGAGATTTAAGAAACAGGAACATAACCCGTAGATCAACCAGACAATAGTCATAATCCAAATACGTCTGCTAATGACAGGTTGTTTATAAAACAGTAATAACATGATTAACTATGATGGCTGGGCTTCGTTTCTGGCTACAAAAAGTCCTGTCAGTACAGATAGGCCTGGAAGCGACTTGTGTATTAACCCCAATTTTAAGGGGTTTGAATGTCAACCCATTTCAACCATTGGAAGATCCTCCAATCAAAACAATATTGAAAACAAGAAACTGTATCATGTAATATTTCAACCACAACAGGGAATAAATCTGCTGCATGTTCTTTGGCCTTACAGCAAATCTTTATCCATCACAGATGAGTGTCCTATTGTTAAACTAATTGAATGGTATGAAGAAACAACAGCATATAACTTAAGACAGACACAGCTAATTGAATGAAAGAGAAAAATTGTTCCTTACAGTTCACTGACAGCAAACTAACAAGGCAAAACTTAACATGCTCTAAATAAAAGGATCGAGATCTCACATAACAGTTCCTACAAAAGTCTGTCTTCTGTAAACATCATGGTGTGCATAGAAAAAAAGCTGACAGTGAAAAATATTTTATTTATCTGTCATAATTCTCCTGTAGACACAAAGACAGGACTGTTACAAGTTGGTTTCAAGTACTTTAAACACTGCCAACAAAACAGTCTGAACGATTTGGTATCCTTCACAAATAAATGATCTATTAAATGATATGATAGCATATACAGCGCTGTTCCCTACTTATGCCTTAAACGGCATACTGGGTTAAAGTCTAGAGATAGAAAATATAGATCCCATGTTAAAGCCTCAGAATTAACGATAAAAATAAAAACTAAAGTTTGTTGCTGTATGAAGGGTCAAACTATGGAATAGCCTTTATATTATGCTGAAAATATGTAGTTCTTTGTGGAGTACTTTGTAAGTTGGATATTCACACAAACTGTAGACTTTTACTCCTTTTTGATTAATAACAAAAGTTATGTCTACTTTCTTGTGTTGTTGTGTACTTGACTGACTTTTCTGAGCAAAAACCCTAAAAAAATGCCATTTTCAATGAAAAGGCAGTATAGTGGTCATTTCAAAACCTTTGGTTTCAATGATACCATGACTGTTGTTTCAAGTTACATGTCTTAAAAACCCAGAATCTCTGCAAGTTAAACCAGACATAGGTTTTTGTTTTGTTTTTTAACCACTGTTAGCCCAATCACTTATGACCTAATATGACTTGAGAAGCTAAGTCATTAAAACGGACAATCACCACCGCTGAAATCTACAAAGACTTTACCTGGTGGACTGCATCTGCCTTGTTGTCTCTGGGTCCTCAAACATTTTCACAATGGGCTCAGTTTCTGACTGCAGCTGTTTCAGCTGAGCCACAACCTCTGTCCTCTTCTCCCTCAGAGCTGACACACACAGAAGGTCAAAAAGTCATTAGCAACAGTCAGAGCCAAACTTCAAATGCATGTTATCTGCATCCTGTACTAAAACATAGTAAAACAGGGTAAACTGCTGGATCCATTCTGAACAGAGTGAATGGTGCACATCCATCAAGTGTGTGCAACTTACTATGAGGGATTTCTTTCTCAGGAAAAAGGCTTCTGTGCACATCCATGGCGAAGTCCACCATGTTTGTGTCACTAAGGAGATCCAGTTTTCCATTAAGCAGCTCTTGCTCATTGTAGATCTAAGAAACACAGAAAATTATGGGAAATAGATCTGGAGGGAATGTTCTTGTACAATATTGGTGCATATTATTCCCGTAAGGGTGGAACGGAAAAATTCATGATGACTGATAGACTGAGTTTCCAATATATTATCACAATAATTACAGGGCCCATATCATTTGCTGGAAATTGAGTTAAACCGATTGTTTCTTGCTCCCCCTCCAACCCACATCTTTCAGGGAACTTGGTGGGTGTCCACTGTTAAATAATTTCGTGATTTCCCGACTTTTGGACACCCGAAACATGTATTTCCCAACAGGACTGTTGGGCATTGGGGAAATAGGTTAACTCTTTGTCTCAATTGATAGACCAAGACCAAGCTCCCTCTTTCCTGACTAAGACGGGAGCACATAAAGAAAACCCGAGGCTTTGCGGCTTGGGCATCACTGTTACAATTGAGCTTGGGGCGTTATAAACGAAGGTTTATTTCAGTCCGTGTTGTGCCATGATGATCAGATCTATTTACTGAAAGTAAAAAGATGCACACCCTGAATAGATGAGAGCTATCTGTAAAACCGCGTGGTTTTAATTTAGTAAAGTTTACAACTGTTACATCAAGGACTTCCGAAATACTCTTCATATTCACACAACAAATGAACTCTGAGTTATGCTACCATGATAACTGATGTTTAACGTGAAATCTCCCTGTTTTGAGCCGATTTTTAACTGTTTGTTCCTGACACACAGCAAATACCACAAATGTATTTTTCGTAGTTAGGTTCAATGAGACAGTTTCCATGCCACCACAAAACCTCCGCTTTTATTGTGAAAGGAAAAGGCTGCACTTCCGTCTGCACCACGGTTACGAGTCGAAACTTGACCTAGCATTAGCAAATGTGGCAAACTCCCCGGCGTATGTTGCCTTTACACCAGTTTAAAGATCATATAAGGCTTTTAGAATCAGTATAACATAAACTTAATCGTTTATCATCGATTTAAGATCGTACCTCTTTGACAGACAGGAACTCCAGGAGAGGAAAAACGAGATGACGGTCCAAAAAATGGGCAATTTTGGTGGTGAGATCGTATTCCGCCATCTTTGCTCCAGGGAAAAGGAAGTGAGCGCATGTTCAGGCTTATACGTCACAGAAGGACTGTCCAATCAGGGACATCGTCAGCATCCTAAATGAACAGTATTGTAAAAGAGCTGTAGATAGATAGATAGATAGATAGATAGATAGATAGATAGATAGATAGATAGATAGATAGATAGATAGATAGATAGATAGATAGATAGATAGATAGATAGATAGATAGATATTGTATTCTTTTTTTACTCAGGCATGACTTACATTTATTTTAATAATTGATATTCACTTATACACAAATAATTTAAAGCAAAGTAATAAATGGTTGAAAGGAGTCTTTAAAAGAATGTCTCCCTTTTCCAGTGCTCTCTATATGTTTTTGTTATGCAGTTTTGTTGTTGTTTGTTTGTTTGTTTGTTTGTTTGTTTCTGTTTTATCTGACCATTCCTCAATTTTATAATGCTTCCTCATGATGGCTTATCTTTTTTTGTTTTTTCATGACACATAAAAATCACACTAGCTGACTTCTGAATTTAACCCTTATGACAAAAATATTTATATTTACAAGTAATGAAAGAACGTGAACCATAGAGCCTCTGCATACTGTAATACACGTTTTCAGATGTGATGATGGCAGTTAATGAAATCCCTGAGGTGGAGAAATTGACTATTAGTAATATTTTACCCATTCATTCTTGCTTATGAATAGATATATTATTATTCTTCAGTGGCTTCTCAGAAGGATGCATGACTCTGACTTGTAAACCTTTCAAAGTTCCCATAATTTCCTCTCAGTGTTGATACAGTGAAACATTTCATGTATAAAGAGGGATCCACATGAAGGTTTTGTTGAATCTGAAAACATAGGCTTTCCTCCAGACACCACCAGTGCTCTCCTGAAAGCCAGTGTGACTGTGTAAGGCTTCTTTATGGGACGGAAAACCATTTTAGGACAAACATAGTCATGATGAACCCATATTACAGCGCCTTCTAAATTTTTAATGAAAACAACCCGATTATTTCCAATCATTTGACTTTTCCACGAGGTTAGAATGTCTTCACTGTGTATCGGAACCATCCTCCCCTCCCTCCCTTCACTTTAGCAGATGTCTCATAAAGGTGCTCCTCTGTAAACCTACCAGGCCAACAACTGCCAGTAACAGCTTCTCAATGACCCATCTCTAATAGGTTTAACTAAAACCTTGTTTTCCTCACAACCACCAAGTACTGTCTCATATTCTTGCACAATTCCCCCCTTGTTACCTTTGGGCTGTCTCCCTCTTCTTTACTCCCATTTCTCCCTGTCGCCTGACAGCAGGTAGAAATGAGTCATAAACAGACACCACTCACCATGGCCAGTTACTGTTTTACTGGGTGCTTCTGACACAGTCAGCTCTGGCTCAGTGACAGCTCGCTTAGATTTAAAAGACAAAGAGTGAAATATAGCTTTTACTTTACTGCGTGCTGAAGCCTTCCTACTTTGTGTCATCTGTTTAATTTCAGAACATGTTTCACTTTAAAAAGCCACCCCACGCAATCATTTGGGGAGTTTGGCTGGGACCATATGGAAATTTGTCTCAATTAGATCATCCAGTGACTTAAATCAAATAATTAAAAGAATCCAGCCGGGTTGGCTGCCACTATGGTGGCTTTATAAGGTCAAACAGAAATACCTCCTCTGTTACATGTTTTTCTGACATTTTATTTATGTTAGTGAATATGAATAAACCGTGTGTTCATTTCCTTAAGCTTCTGTTTGTTGTTGTTGTGTGAAGTATTTTCCTCTTGACTTAAGCATTCCTGTTTAGTGTATCTTACTTATAATTTTGAGAGAATGTCAAAGTTCCGCTCTGAAAGGGGAAGGGGTTCACAAAAGCAGGTAGGTTTTTTTTCCCCTTTTGGCTTTTTTGGTCTCTCTCTGTAGAGCAGAGGATTTCATCCATCATTTTGAAAAAGAATGTCATATTTTGGTTCATTAGACCACAGGACTGTTTTCCACTTCCCATGAGTCCACCTCAAACAAGCCTTTGCCAAGAAAACTTACCAGGGTTGCTGGATCATGTTCACTGGGGTTTCCTCTTTGCGTGGCACAGTTTTAACCTGCATTTGTCGATGCAGTGACAAATTGTGTTCACAAGCAGATTTTGAGCCTATGCAGCAATGTCCACTACTACAGAGTTGTGTTTATTTTAAATTCAGGGACTCGAAGGTCCTGATGATCAGAAAATGGTTTTCAGCCTTGTTCCCTTTGAAAAGAGACCTCTGCAGTTTCTTTAAGTCTTTTAATGATACGATGTACTGAAGATGGTGAAATCCACCGAGTCTGCACAATTTCACACTGTGAACCATTACTCTGAAACCACTGAAACTCTGAAACCCATCTCTTCTTCTGAGAGACTCAGTCTCCCTGGGATGGCCTTTTCATACCCTGTTATGTTGCTAACCTGTTTAAAACTAACCTCACTTGCAGGGGGGAAGTTCTTCTGGAAGGTAATGTTGGCCTGAATTTTTAAACATAGTTTATGATTTCATAAAACAATTGACATTTGTAATGTGCCAGGTCCCATGGTGCCAGGTTCTACAGTATGTGTATAATGCACAAGGCTGATGAATGAAATATTAATGATGAATTTTTGGGGTCATGTTTATTCTACAAATAACATCGCCAATAAGAAATTTATTATATTGTTTCCATTTTATGACAAATGAAAATCATCAAATACCTTTTACTCTTCATCCTGGCAAACTGCAATCCCTCACCACACAATAAAACCTCTGTGTGTCCTTCCAACCTCATTTCACGGCAAAATGCACAAACCCCATGGCAGTTTCTCCACGCAACATAAACACTGATACCATGTAGTCCATTCTCAGTGTAACATGAGTTTTGTGTTTTTTATTTTATGTGGAGATGATACTGCTTATTTTTTTCACAATACTGAGTAAGGGGATGGTGGGAAAAACCTAAACCAGTCCAGGCAAAGCCAGTAAGCATTCTTAGATTGATTCAGCACCACAAACTAGATCCAGAATGACAAGAGATCAACTGTCTTAAACACTGATATGAAGGCCAAAGTGCTTTGGTTTCTCTTATTTCAACTGGCCGCTCTTTTTTCAGAGAGAGAAAGTTACCGGGGAGGAAGTATTTTGGAAAAGATATGTGCTGAGGAATCTTCTTTCTTTCCCTCACATTTTGCTCATTTTCTTTTCCAGTCGTCGGACACATTAATGTAATTTATGATTAGATAAATAACTGGACTCAATAAACATTAAACCCAGCCTTCACTCATTGAATATTAACAGAGAAAACACTGGGGCTGCTTGGTTAACCGTTGGTGCTTTCAATCTGTCTGCTCAAAACTAACACTTGATTGTTTTGTACATTTGTTTAAAAGGTCTTGGATAAAGCACAAATTGAATCTTTAAAACAAACAATCCGAGCCGCTGAGCACCAATAGGGTCTGAACTATGCTTAACCAATGTGTTTTGTAAGGTCCTGTGCCAGCTTGCTCATCCATAGTCTCCTTAGAGAAAAGCAAAGCCAAACCCATTATTTGCAGAGTTGGGAGATTGTGCAAGGGGTGAATGAGAAAAACAATAAAACATTCAGGGGGATTGATCAGAGTTATTTCCCAACGGACAGTTTGTTGTAAATCTTTCATATCAGCTATGTGAAAACATTGCAGGAGAGGGCATTTAGAGTACAAGGCGGCTAACATTAGAATTAATGAGATGGATTGATTAGATGCTGAGTGATGACTGAATGACTGACTGACTGACTGACAGAAACTGAAGAATAATTAAGTCCATTAAAATGGTCAGGATTGGTGTATTACAAATGGTTTACCCTGCTTTAACTGGCAGAGATTTAAGACATCCACCTCTGAAACTTTCTCACTGCGGTTTCCAGGATTATTTTTTTAAAATCATGATCAATTTTGTGTGGTGGGGTAAAAGATATGTATTCATGAATAATAAAACCATGTTTAATTTAAGATAACAAGACTGTTCATGCCAGTGTGCTGTGTGCAAATTCATTGTAAACCAGTTTAAAACGACAAATGTTGATATATCAATGAACGGTACAGCTCAGCTGTTATAATTTGAAACAGTCCACATCTACAGCCCAAAAAAACAAAACAACCTTCACTGGCTTTTCTGTCTCATGCAGAAATAATCCCTGCAAAATGACTGCAGTCTTATTGGTTTGAACCAACTAACCCGTTTTCAATCCCTTGACCTCACTGAATAAAGACTTCCCACTTAGAGAAGACATCTTGTGGTATTCGTCTTTGAGAGTACTATGTGGTCTGTTTCGTTTTTTTTATGCTAGGCTAATGTAAGAGTTAGATAGAGTTAAGAAAACATTTAAAAACAGTGCTATTGATCTTCTCATATAATAATTAGCAAAAGAGCTGACATGGATTTCCCCCCCAAAATCAGAAAAGTGTTAGCTCAATGATGCCAATGCTCTCCAACTGTCAAAAATAGCTGGAAATGTGAGCACCTCTTTACTTTGATTACATGGATTTAGTTCTTGGTGGTCTGCACTCTTACATAACTGTGTTTTGGCGATATTTTTGTGACTTTGTAATCTTCATTTTCCCTCAGCCAAGCTGCGTTTTTGTTGACCCAACAAACAAGGTGAGTGTAAGTAATGATTTGAGTTGGAGGCTTTAAACACAGACTTTACAAACTGATTGATACAAACAGTAATCCACCAATTTTGTCTCTGAAAACCAAAGCATGTGTGTACATTTGTAGGATGAAACAGTTTTAGACAGTGATGGCTCTGACCACACATGAAAGCCAGGTTCAGGTCTGGGATGCTGTCAGGAACACCAACACTTTTCAGCAATCAGTTATCCATCATTCCAGTCTCACAGAAACTACTCCGCACCCTTAATGGGATAAACTCGAAGGGCGTCTAAGTGAAGGGCCAAATATTCCATGAAAAACCTCAGCTCTCCAGTTCCCTGAAAGCTTTCTTGGTCAACAAGTGAATCCAAGAGAGGGAGAGGAGATGACACTGCCAAAGACACCCACCACTGGCCTCGCTCTAATATCTGTCAAAATATAAATCAATAAAACCTGAAGACAAATGACTCTGCGCTGGATGTTGCAAAGCCAAGCATCCCTGCTCTGAATCCGAATTGCAGCATCTCATATGAATTTCAATGATTCTTTTGTAAACTTTTTAGATATGCATCACCTCGCTCAGTGTGCGTGTCAGGTTATAAATCAGCGGCCCACACTCCTGATTCAGAGCCCAGTGCTGACTTCAGCACTGTCACACTAAATGGCAACAGGATGAAGGTTATCGACCAAGCCTATAGGGCTAAAAAACAATGTAAACTTCCAGGGAGAACCCAGTGGCATCGTGCATGGCAGAACATCTGTGCAACATATGTCTGCTGCACAAACAAGGGATGACTTGTGCTCACACACATCAGCAATATCACAGGGCACACAGGGGAGTTGATCAATATTTGACCCCTCTAATCCTTCCTCAGCATGCTTGCTCCTGTCGTTATGCGTAACCTCACTTTTCCCCTGCAATTTACTTTGAGAAAAGGGACATTAAAGAGCACAACACTATCTCTAAATATGGGGTTGTGTAAAACAGAACAGAAAAACAGTGAAATCTGATAACTCCAGATTGTCCAGTTAAGTTACATGCTTTGACTGCACTGGGGATGAAAAGTAGGAATTCCTTCTTCTGTGGATTTTAAATGTCGGTAACAATTGTTTTTAATGCAGTTGTGTAGCTAAGCAGAGGTCTTTGTTCAAACCGCTGCTTAGATCAGGGAGAAAAAGCAATGCCAGTCAGAAATAGCTAGTACTGCTAAGCATCTCAAACCTCAACTCAGACCCCATGAGGGGTTGTAGAAATGCTTCATGCCTTAAATTGGAACCAAAAAAATGCAACTTTAAGTGAGGATGATGTGATTCTTGGTACAGTTCAGGGGGAAAAAAATCCAAATTTGGCACAGAGTAATAAAAGTTGTCACATATTCTTTTAGAGATCAACTTTTTTACTCACATACATAATGAGGGTTATGTAAGGACGGCTCTGTGTCAAGACCTCTGGCATTTTGGGTATTTCAGTGAAATTCCAGGAGAATCACAGAAATATGCCCATGTGGGAATGAAATTATGATCTCAAAAGCTTGCAATGATGAGTTTCTCTTGTTCTGGATCAGCGTTATTTCTCATGATGAATTTAGCCGCCATTTCTTTACTGGATTCTTTTGAAGCAAATCTCATGGATGTCCAAGAAAAACAGATTATGAGTTATTAAAACCAATCTAGCAACACATGATATACTACATGAGATGACTCTCCAATCCACCATAAGCAATGTTGCTACTTCCAAAGGAGTCAATACAACCTACTGTAACCTTTAAACTGTATGAGTTATGTCAATTACCTGCGTGGTGCTGCTCTGACAGAAGGCTGAATATTGTTTTGGCACAAAAGCCAAAAGTAAGATTGGCAGGAGGGTAAGAAAGCTTCATTGCAATGTGCTATAATTTCTCATTAGGTATGGGTGAGGTTAAAGGTGCAACAGAGAAGTCCATCAGAGGCAAAGTCAGCTGAAGTCATCCGTACAGAGCTATTCGCAGTGTGGTAAAAGCAACTTGGTCAGACAGGAAAACTAATCAGATTTCAAAGTAAACACTGTGCTGCCGTCTCCAGAAGGTGCAGTCCAAACATGGTTGCTAATTGCATCTGTCTTCATTTTTCACAACTCACCATACAACACCAAGGACAGAGAAGTTCAGATGGAGCAGGAACTATGTCAAAACCACAGTGAGCACCTTAACTTTACCCCGTTTTCGTCTATAACTGTTCATTTCAGGGATTGCCAACTCTGATTGCCTCTGTCAGAAATCAAAATGTAATGCCTGCGAAGTGTTTCTGCTGGAGTACTTCTCTTTTTCTTAAAAAAAAATGAGGAGTGAAAAGGAAAATATATATGTATGCTTGTCCCATGTGCCATATGTGGGGGCTTCCAGAGCATGGAAACCTACGTAAGCACCAGTTAAGTAGCAGAGTTTGGGTTTTTAGATGGCTGCAATTGATCTCACATATTGTGACATTTCTGTACAAGAGAGCAGCTCCAAGTTAAACAGGCGCCTCATGTCAAAAGGCTTTTTTCACCACTACCACATCCAGCTGCATCTCAAAGTTATGGACAGCTTGTTCACTGAGCGATTTAACCATCATTTCCTGAAAATCCCAGGAGTCACAGCTGCTGCATAGTGTTTATTGCAGGTCACTGTTAGGGCCCTGGCCTTCAGTGGCACCTTGGCAGACAGGGGAAAGCCCTCTACCCCGAAGGACAGTGTATGATTGTTTTAATGTGGTTTCTTTGGTATTTTGTGTTCCAGCAAAAACCCAACCACATATCAACTGACTGCCATGTGCAGACTTGAAAATTACAAGTGCACAGATAGCCCAAGCTCAACATAACCAAAAAATGCACAAAGTATTGTTGTTTGTTACTCCCTAACAGAGAATGACATTTTATCATCCCTTTGTGCACTTGCCAATTATTGATGATACTAAGCTTTTTAACTTTGTCAAGTGTCCTTCAGAGGGGAAAAAAAAACTGATCTCCTCATGTCCTTTCTATTAGAACATCAACAAAGTATGCATGACAATTGGGTATGTGCAGTGAGCAGCACTGGATATGACATCAGATCTCTGAAATGTCTCTGTAAGCAAGTTTGTGTCGTGCCCACATCAACAAGTGTGTAATGTGGTAAGAGAGAAATGTGTAAGCAAGCAAACGCAGGGAGGGGATGAGATTCGCAGAAGCTCCTGAGGGAAATCAGGACAGAATAGCCAATGTGCTTAGAAAGCACATTTCATATTTTCAGAGGAAACTGATAGATTCTAGGCTCAGCTGACTGTCCTAACCAATACTTATGATGGAATTATATGAAAATGCTAGTGGTGCATGAGGATGGCATTGTCTGGTTTGTAACTGTTTGCAGTATCCTCTGCATCCTCATGCGGCTACTGACTGCTGACAAGTGCATTTACTATGCAATTTTAGGTTCACAGTTGACTTAAAGCCCCTCATCTTAGGGATACCGTGTATTAAAATGAGAATTTTCAATGAAAGGGGGCAGATTATGGGTTAAATTTCTCCTCTGCTCATATCTGCTGATGGTGAAGGAATGCAGCCAATGAGCTTCTGTGCTGCGTTGTAAGTATGATCCTCCAATTGTCAACATTTTACACTCAAACCCTCAAACTTGTTTGTGCATACAACAACCATTTTTTCTTCTGCCTACCATGCTGCATTTTGCAGTGCCACTCACTACATACAGACACACATGTGTAACTAGTTAATTTGTTTTGTGTTGTGGTAGAAACATGGCAGTGTGAGATAGCAGCCTCTGTGGAAATTAACCCGCTCTAGACATAAAAGGCTGATTCTAAGAAAACAGACATAAAAGGAAAAAGTTTTTGTTTTTAAATTCAGGTAATTTTACACTAATTTAAACATTCTTACAAATATGTTATATTTGTACCAAGTCTGTTTTGCATAATGCTGCCAAACACCACCTATGAGTCTGACATGTCCGGTTTGGGATTAGAAATCAAAATAGCCAGTAAAAATCATTACGGGGGATGTGAATGTTGTTGTGAATGGTTCATATTAAATGTCTATGAACATACAATTATCAATTTAATCATCTTTAGAGGCAAGAAAATACAAAGATTTGTCTAGAATTCAAATTAAATCCGTTGAGAAGCAGTAAGTTATTGATTAGGAATAAGGATGGACAGAACACACTGTCTGAGTTTGAAAACAAAACAAATAAAATAAAGTGACATTAAATACAATAAAAACTAGTCTTGTTACCAACAATTTCTTCCGTATTCTTTTTCATAATCTATTTAATCTTTCAATTCTTGATATTTATAATGTCAATATTTCTAAAATGTGTGTTATTAAGCACAAAATAACATTTGCAAAGAATATTGCACTTTAGTGGTATTAATTATTATTATTATTATTATTATTAGAAGTGCTGGTAGTAGTGGTAGGATTAGAAGTAATGGGTCTCTTGCTTTTTTGAATGGTCTTCAGTCATCACTTGGCACGCCCACAGATGGTAATCGATGACGTAGGCACGCCGTATGTTGTCAAAAGAAAAAAGATGGCGTCGGTGGCAGAAATGTACGATGTTGGATGGGAAGGTGAGTCAGAAGCTTGTAAAGATTCTACACCAGTTTCACCGAGACATGCCTTATATTAGGACATTAGAGTTTTGTTCCCTGAGTACAGAGTAGCTGAGGAGTCGTCACCGTCGCAGACCGAAAATAAGTCAGCGTGTCAAAGAGCTAGCTCACCCCCACTTAGCATGGTTAGCTTACGGTCTGCTAACGCCATGGTTTTATCCGCATTTTACACGAAAAGGCTCGACGACTCATGTTTTAATGTGGTTTGTGAATAATATATGTAAGCATAGCCTGTCTGGTCCATATTAGCCAGTTGAAACTTGTTGTGAGAGCCAGAAACGATAACGTGTTCTCGGCTAACATTAGCCATCATCCCTGTGTTACTGTAGGCTGACGAGCCCTGCAGATGAAATAGTCGTTTGGCGATGCGCTCGAGATGTCATCGTGATTTTTTGTAATAAGTACATGTCATCAAACAACATATGACTGTGAACAAAGTGGATTTCGGTTTAGGGGTGTCTGAAAAGCATGTATAATGTAAATCTAATCGCTCTGAAAGTGTATAAAAGTGCATTATGTCAGTGAATACATCAGTGAAGCTGCTTAAGTCCTGCTGTTGGCACAAGAAGCAGACCTGATCTTTTGTGTTCATAAGTGTGTGTCTTTCAGTTGTGAAACAGTTGTCTTCATGCTTTGTTTATACATGTCCACAGAAATGAGAGACAAGTTACGTAAATGGAGAGAGGATAACTGCAGAAACAGTGAGCAAATCGTGGATGTTGGAGAAGAGCTTATCAGTGATCATGCATCCAAACTGGGAGACGACAGTAAGTGTGCTGAAACTACACATAGTTTATAATGGGCGAGAGTTCCCCTTTCATCCACTTTTTCAGCTTTTATTTCTCAACAGTTGTACCAAACTTGCATAAACAAAGGGAAATAACACCACTGTTGTAGATGACAATCAGACATTTCAAGAAAGCCTTTTGCAGACTGTAGGATTGATACTTTTTTTGTATCAGGATCTTCTGCTTTTTACCACAAACCCTAAATATCTCAGCAGAATCAGTCAGGCAGATGTGTTTGACTCTGGGTTCATCCACACAACTATAAGAGATATCGTTGATCTAAGTGGGTGATTTGTTCCCAGATAGATTTTTTCCCCTCTGCTTTTTTGTGGTATGTATTTTTCTTTTGGATGCATGTCCGAAATGGATCTTAGGTTTCCTGTGATGTGGAAACAGATAGACAGACAGTCATGGCTGGAAAGCCAAGACTACAAGATCGAATACATTAAACACGTATTTTGGAGATTTGAGATGGAGAGGTAAAATACTTAACTTGGAGAAGTTGAATACACATAAAAGCAATTATGTCAACATTTTCATATTTCTTGGTCTGCTGACCTAGACTGGAAGTAGACAATGTCACTTAAAATAAACAGATGGATTAAATGTTATTGCTGAAAATGACCTCTGGAAGATGTCATTATTCCAGACCAGGACTTGGAGTTTAAAGCTCCTGTGAGCAGCTTTTAGTTGGTGTCAATTTTGGTGCCCCCTCTGGACAAACCGTCTTTGTTTAAATTGTCTACAGTGATTTAAAGGCCTGCTGACTATTGACACTCGGATGCATAATTTATTGTGCATGTTTTATGTAGAACTTGTAAAAACAGGGATGTTTCCCCAGCTGCTTAGCTGAGACCTACCCCCTCACACCACTTTCAGGCAGTAACATTGTGATGTAAAAAAAACTTGAATCTTGTCACAGGGGGTCCTGTCTGCTTTTGAATGTAATAAAAAAAAAAAGGATTGATATTTTCAATGTTAGTCTGTTTCATAAATAATAAAAAAAAACTCCTCACAGGAGCTTCAATCAATCAATCAATCAATCAATAATCAATCAATCAATCATTTTCTTATGTAACGCCAAATCACCACAGTACATGTCTGAAGACACTTTAAAAAAAAGCAGGTCTGGACCAAAGTCTTTGTTAAAGTCATTTAGGTCCTGAACTACGTGCACTACATAGTACAAATCCATTAGCTTAGATATAGGCACACATATGCTGTAATCACATGACAGTTGAAAAAAAAGTGTTATTTTGTGGGCTCATAATTATTAAATATATTAAGCCACTTATATTGTGCATCTCTGTTGTTTGATTTTTATTCCTCTGGTTGCATCACAACAGCTCATGCTTGAAGTGCCAGCAAATATAAAGGCAAAACATTGCCTGTCATTGGTCACTTTTGATTTCTACTAAAATACAAACTGTACTTTTTTACCAAACTGGCTGTTTTAAAATCCTGATTGGTGTTACATTATGTAGTATCGCAATATTTGTCTTATGATAAATTGTATCGTGTCATTGACCAAGCATCGATTTTCATATTAATTGTTAATATGAAGTCAAATATATGATAATGGAAAATAAAATAAACTATTTGTCCATTGAGCTTGGCAGAGGTGACACCATAGAGCAGGAAAAAGTATGTGCATATATATGTGCTACATGAATAAATAGCACATCTTGCTCACATCAAAATAAAATACAGTGTTAGTAAGACAAACATAAAGGAAAGACAGATGTTGTATTGTATCGCAATACTCACTGTATTGCAAAATGTAATAAAATGTAGTGTTATTATAACGTGGCCATATCATATCGTGGACCACTAGTGATTCCCACCCCTAATTATTGGGTGCCTTTCTGTCAGCGTAATAGATCAGGTGATGCGTTGCTAAAGACATTACAAGCTATTTGGGACAAATTTGATTGATATTCAAAAATTATCGAGTCCCTTGTTAGAAAAGTTCAATTACAAATAAAATATGGGTAAATGTATGTTTACATCAACTTAACGTATTTAAATGTGTGTGCTGTATAAAACACCAAATATTTCAACATCCATGAGTTCATTTGTAGCTTTTCTGTCCTTCAGCATCAGCTTTTATTAAACTCCCCCTTTCTACTAGCCTTTATGATACATACAGTCTTCCAATGAGGGGGATAAATACTTTGCATGCCATGGTTTTACTGAAACCAGCTCTTTAATTGGCTGTGAAATTATATGACAATTATCAAAACAAGCATTGTAGTCGTAAAAGTCAAGAAAAACCAGGGTCATTTATTGATTTTGGCTTTACCATGTAGTTTATTTTGGGTGGAGTTGGGCTTTATTATTATCCTTAATTGACGAGAGTTGTTCATTTAGCTTAAATGTCTAGTTAGATGGCCAAAGCTGTCTGTCAAGCGTGTTGTAGTCATTTCATTAATTGGTTTCTGTAGCCAGGCAATTAGCCAGTGTGTTTGAATGTTCCAGTTGACTGCACGAAAAAACATATAAATTTTTAGCTCAAACTTCTGCCAAGAGAAACATGTTAAAGGAATGGTTGTACTTAGAAATGAGAGCATGCTACATTCCGGCCTCTCTAATTTTACAAATGTACCAGGGCTGAAACTTTCAGACTCACCAAAGACTTTTTGTCTTTATCCCGAAAAAAAAAAAAAAAAAAAAGATGTTTAAAAACATTGTTAGCTCCAAAGCAGGGTTTGTCCTGACTCAAATTAAAGCTGAGGTATTACCTTGTTAAACCTGAATTAGACTTTATAGTTTGAAAGAAAATAACTTCCTTTCCTGACTGAGTGTATTTCCAATTTCACATTCTCTCATATCCTTAGAAGATAAAGAAGCACTTTTCTCTTTAACAGTCCCCTCTCACTGGGGTTTGTTTTATTAAGTTTACACATGCTCACGCTTCAGACACGTTCAGACACCAGTACCTGCGTATCTTATTTATTTGACTTTATTTGTATTATTTTATTTATTTTATGTATGTATGTTTGTATTATTTATTTATTTATACATGCACTGGACTAATTAAAAACGACGCTGCTGTTACATCAGCCTAATGCTGGAATTACAGCAAAAAATGACAAATTGACCATGTGCTGTACTTAGAAAACAGCACTCCTCATGAACAGACATACAGGAAAAATCCTGGAAAAGTAGTCTTAGCAAGCATCATTAAGAAGTAAATCTGAAAAGCACAAGTATTTATTTATTCATTTATTTAATACTAAGATGTTGTACATCCAAAAACACTTATTCTCTTTATAATTTTTGGTAAATGACTGCTGGGAAAAAACAATGCTGGTGACTGCCAACATTTTTTACCTCAGACGTTCATGGGAAAATTCAAAGCGATGAAGGACTGAAAATCTGTTTGATCACATGTTTGGCTTGCGGCAGAATTGACGAATATGTGTTCTTTTTCGATAAACATTTCCAGAGACATATTATGTTGTTGACACAACTGCATTTAGCTGTTGAAACTTTACTTTGCATGTGAATTAGAGACGGTGTTAACACGGTCACACTGTCCACAGTGAGGAATGACACACTGCATGACGTGTCCTGAATGTTAGATCAGACTTTGGTTTCACTTCACGTTTAAACAGTGTTTTAAACAACATAAGCAAAGTTTATTTTTCTAATAAAGAGCGTAGTTAGTCTCCTTTCAGTCCAATTTGTGACATTATATTTTATTAAATCACCCTTTCCATGTCTTGGTTACAATTCACAGCTTATTTTCCAAGAAAACGTTGCACTCCATTTCCTCAAATTTAACATTATTACTGAGATTTTCAGACAATTTATTACATTTGAACCCTGGAATACTGAGTAAGACTACTTTAAAGCCTTTCATGAGCGTGTTTACAGGGAATTTTCCAGCATCTAGGATTATTATATTTTTGTTGTGCTTTCCAGATTTGAAGTTTTTACATGTTTTTTTTAACAAGCAACTTATCTTAAACATATTCCATGTAGAAAAGAGCAAAAGCAGCATTACATAAGAAACAAAGTGGGAAAATTCTTTGAATGACGTCTCATCCTTTGAATCACATGGAAGCTTTTGAGTAAAAACCACATGAGCAGCTGTTGGGGACACACTCTTAAGTCTTGGTGTCAACTGTACAGATCAATATATCATTTTTTCATGTTACAGCAGACAGTTAAATGGAAAGGGCGTTAACACAGTCCTCTTTGTCTGTGTCTCCTCTGCCCAGTATGGATAATTTATGAGCAGGTGATGATCGCAGCGCTGGACTGCAGTCGAGATGACTTGGCTCTGGTGAGTTTTTACCGCTCTTCCTTACACACCCAGGAGCTTCAAAGGCCATCCTTCACTCTCCCATTCATTCCTACTTTGCTTCACCTCCTTTGCCAACTGCGAAAATCAGATTTTTATTTGGCCAAATGGTACAACTCCATCTGTACGGTGGAAAAACAATTTTCTGAGAGCTGGATTCAGACAGTGTTGCAAACGAGCGGAGAAGCATGCTTCAAGTAGCTGAAGTTGGCCCTCAGTTATTGAGTTCAACTGCTTTTTTCCCTCAAGGTTTATTTGCCATGCTTAAACTTCAGTTGACGTTTCTGAGTTCATGTTGAAATTACATGCTCTAAAAATGGTCAAATGCGCAAGGATAAAAAAGAAGAAAAAAAAACATGGCAGCTGAAAAGGTACATCTTTAATCAGTATGGATGGAATGACTTGCTTGGCAAAAGAGTGACTCATTGATTACAGAAAAGGCAGAACTCAGTCATTACAATTAGTTGTCTGTTGGCGATCCTTTCAAGCCTTGCTGCCAGAAGTTATAAAAAACTAGTAGGACCAGACTCTAGCTGATGGATAGCGCTAACGATACAAACCACACTGCAGACTTTCTCCCGACTTATTTGGACCAACGCTGAATGTGATTGTAGCCTTTCTTCACCTTTTACTACAAAATGAAATATTAAACAACAAATGTAATCGCCAACAAATGTTCAAACCTCAGACAGTTGTGACATTTTTGAAACTAGTGTTGTGACGTCTCTGATTTTTCATGTGTGTTAAAACAAAAATGTATCAAAGTTAAGTTACATAACTGCAATTGGACTCTCCCCTCTGCCCACATCCTTGCAGACCTGTCTACAGGAACTGAGGAAGCAGTTTCCAGATAGTCACAGAGTGAAGCGATTGACGGGCATGAGGCTGGAAGCTTTGGAAAGGTAAGCAGCGGGTACCAGAGGCAGAAAAACAGGCCAAAAAACAGCTTGGGCTCACTGTCATGCACCGAGAGTGCGATGATGTATGGGGTTGAAACTGTTTGCAACACCCTAAGCGATATAATGTCTGGTGTTGTGTAAGTACAGCTTGTGTGTGGAGTAGATTGCGTTTATGGTCACCCAGAATTCTTCAGAGGAGGAGGGAAACTGGGAGAGGAAAAGTTCAGGACTGGGTAGCCTGTATCCCTGTCGCCTGAGCTAAGGATTCCCGGGAAGGAAGTGGTCAGAACCCACTGTTATTCTGGGGGTCCCTCAATCTTTTCTGGTTTTAATTCCTCCCTTGTTTCCTTATTTCGTTACTCTCTGTCTCCTTGTGTTTTCCTCTCCCTCTCTGCCCTCACTTATTTTCATGCTTTCATGCTTCTCTGTTTTGGTGAAGAGACCAAAACAGGAGCGGGATAATGCCTCAGCACTGTAAATATTGACATGTCACCACATTGTCAACTTTGTCCTGCCGCCTATTTCAGTCATGTGTTTTTATTTTTGAATCTGCAGAGAGAAGCAAGACAGACAAGAGAGGAGGATTTTGTTCTATACTAAACTAGGATGAGAATAGTTGAGTCTGTTCGCTGCCTCCCTCACATTTCCCAGCTGGGTCCCCATAACTGGTTTATCAGTTATGTCAGAGTTTATGTGATAATGAGAGTGATTGCTTCAGCACTGTCAGATTAAATAAACAACACACAGCATCTAATTGGCAGCAGACAGGGCTACACTTGAATGAACCAGCTTCAAAAAGCCTGGCCCCTCCCATCCTCGCACACACACACACACACACGCACGCACATTCGGCTCTTGAATAAATAAAGCAAATCAAAGTGGCTCGTGAGTGCTCGCCTGGTGCCATCTGAAATCTCCCCTAAAGTGTGGCTGAGTAATAAAGTGAATGTGAGGGAAGAAGCAGCGTTGGAAGTGGGGCTTCTCAGCACTAATGGGAACCAGAATTGCTTCTGTCTGTTGCAGACTGTGGGCGGGACACTTTCTGATCACTGATCCCCCGCCTTTGGCTGCTGAGTCGTCGGTGTTGCAGATTGCCTCTCATAGAAAAAAAAGTTTTAAAAATCATCCTTCAGCGGCTGATTTGACATGACAAGTGAAGTGCACATGCCTCCTACTCCCAGATTTCTTTACCGGATGATTTGATATTTACAGCTCATAAATTTCCCTTTTTAAACAGAATCATGTGGGCACAGCCCGGCAGTTTGAGGCGCGCCATGCTGGATATTGTTGCTTATCAGGTTCATATGTCTCTATTGTGGTGTTATACATGAGCCAGGAGACAGACAACTGACCCAGCATTTTAGCTGCAGCTCTGGACAGATGTAAAAGCAGCAATTAAATTTTGTTTAAAGGTGAATCAAACTGGATACAATCAAATGAAACTACAACCTTCGAAATCGTGAGCTTTGTTTGTATTGATTTCATGACTCATTGTGAAGTGATTTAAGCCCCTCAGCATGTCTGCTGTGTTAGCAGTAACCTTGACTTACATGAATGTTTATTTCTGCCTTCAGATCACCACTGATTTCTGTACAGCTTCACTGTAATCACAGGAACCTGCCACGCTGTATACACAAACTTGATTACCTTGAACTTTGTTTGATTTCCCCACCACCTAATTTCATCCGACTTTAGACTGGGATTGGTTAAAAACCAAATTTTATTCTCCTCTTTCTCTTTCCAAAGGTACGATGAGGCCAGCAAGCACTACGATGCCATTCTCCAGGACGACCCCACCAATACGGTAAGACTGAGGAGCGGGGAAAGAGAGGGGAAAGCCCCTCCGCTTAGCAGACTGCTTTGCTTGACTTTTGTGGTCTTAGTGTTTCAGAGGGCTTTAAATCTGCTGAGGCACTTTGGTGTTAGCAGTGTGAGTTTGCTATGTTAAACTCCCCTTGGCCTCTCTGACCTTAACCGCAGTGCTGATCAGCCTATCACCCACACAACTAAAAGGTGGGGAGGGGGCTGTTTGAATTGGGGCTGATTCATGGTCTTAGTCAGTGGCAGGCATGTTTGGTGGAAGTAAAGCGTAAATAAAGCTCTGGCCTTTGAAGAAGGTGATTTAGCAGACCTCTCAGACCTTCACCCTCAGTGAGCAGAGCTGTGCTTCTGGCCCACCTTCTCCTCTCTTGGCATCAGGTGCAGTGACTGATGTGGGCCTTGCTTTTGATGCTCCTCTGAAGCTCTCTTTGCTATCTTTTCAATTCACTGTTCATCCCTGCAAACCGACTTGCAGTAGCACATCAAACCGGTGTTCTGCCAGTCCACATCACCAACCCATAACATAAAGTACCTGCTGTTAATTGTTTCCATAAGGACGTGCAGCCATTGGAGGAAATAAATCTTTTTAAGGGTTTCAAACAAAACCATGACCTTATTTATTTTGGCTGTTCTCCTCCCCCCTCACCCCAGAGATGTTCAACAAGTTCCTTTTGCCGAGCGGACATATGGATTGCTTTAGACGGACTAAACATTTTGTTTGAGTGCTTCAGACACAGCTTTTGATGCTATGCCAAGATTCCTCACGCTGTTGTTTATCTTTTAGCAGCAACTCACGTCGACACCATGTGTGTTTGCAAGTAAGTCTTCAAAACAAAGGACTTCACTGTCGTAATCAGCGTCCCTACTTGGTTGTAGTTCAGTGTGGAACCAACACTAAAATTTAGAAACTGTGCACAACAACACAGAAAGAATTTGTCACTTACTTGTTTTCTTTGTGTCCACTTAGTATTGTCATTATTAAATTGCTGATGCAGAAAAAATAAAAATCAGTTGAAGGCCTCCTTTCTTGAGGACATAATTATAATCGGTAATAAGAAGCATGTCTGCCAGTAGCAGAAAAAAAAAAATTGTGTCAAAGTCAACTTTCCTCGTTTATGCAGAGGGCTGCATTCATGCTATGTCTGATGGGAAAATACCACTGGGATGATTACAGTGAATCATCAAGAAAGAGGTTTTCAGTCCAGTACAAGATTAAAGTAAAGCCACAAATCTTTTAATTTCTCTGTTGTGCTCTGCTGTCAATTTCATAAACAAAACATGTATTTCTTCAGAAAGTTTTTTTTTTTTACGACTGTCATAGTCTACAACAAGGATAATATCTACCATTTGGACAAAGGGAGTTGTAAAATCTGTGATTCCCAGGGCACCTCCCCAGCATGGCACAAATCCTCCTGGGGTTTTCAGGGAAAGGGAATGGTCAGTTTCCTGGTCACCATGTGTTGGACACTGCCACCCATAGGCTGTCAGTCAAACTTGGGGCCGGGAACGGAACATAAAGAAAAGAAAAATAGGTCTCCTGTCCCTGGGATCCTAACCTTCAACCCTTTTCCCACAATCCTTGTCCTGAGCAGCAGAGGTGTGGTAGCAGAGGGTGGGGCAATGACACAGTGACATCATTTAGGTCACCTGTCTCGGACTGAGAGCCGTCTCCTCCTCGCATGTTCTCCCGCTCGCTCTTAAGAATGGAGCAGGGGATGGGCTCGAGAAATGGCGGAAAATTGGCGACCACAGAGAAGACTTGCGAGGCATCCCAGCATGCGAAGCAGAGATTGGAAACTGAGCTGTTGTAATTACAGGCTGTGGAATAGATGTGGTACCCATTAACCAAAATTGTTGAATCAACAAAAATTGCTCAAGGTTTTTTTTTTTTTTTTTTTTTTTTTTGTGCCATGGCGGTGTCCAAAAAATGTTTCAAACTCTTAGCCCTTCCATTGCTTGCTATGTTCCAATACCTACAGCAATGATCTGGCAAAATTCTTGTCTGTGTGCATGAAGGCGTTTTTTTTTTTTTTTTCCACCTTTATGTTTCTTCTTCAGGCTCAAAATGACCGTGACATACCCACAACACATGCAGACAGAAACCGTTTTTTTTACCTCCACATCCACTCAACTCTGTCATGTAGAATTCCAACACTCACATTTTACCGTCATGGTTTAGTATAAAACTAGTGTTTCCCAAATAAGCCACCGGGGTCATGTACACAGCCTCTGAGGTGGACCCACAATCAAAAGCAATAACAGATCAGTTTTGATATGTAATTATATATTTGTGTAGCTAAAAATCAGCTGAAACCTGAAGCCCCCATTCAAAGTTTCTGACCACATAAAAGTGAGTAAAATTATTCATATTCACCATTAAAACATTCTTTGCTTTGTCATTTTTAAATTTGCATATTGGAATAAAGAAAAAAATGTATTCTGTTTCATATTTGATGATTATTGAATACCCTCACTCCCATTGATCCTGATCAAGTACTGGATCAGAGTCCATCTGAACATTTTTTGTAAAACTGATAGAGGATCTGTAATCTAAATGGGTCATCTCATTCCAATCTTTTACTTCATCTTGAGTGTCCCGATACAACGTTAACCTCCGATACGATACCGATATTGTAGCCTTCAGTATTGGCTGATACCGATATTCAATATTGGCACAAAACTGTGCATGACAAGTTTCACTCAGCTACAATGTCTTTTTCGGACATCAACAAAAAATACTGCCACACAGCCGACATCACTCCTGCTCCTTGCTACTTTGTTTGTACTTTGTTTGTACCTTAGTACACACTGTCGTTGTGATCACGATGCCTTTGCATGCAGGATCCGGGTGCTGCTAGCTGGAGGTGCTGGAGTGGAGTCTGGAATGGACTGCTTGTATCGGAGTGCTGATATCGGAGATTTTAGATGCAGGCTGATGTAATCCAGTATTTGTTTTTTGGCTGATATCAGACTGATATCTGCTATCGACATTGTATCAGGACAGCCCTAAGCTGAATGCAAATGCATGACTTAGCATCAGCAACTATACAAGGATCAGATTAGGACTTGGTATTGGCAGATTTTACAATATTGTGTAGAGATTGTGTTAAAAAAAAAGAAAAAGAAGAAGACCAGGACTTCTTTATTAACAGATGTGAACAAACAGGATCCCAAACTTTAAATATTGGATGTCTTTCATTTCTCACTTTTATCCCCTCTCCTGAAATTGCAGTATATGTATTTTACTGAACTAGGTATGCCATCGCAGTTGTGGTGTTACTTGATATGAAAGAAGGCTGTGCCAGGTCATAACAAAGTGCCAAAGTGGTGTAAATAATCCAGTCCTCACTTCTGAGGGTTCCTCACTCTTGAGGTCTCCCTCGAGCGCTAATTAAAAAAGAATCACGACAAGAGAGGATCAGACCCACTGCCAGGTTTTTCTGGATCATTAGTTGGAGAAAGGAGGAGAGAGAGGAGTGGTTTGGAATTGCTTCTTGTTTAATAAAGTGCTGTGTGACTCTCAGGGCTACCAACTTCCATATGTTCCTTTGAGCCCAGAGTGTTCTTTATCTTGGAAGGGGGGGAAAAAAAAGTCTGGAGTGAGGGGAGGTGGGTGTGGGGATGGCAGGAGTGCACAAGTGCAAAAATCCACATTCAAAACCAGTCAAGTGTTTTTCTCTCCCTTCCTTTTTTCATATTGGATGAGGAAGTATCCCACATGCTTGTAATTTAGGCTGATCTAAGTATCTCACTTAGCATCAAGTTCTGGTGAAATTCATAGTATGCAAAGTGACGCAGTTCTTTTTATTTATTTATTTATCTGCAGTCAACATAAAAAGGGAATAGTGGGTTGACCTTTTCCTGCTCTGAATCTGATAACTTGACGCTGCATTTTAATAATTTCCTCAGGTTGGCTGTTAACCATCCTGATAATACAACAAATACCCACTTCCACAAATGTGAGCAGTTAAGGAAGTATTAAGAAATAAGTTACATTCTTGTGTTTAAAGTTGCTGCTGAAGTGAACATATTTGAAGATGTCCCATTGGATTTACCTCAGAGAGGCTAAGATATTGCATGTCAGTGGTGGCTGCAGAGTCTCTGCAGGTCCCTGTCCCAGTGTGATGGATAAGCGGATTTCATATGGTGGCAGTGTCAGAAGAGGCCCCAATTTACAGCCCCTTCGACATGAGTCATTCGGAGCCTTCAGTGGCTTTGGTTAGGAGTAAAGGAGAGGAAGCCCCACTCAATCAAATGCCAGCCCATAAATAAAATCCGCTGTGGCAAGGCAGTGCACTTTTAACAGAGCAGCAGCCTCCTGTTAAGGTTTTCACTTACTACTAGGAGAAGGAGGAGGAGGGCTGGCGGGAGTAAAACATTTGGAAAAGTTGCAGAAGCGGGAGTAATGCTGTCTAATTCAGATTGATGAGAATCTAATCCACCTTAAGGTCACAGCAACATCAAAACGAAGCGGAAAGCAATTTTCGGTTGATGTAAGTTGGGCTGGTGCAGCGTTAAATGCGTGCCGTGCCGGCAGGGAGACAGGCGTTTGGGTTTGGGGGAGTGTGCCATTTTCCCCACTTGGTTAGGGGATGACTCACCACTTTATCTCAGCCACTGAGCTCATGCCAGCTCCCAAACATTGACTCATAGAGTGTGTGTCCATCTCTTGTTGGATATGGCCACTAACTATCCTCAGTTATGTGTTGGTAGGCTTCTTTTCAGTCAAATGTTCCGGTAATGACACACATAAACTCCAGAAATTTCAATTCACTGTCCAAAGTGTCTTTTCTCCTTTATTTTGATTGCTCTCGTAACAAATTGAAGGCCAAGATGATTCAGTCAGACGTGGTAAAACTCAGATTGTGATACACTTGGAAGACATGTAGCGACTCACTTTTGAATCACAACTCTTGCACCCCTCACTTGCCTTTAGACAAATACTCCAGGAGCTGAGTTTCTAATCCTGTTTACTCTCTGCTCCACAGGCTGCAAGGAAGCGCAAGATCTCCATCCTAAAGGCTCAGGGGAAGAGCACCGAAGCTATCCGGGAACTCAATGAGTATCTGGAGCAGTGAGTATTTCTATCAAAGAGGAAAGGTTCTGACATCCTGTCCAAACTAAGTTTACTTTTAGTACTATGCCTTGGATAATTTTCATCAGTGTATTTTAGATAATGGTCTCGTTTCTTGACTTTGATTCAGCTGATTAAAAAAAACAAGACTTGAAATGCTGAAGGTAAAGTAACTGTTTGTGTTTGCAGGTTTGTCGGGGACCAAGAAGCATGGCATGAATTGTCAGAGCTCTACATCAACGAACATGAGTAAATATATTTCTAACATTTAAGCAAATTAGAAAAAGGCACTGTTTGAATTTGGTGCCTCACAGCATTATTTTAAGACCCACTCCGATGAAAATCATGTTTTTTCTTGTTTTCTACATGTTCATAGGCATTTTTTCTGATGCTACAGGACATATCATAAGAAAAATAAGTGCGTAATTGCATTTCAGGGTATTTCTGCAACTCCCTGTGACTCAGTGAGATTTCCTACATCACAACTGCAAGCTCCGCCCCCCAGAGCCCCACTATGCAGGCCAGACCTGGTGAAATAGAGAGGACAATTGCCTAACAAGCGTGTGCATTAGCAGATTGCGATCCTCGAAAAAAAGCCAAATATGATATTAACTTTCATCATGTCCCTAAAGACATTAGTGTCCGAGAGCTGAATAGCTTCTATGTTACCTGCTACTTCTACTACATCGGCAATGTTAGGCTACATGCTAGCGTGAAGAAGAGACAGCCCGCGACTCAGAGGCGAATTGCTAATGAGCTCCTGGAAAAGCTCTTGAAAATGACACAGGTAACATGATTTTGGCTGAAAACCTCATAATCACAATTTCACAACCACTGAGGAGGCTTTAAGTAGATAAAAAAAAATAAATGATTTGAGTGGGACTGTAAAAAAGATGAGGTTTTGTTTCAGAGTTGATTTATTTGCAGTGTCCTGATGTTAAAAAAACACTTGTCTTACATTTGATGGATTATCTCATAAGAACAGTGAAGCGAATTTGAAAGGCATCCAAGATGAGGGAGAAATGTTAGATATGTCAGATAGAAAGACGGGAGTTGGGAAGAGAAAGGGGTGGACAGTTTGGAAATGCAGTAAGTGAGCCTATTTTTTTTTTTTACTGGTTGTCTGGCAAGTGTCAGTCGGTACAGCTTCACCCTGTCTGCCTCTTTCAGAACAGCTAGTGTGAGTGTAAATTCACTAAACAGACAAAAAATCCAAATGATTCAGTCCATCATGGACCTTCCTCAGTGTAAAGTTAGGCGTGTAGTATGGACATCACTTCATGTGGTTCCTCAACAAATTCAACCAATTCTAAAACCAGGCTTAGCTGAGTACATCTGAAACGATTAAAAACACAGGATGTTGCACCATTGTAAGGATGAAATTCAGCATTATACTCCTGATATTAATACAAGTAAAGGTCCAAACACTGAGTATGGGATGCACTACCACAAGATGACAGTAATAAGGAATCACAGAGAACAGGACATGCCTGATATTTAATTCTTGCTCATAGGACGTAGTGACTTGTGATAGAAAACATTAGCTTGAAGTTTTTCCCTCGGTTGAACAAAGCTGCATGTGAGACTGATGGCTTGATCTCCAGAAAGCGGTTGGATGCTCACAATGGAGGTGGCGAGATGCCTAACTCAGCCAGGGGTCTGAATGGAGCACTGTCAATGTTTGTCACCTAAGAGTTGTTTAATAGGATTTCAGCCTTAAGCCTCCCTCTCCTACGTATGAGAGCAGAATGATTCTCTGGCTTCCCACTGATATCTCAGTCGCCAAGGTGAATTACCAGACAGACAAGGGTGGTGTTAGAAAAAAAACAATATTGTTTGTGTCACCTTTTATCCCTTCTTAATTGTCTGGAGCTCAGGAGTTAGTGAAGCAGTGTGTGCAGTTTACCCATGGTGTGCACGTTTGTGTGTGTGCGTGCACATGGGCACAGAGACTTTAAGGCAGCTTGGTTGCTCTGGTAGGAGAGCAGCAGCAGCAGGAATGTGTGGCGCGGTGAGAAGGCTACTTATTGGATATTTTGTCTTTTTGTCTGGGAGGCTTTATTGCTGTCGTAGCCAGAGGAAATCCAGGGGTGAGCGGATTATCTCCCAGCTTATCCCAACACTTCTAATATCAGACCATTCACTCCCACAGCCTCTTATCTACAGGCGTGTCAATTTCTTTTCTTTGTTTTCTTTATTTTGGGTTACAAACTCCCTGTTTCCCCTCCTACTCCTCTTCCGGATGGCCCGGCATTATCGCCACTCTTTTCCAGAGAGTATGTAGCAAAGGGGCGCAGGGAGAGAGAGAACACTTGCCGTGAAATTCCCAGGAGAAGGTGGTGGCACTTCTCTCCTCTTCCCCCCCAGCCAGAGAAAACAGAGGGTGATGGAGAAGCGAGGAAGACAAATAAACTCTCCTCCCCTCACTGCACAACACCCTGGGAGCTAAAAATAAACAAAGCCGGGTGTCTGTGTACTGCAGTTGCGAGGGCTGCAGCAGGCTTCAATGTTAACACATTAAAAAGGTAATTAATAGCCTCTGAGTTGACACTGTTTAAACAATCCTCATGCTCGTTTTGTTTAGACAAGAGATTATTTTGCCTGTTTTGCAAGCGTTGCACAAAGCCGCTGAAGGAATCTGTTGTTGGCCCTCAGATTCAGCTTATGAGACTCTTACAAAATACTGGAGCAGTCATCCAGAATTACAGGATAAATAGTAATAATTTTTTCAAACATACTCTGCACAGTCTGAATCCATTTCTGTCTCACTTGCAGTCAGAATGTGGTATGAAAATGGGGGGAAAGCCACTGCTGATGGTTTTACTGACTTCCAAAAGAAACAGCTCTTACAGACTCGAGCTTGCTCATGTCTGCAGCCTCACTCAAGCACTGTGGTGAATAGTCATCTTAGGAGCTGAGCTGCAGCTTTCGGACAGAGTGGAGAGGAGCTCAATGATGATGGTGGGGTTAGTTCAGATAGAGGAAGAGTGGAAGAGGTAAGGGTCTGGCTCCAGTACAAGATTCTGGTTGATGGCTGATGAAGCAGGATCTGTTGCAGGCCACGGCCACTGCACGAGCACATCTGAAAGTCTTTATACAGAGGAAGTGGTAATTGTAAGCAGCCCCCCAACCTTCCAAGCCCTCTGATCTCCCCCTCAACACAGCCCCTTCCCCCTGTTTATTTCTTTCTTTGTGTCCCCATCGTTCTTTAACCTCTGTTAATCTTTAGATGGAATAATCTTCATGTTGCATTCACATTCTTAAAAACTTTGCACAGCACTTCCCTCTTTTTTTTTTGTCACGTGAGCCTCTCACATTCACACATGCCCTGCACTCCTGCACTCCTCCTTTTCATTGTTTAAGTGAGGTGCATGTGTGAATGCAAACAAATGATTTATTTCTCTAAGCCTTGATGCAGACTTTTTCCTGCCAGCCCACTGATGAAAGTCCTAAAGGAGTTGGGCTGACAGAGTATTTCATAACGTAAGAGTGTGTCTGGTATGGATAGTAGCTTTGTCACATGGGCACAAATGATCGGAATAAAGGCCCGATCAGAATTTAAAAGCGCCATAGAAAATGTTGATCAGAAAATTTGTTTCATTACTCCGAAACGCCTCCATTTAAATACTTATTTCGATCGTGACTCTCTACCTGACTCGATCTTCACTCTTTAGCCTTTGGTTTATTTCGCTTCTGTTGGTTTGTTGACAGCACAGGCGTAAATACAACTCTTCTTCTTCTGTGGTTGTTTTAGCAAAATCATACAGCTCTGCACATGTCTAAATGCTTCTAATCTGAATTAAACTTGGTGCATGTATAGGCATGTCATGATCGGATTATTTGATTTTGCACCCATATCAACAGTGGAATCAGATTTTCTGATCCCTCAAATTTTTAATCAGATTAAAAAAATTTGTCAATGTAAACATGGCTAATATCCCACTATAGGGTGCAGGCAGTGTCCATTTTGAAAGGACATTTGAATTTAGTCTTTTTTGGTTTATTTTGTCAATGAAACTCTGTTTTCTTTTGATTCTCATTTTAGTGATTGTTTACAACAAGATGTCACATGTCAGCAACTCAAATTCCCTTTTTGTTACACAGAGCCACATTTAACTGATATATCTGTGTAAATGTAAATGTAAATGCGGATTGACTCTGGGTCATGAGTCCAAAGAAATCATATATCACACGTTAGAGGAAGTAGGTAGATTTGTAAGTATAAGGTAGCTCAGCTCTGTTCAATTCAACAAGTTATCCAGTCAAGTTGCGATGGCTTGTTTAAAAATTTGCTTTAAACCCTGGGCTGTAAATGTGAAAATGATCATAACGCTGAAGTTACTATTTCTAAAAGATGACTCAAGCTGTGGTCTTTTTGCATTTTCTTAAAACTATTAAAAAATCTTCAAAGAATGACCTTAACTTTAAAGTTACGACAGAGATAGACAGTTCATGAAGCCCCGTTTTGGTAGATTTCTGTTTGCGTTGGCCTCTATTTTGCTAGGTGTACAGCTGTTTTATGGCTTTGTGTTCGATGATCTACTGTATTTTCACTCATCTCGGTCTGGATCTGTGAAGGGGAAACTGTGTTTTAGGACTGGAGTGGCAGCAGATTAGTGTGAGGTCAACAGCTCAGCAGTCTGCTGCTGAGAAGTGATCTCATCTGAGTATAGGCAGAGTGTGCCAGCTTTTACTGTAGTGCTGACCTCAGGAAGGTAGTTAACTACACATTAAAGACTGAAAAAACACAGATTGGGATTGATCCTTAAAGTCCCCAAAGGAGGGAAAACAACCACAGGAGATGGGCTTTTACCTTTGCCAGCTGTCTTTGCTGAGTAACCGTCTCTGTAAGCTCATAAATAAACTTTATTTCATGCAATAATCTCAACAGATCTCCGTAAACCGACCGTGTAATCGCGAGTCAGCTGACCCACAACCTGTTGAGTTTTCAATCCTGTTTTCAACCTGTGAATTTATCGGGCATGGATGTTGTGCTTCACAGTTGAACAAGCTAAATGATGACACGACCACAGCTGTATCAATCTCCCGACTGTTTTCTTTGTCGTTTCCACAGCTATGGAAAAGCGGCGTTTTGTCTGGAGGAGCTGATGATGACCAATCCTCACAATCACTTGTACTGTGAGCAGTACGCTGAGGTAGGTACCCGCCTGGACGTCCGTCGTCAAGCATGGGGTACACGCTGTGGAACAAATGTTCGCCCTCTGTGAATGGTGCCTCTCTGTTACACCGAGAGACACCGACACACACCGAACGTCATTGGGAATACAGGCTCATGAAAGGAGATGTGTGTTTAGACAAGGTTGTCATGTACTGCTTATTCAGATGTCATGCTGTCATTGCCTGAGCTGCCCTTTAGCAAAAACTCATTGGCCTCATTTAATGCCTCCTCTCACAGGTGAAATACACCCAGGGGGGGCTGGAAAACCTGGAGCTGTCCAGAAAGTATTTTGCCCAGGCGCTGCGGCTGAACAACCGAAACATGAGGGCATTGTTTGGTCTGTACATGGTGAGTACGGCTCTGCATGGAGAGAAAGTAGGAGAGGGAGAGAGGGAAAGGAAAAGAGAGGAAAAAAAGAGGAACCTTTTTTGTAACCCTGTGGTTTGTCAAGGTTGAAGCTGGCCACTGCCTGTGTCAAGGAAGACTGTAGAGTGTGTACGTGTTTGCGAGTGTGTACACGAGTGTGTACACGAGTGTGTGTGAGGGGGTGCTTTTTTGGGGGAGAGGAGAAGGGGCTCTCAGACAGGTCAGCTCACTGCTGACTCAGACGGTGAACTCCAGCTTTGGAAAAGTCCGCCCCTAAGGAGCTCTTTATTTTTGGTAATAATAGCCCTTTGGTGAAGTTTTTTCATGTTTATGACTTGAACAAATAAAGAAGTCATGGAGTGAAAAAGAGGAAAGCAGGAGAAAGAGAGCAGCACAACTGCTGCAAGCATTTTGTCACCGGCAAACGATCCGACCAGGTGCCAGTTTGATTGTTGCCCCGGCCCAGCAGGCCTTTCATCTGCATATTTGTTTAAACAGGATGTTGTCTGCTAGTGCCAATGCATCATATGTAAGTGAGACTTGACATAAAAACACAAACGAAGCAGTGTAGGGAACGAAACGAAGAGAGGGGAAGCAGGTCCAACACAGAGAGCCCCAGTGTTTTCCTGTGTGCTGCGCTGGGATCCTTCAGGTAGTCCAAACACCTCTGAGCAGCCCTGAGAACGCTCCAAGGTGTACGCGGCAGAGTACAGGACGAGCAGGGCAGGGTCAGACCAAGACATCGGCTTCTGTTAATGCTCAGGTTCGTCTGGAGACAAAGCAGGCCCTGTGCTGTTTCCTGACAAGTCATCCGCTGACACCCGGGTCTTTAAGGGAGACTTCAGGTGGGAGTTTATTCTTTATCACTCACAGATCTGGTCTCTGGGGTCTGTTTTGCAGATTTTCAAGCTGATCCCCCTGGTCCAGATCTTGACAGGTGCAAGAAGTTCAGTCAAAGGGCAGGAAACTTTCACCATTATATGCCATCTGAGTCAGTCCAGTGGAAGACCTAGTAGCACTGACCACAGTTGGGTTGTGGGTTCGTTACTCACAACACTTGCGTGGGGATTCCCCTCCATAACTGGGCACACAGTAATTCAGGGATAGCCTGCACGGGCTGTCATAACCTAAATTAAGGTTTTTTTCCTCAGTTAAAGAAGAAGTAAAGAAAATGCTTACTAAATAAAGCAGAAGCCAAACCATGTGATAGAAAAAACAGGGTCAGGTTGATTGGTGTGTAGTTAAAGTTTCAGCACACTGGTGGGGAGGGCTTTGAAGTGCAGGCAGGGTAAGCCCTCTGGGGTTTGCTGTGTGGAGATGATGGCAGGAACATGGGAAAGACATGGGATTTGTGGTTCGGAGGGGAGCTGTCGGGGCAGGCAAAGACTGTGATTCACACAGCGCTCCGTTCACTGCGCCGGCTTCTTTTTTCTCAAAGACATACAAGGTCTTTTCATCGCTGGGAATCGATGGTGTTGGAGAAATTAGGCCCCGTTAAGTGACAATTTACGTATGAAGCATTAAAACACTCACTTTTTCCTCCCTATAAATGATTTCTCCTGTGTCATCAGGCCAAGGTCTGTTTTTTCTCTTCATTCTGCCACAATGACTAGTGCAGTGGTAGATGGTAAGAGTGGTTGCACATTCATCTCAATTACGCTTTTATTGCTGTTTCACCAAGTTTTGATATAAGAACACCCCTTCCCTTGTGCTCTCCTTCTCTTCTTTCCGTTTTCTGTTTTTTTTTCTCTCTAGTCTGCGAGCCACATTGCTGCCAGTCCAAAAGTTAGTGCCAAGGTGAAGAAGGACAACATGAAGTATGCTGCATGGGCTGCTACACAGATAAATAGAGCCTATAAGGTGAGTTGTGTAGATTTCTATTCTGTCTCTTACTTTTGGTGACTTTGTCTTCCACTGAACAACGCCTTTACTTTTTCCCATATCTCTGTTTATTCAAAATGACAATGGAAACCGCATATCATGTTATCTTCATACTCTTCTGTTGTGTTTAAGCTTTCATTGTGTATTTGCTCACAATATCCAGATCACCAGAAATCCCCTCATTTGCATACTTTGTGCGAAATATCCACCACCAAATGACCCCTGAATGCGCAGTTCTCCTGAAAGATGCTTTCCACTTGCAGCATCGTAATAACAACCCCAGTGTCTTTCACCGTGTCTGGGTACATTTACTTTTAATGTGTTGACTCAAGGCCGCAATGTCTGCTAAGACTTTACTCCACACCCTGGCTTCTCAGATGAGCTTCTGGGGGAGCCGCAAGCTGCTTCTCGGTAGACAAGAATCACGCTAGACTGTAGCACATGGATGTCATGTGCGGTGGTTCTCTCACCTCCATTTACACACGTGAGATCCTAGTTTTAGATTTCATTTCTTTCCTCTATTTAGATCATTTAAAGTTGTCCATTTGATTAAAACACACAGCAAATCCAGATCATTTTAGAATAACTAAATAACTGTTTGGCCCTGAGGGTCGCTAAATTCATGTAGTTAATCTGCAGTATGATCAGAATTCACAGTATAACCCCAATTCACATCTGTACTGTGAATGTGGGAATATAAGTATCTCCAGTATATGAGATGAGACGTCCTAGTCTGGAAAAAGTTCGAACTGTCTTCCTCTATGGAGACTTTTATCGCTATCAAAAGTCCACAATTTGCCGTAGGGCTGGGCGATATGGCCTCAAATCAATATCATGATATATTAAGTAGTTCACCTCAGTAACGATAAATGGACCATAACTAATTAACCCCCCCCCCCCACATTAACTTTGTTTACTTCAGCTATCGCTCCAACTTTTGAACCGTCCTTCATCTCCTCACCTGTCTTTCCCTCTTTGTTACGCACTGGATGGAGTGGAGTCATGTGAGTCACGCTGTCCTCTGATGTAGGACAGTGTCTTAAAGGGACATGAGACCGTAGCATACCTACACACATCGAAACCAACTTTTATTTATTTATTTTTTTGACACTAAATATCATGACATGGGCAAAATGACGTCAGTTATTGTTGTAAATTTCGGTATCAGTAAATTTTCGGTTTATCGCCCAGCCCTAATTTGCAGCTTTAATATGACTGCAAAGCTCTTTCCAGCTCTGTGTGTGTTTGCTTTAGACCCCCCCTCCTTTGACCAGTTCACTGAGGCTGGTGTCACCCTCCTACGCTGGTTCATTGTCGTATTAAATTGAGAATTATTTTTTAATCAAACTAGCACTCTGTGAAATTTTTTATGTACACTTTCCTCTGAGTCAAGTGCCACATTTAGAAAAAAAAAAAAAAAGTACCTCTCTCTGCATTTTATACTTACATATATTTGACGCATTGGTGTTCAGGGTGCAGCTCGCTCATTAGATGACGAAAAAACAAAAATTGTAAAAAAGCATCTTTAAAACTTCAGTTTAAGATAAATCTTGCTATTAGAGAGAGAGGGGCAGCCAAACATGGAGGTTAAGAACTGAGGTGTATGAACGTTCATTCTCAAAAACTAGAATTTCCACATACATATAAAATAGGGAAGGGTAAAGTCGAGGGGCTTTTCAGATGGTATTATTGTAATTGTTTATGCCGTTGTCACAGCAACCCAAACATACAGGCATATTTAAAAGCCATCTTCTTTGCCATGTGTAGCTTATTTGGGCAGCAACACTTGAACATGTAATAAGCGGTTTCTTGCTCCACATGTGTGGGTCCTGTTGAGAGAGCAGGGGGCTCCCCACTGAGCCTCTAAAGACCTCGTCTCACCACACACTCGGCTCTCCTCGCCTTACAGATATATTTCACATGTCAAGCACTCAGACGCGTATGACAGCTCTGTTGGAAAATGTGCATGTGAGTCACGTCACTGAACACTGTTTTTTTTTTGTGTGTGTCTATGTGTCACTTACATGTTATGGAAGAGCTCAGAGTGTTTTTTGATCCTCTTTAGGTCAGAATTTATACCGAAAGAACCAAGATGACCGAAGAGGGGCGGGTTGTTTTGTTTAGGTCAACACATGGTTTCTATGCAGATATAGATCTCCTTAAAATATAGAAAAATGTCCAGGTGGGCTGGTTAACAAAATCAATCAATCAAACATCTTGATTGATGTTTGGTCCACGCTGCTCAACACTTTGATCAGGTTGCTGGCTGACCTCACCTCACTGTCTTTGAAAGCCTTTGATCCCAGCAGGGGACAAGATGGATATCTAAGTTTTATCATAAATCTGAGGGTTTCAAAAATGAAGAGACACAGAAAATAATATCTGGAGGGAACTCGGCAGTGTCTAAGCAGGGCAGCTGATGTCGATTTGAGGATGAGCTCAATGTGTTGACAGTGTGATTACAAGTTTGACTGAGATGACAACAGTTCTTGTCAAGACCCTGTTTCATTCTGTCAACTATCAGATATAATGTCATCTTTATCAGTATGTATTTACATGACAACGCGATTCATTTTTAGCGTTGTCTAAAATGGACAGGTCATACACAAACATATTCACCACGTTTTCAAACAGACCCTTTCTAAGAGCACCGTGGTACTGGTCACAGGAATGTAACAGTAGCAGAACCATGAGAGGAGGACGTTTTCTCCGCTTAAATATTTTCTTGTTGTCAAGGAGGTGTGGGAGAGGGAGAGGGTTTTACCCACAGACAGACACACATCTGTGTTTGATGTCGGCTGTAATGAATCAAAGAGACAGCTCTGTGTTTCCCAAACGCTGCCTTAAATATGACTGAACACTTCTGTAAATTCTCGATACTAACTGAAAGTAATATATCCTTACTGGATCATACAGATGATTCTGGTCATTTGACACAAAACTACACATTAAAACTACGTATTGTTAAGAAGAGTCACAGATTGAATGTATAAAACACTGCACTCAAACTCATAACTGCTTCGATATTGAGGTAGTTGAAAACAAACTGAGGTGGAGTAATTTATCCTTGATGTAAATTGGTGCTAGATGTTTATCACATCAGGTTCCATCTAAAAGAAAAAGACACAAAATCAGTGGAAGAGTAAATAGAAAATGATGTAGTAAAAATGTAAACTTGCACATAAACATTGAAGATAAAAATCTGATGTCAAAAGTCTCTTGGGGATGGACGCCCACACCCACTATTATACACGGCCCCTGTGCTGGAGGGGTTATAAGCAAAATCTGAGTTAGATTACAGGAGTGCAGCTGTTACAGTAAAGGCCATGTTGTGCTGGTTTGGAGGAAAATAGTTTCAGCTGAGTTGTTATCATGTCTTCTTAAAGGCCAGCGAACAAAGCATGTGTGTTCGGAAAGTTTTGACTGTAAGCAGTTTGACCTCTGCGGACGATAATGAGACACCTCAGTCAGTCACACGTTTGTCCTCCAGGGAACACGAAGAGTGTCTCAGCAGCAGCCCTCTGTATCTGCTCTGTCATCCTGGTAAAAGTGAGGTTTTATTACGATTTCATTTAGGCTGTGCGTGTGCGCACGGGCACCACTCACATGTTCACTTGTCGATGTTTTTCATGTTGCTGTGTGAGACGAGTTAAACGACAAGCCGCCTCCTTTAGTTTCTCACTCCCCACCTCCGCTTAAATGACTTCTGAGATCTTTAAGAGGGAGCAGCGGTGTTGGCCTCCGCTCCGTCAGACAGCTGCAGGCTGCAGCGGGCTTGTGCGCGCTGATTGATGGCCCCTTTAAAGCGTTGCTCGTGTCAGTCGTCCACTTTTATTAGACTTCAGTACCTGGTGATTGTCATACCTCAGTGAGTGAAAAAGGTGGGCAGGTGAGTGCAAGTGGGAGCAGACGTCAGCAAGAGGTCACAACAGACTTAAAAAAAAAAAAGTAATTACCTCAGTGTGGTCGGTCGACATGTAAAAGACCTGGAGATGTGTGGGATATAGGTGCAGATGGGGGGCTTCAAAGCAGCGCAGCATGGCCTGCCCTCCTGCCCTTACTCTCCAAACAGATTCTCTGATTAGCTCTTCTGTCACGGACCACAGGCTCCCGCTGCGTCACGACTCTATTATCAGAAGCTCTAAATAGATGTGGATCTGTCTGGTCTGCTCCTGCTGTTGTAGAACAGGGCAGGAGTTAATGTGGTGGTCTCACCTCAGGCGGAGGAGATAATTGACTACTGGGCCCGGGGTAATGGCGCATTAGGCAGCAAGGCAATGAAATGCACTGATCATTATAGCTTCCCCAACCACATACACACACACACAGACGCACACGCACACACACACCCTAAATCTAGAAGAATGAGTCACACTTGGAAATTACGTAGCCAATTGAACACCTTAGCCAACTTCCTTCTCCTAGTTAGAGTTTGGCTAAAGAGGAAGGAAAATAGTTTTTGCCATGGAAATAGAGTTAGGGCAACAATTAGGCTTCAGTTAGTTCCTGTTAGTCGGAGCTTGAGCAAGGCCAAAAGTTGAACTCTTCACAGCGCTACAAGCATGGCTTTATGTCGAACATTAAGTTGAGCGTAGTCTGTTTTCTGTTATTCCATATGTAGCTTAAATGTAGACGAAGGGCTTTGTGTGTTTTGAGAGAAAGCCAAGATGGTCTTGGTGAGAGTACAAAACTAACATATCTGCGGCCAGCTGTTTGGGTTACAATTATTGAAATAGTGTTCGCAGTGTAGGTGTGCGCACGGTCTTGTTTGTGTGCACACTCTGGAGGTTTATCTCTCCCTGAGGATGCAGGTGCAGAATGTGCTCTTTAGTCCAGAGGAGCATTAAAACTGAATCTCCCGCCTGCGTTTGGCTCATTGTGAAGGTGTTTTTCTAATGGTTTAATTTAAAGAACCTGGAAGGCGGGTTGCCTCCAGTTTGTCCCTTTGCTGTTTGTCTGTGTTTTAGTTGCTGCTGATACGTCTTCAATGCAGAACAGTTTCATTTTTTTTTCTCTCGTTGTGCTTAATTTAGATGATTAATTAGCTGCTAAAATTCTCTTTGGGATTTTACTAGTTAGCTTTTTTTAAAGGTCACTTGAGTATATTATCAGTAAAAGTTTACATTCCCAGTTCCCATTCCCAAAAGGTCTTCAAAGACCTACAAAATTTCAAATAATAGGACTTCTGGTTGCACTTCCAAGTTCCTCTTTTAGTCCTCTTGACTTGGACTTAAAGGAATATTCCGGCGTAAAATTAAGTTATGGTCAAACACACCATAACACCGAGTTAAATACAACCTTGAGAGATGAATGTTGCCAACTGCTTGCTTCTCTAGTTATACCAACTTGAGATTGAGGTTTGCGTGTGGAGACATAAACCGCTGTGTATTGCTACCGTGCGGTCGTTACTAAAGTTGGTATAACTAGAGAAGCAAGCAGTCAGCAACATTCATCTCTCGAGGAGGTGTTTAACTCAGTGTTTCGGTGTGTTTGACTCTAATTTAAATTTATGCCGGAATATCCCTTTAAGCTGTAATCTATGTGTCCCATGTAGGATCTATTGTGAAAATGCTGGTGTGCCACTGACTATTAATCCTGCGCTAAAATAGTGATAATGTGTCTTGGATACAAGACAACAAGTGCTTGCAAAAAATTAAAAAAGTAATGAGACCGTATGTGTCCAAAGAACGTTCAGGGGAACATTTTTATTGTTTTTGTCACTGCACTTAATCATCTCTCCTCCCCTGGTTTGGTCCTCTGAACTGCGGCCGGAGATGGCTGGGTTTTCAGGGATTGTTTGACTTGGCCGTCTCAGCTCCTGTGCTGTTAAATAGCTAGCACAATGACTTGTGACAAATGGTAGTTGGATGTCTTGCAGAAAACAAGTGCTTTATTCATTTGACAAAATACAGTGAAGGCCCTTTGAATAACTGTGCTCGCACCCATGCTCATCAGGACAACGTAACTTGACAAACCATAAAAAACACACACTTTTGTCCATTTATTTCTCTTGAATTCTGCACAAGAGCCCCACACATTCAAAAGATGAAGTGCACTGACCAATAAAAACGCTATCAGTCGAATGTTTATTTTTTTAATATTTTAACTTTTTTTCCCTCTGTTTTCCTTTATAGACAACATTGCCTTCCCGCAGCACAACAGACTTGCTCTCATTTTATCATACATTTCTAGTGATGTCAAAAATCCACATCAATCGCCCTATGACAGGAACTTCTAATCAGACAGTATAATTCTGTGTTACACAAGCGGTTTGCATAAAGGACTACTGCCACTAATAGTACTACTTATTTGTATCACAATATCAGTCGTTCATCTTTTGTAAGTCACAGTAATTGTTAGGAATGGGGATCACAAGTGGCCCTACGATACGATATTACTACGATACTTGGGCCACGATATGATATTATTGCGATTTTTCACATTTTGCAGTCCAGTGAGTATTGCGATACAATATATTGCGATTCATATAATTTTTTCAACTGTTCAGCTAATTTAGCATTTGTCTTTCCTTTGATGTTTGTCTTATTTACGCTATATTTTATTTTCATGTGGCACATCTTACAAATCTTATATATATTTGTTGTACTAACTTTCTCCTGCTCTATGATGTCACCTCTGCAAACCTCAGTGGACAAACAATTGATTTTGTATTTTTCCATTATCATAGATTTGACTTCATATTAGCAATTAATTTGAAAAATCGCTACTTGGTAAATCAGACGATGCGATATATCACCAGACAAAATATCGCAATACTATGCTGTATCAATTTTTATCTCCCACCCTGAGTAATCGTCAGTGCTGGTGTACTGTGACAGCCGTAGACATGCTTCAACTACAAGAAAATCTGATCGAAAAACAAAGTCTTACCTCTGGCTGAACTTCGCGTTCTGACTTTGAAATTGACTGTAAAGTTGACTTCATGATTGTCTTTGAAGGATTGGTGTCCTCCTTTTGAAATGCGGGTGAAGTGAGGTTAACTAGACTGACCCTTATTATTTCCCAACCCCTGCCTTAGGTGAGGGAAGTCGATTCTCTCCTTGGTATTTTTGGAGGGGATGCCTTTTCTGTAGCTGTTTAATTGGACACAAAAAGTGTATGTCTGTATGCGCACGCATGAGTAATGCTGGATGTGTTTGGGGATCATAATTTGCGGCACTTCCTGTGAAACCCTTTGGACACGGAGCAGAAATTAGAGAGGAGTGTTATGTACTCCTGCACTACAGGCCATGGAAATTGACTAATCATGTGGGCATCCTGTCTTGGAGCTATCATACACAAAGAGAACTAAAATGGGACGAATGCAACAGTTGAGGAAAAACCCTCCAATTGGAGGTATTATTTTACTTCTCATGACCGGTTCACCAATTCTATCCAATGACCACTGATGTCTCTCTGATTATTTTTGCTTCTGGCAAGCTTTGGGAGTGTTTTGTAGTGTTTAAGTGTGTTTGGCTCTCCACTTCCGAGCTTTAAAATGAGACCTAACAAGTTGATGTGTTTTTTTTTTCCTTCTCTTTCTCTGTTTTTCTTTGTCTCCCTCTGTGTCTCTGTATCTCTCACTCTCCCTCACTGTTATGCAGCTTGCCGGTCGCGGGACCAAGGAGAATAAATGTTCAATGAAGGCAGTGGAGGAGATGCTGGAGTCCATGCAGATCACCATGTCCTAGATGCCCTCCCCTCCTGTCCACGCCCTTTTTCCCATGTGTGTTCTAACTCGAGATCTTCGGAGCAACACGGCAGCTGGAATAGCCTTGCAATGTGACCAGAACCGGATCTGTACTGCTGTTGGTTTTTTTCTCAATCCCATCAAGTTTGGTCCTGTAATCGATTAAACTTGACGTGAACATTTGGGATTAATTTCTCTCTCTTATGTGCGAAGATTTCCCCACCCATCTGGAACCTTCAACAGCAAATTCTAAGTCCTACAGCATATTTAAACAACAACGTGTACATAGCTTCAACTCAGCTGTGGTTTTTCTCAAGCCTGGATCATACCTTCTCCCCGTCAAGTTCACCTTGAACTGATATTGCTAATTAGCACGTCCACATCAAGGCTATGACTGTATGACTAGGAAAGATAACAACAAGCTGTACAGTAGATGCTATTTATAAAGACAGTGTGGAGCCCCCACCTGTTTGCACTGAGGTCCTTAACTGTTTCTGTACTGTCTGTAAATGAAACATCTTTATCTAATAAAACTTTGTCCTTTTTCTCTGATCTGCTAAATGTGTTTATGAAAGCAAGTCCGCCCGCCAAGTAGAAAATAAGTGTTCTTCATTAGTGTAGGAACAGAGGTAGTCTGAAGGTATTTAGTATTTCCAGGCCTCTCAATGCTCATGTTGTACTCCGCAGTGTAATTCTGGAGAAGCATGAGAGACATTTGTCATGATGAAGGCAGCAGCGGGAACAGCAGGGGCATAAAAAAGCAACTCCTCTTTCTAGCTGTGGAAATGCCTTTCAATTACCCCTGACAGCAGCTGAACCAACTTCAGCACATTAAGAACACCTCTGTCATTTCAGTTTAGAGCGCTTCAGAGAGCGCTGCCAATAATTAACACGCCACAAGTTTGAGAGGAAAGAAAATTGTATTCATGAATCTTGGAACTTTTATGACAGGCAGGGAGGAAAGACGTCTCGGTGCTGTGAGAGGCTGCTTTCCTCCTCTGCTGCTCGAGCGCTCTGCCCGGTTCACAGCATTCTCTCATTGAATCCGACTTGATCCAAATGATCATCTCAACTTATCGCTCACCCGTGCAGGGTCAGCTGTTACTCCCATCTTTTTTTTGTTTATTAACTTGTGGCAATTGTCTCATAATTTTACTCTTCTGCTGATGGAAAACCTGAGTGTTGACTTTATGGTATTTTTTTGGACAGCCTTTACATTGAGAGGTCACCCGCTCATAGATCAGACAGTGGAGCCATTTCCTCAAGTTTTTATATTCTCTGGCCTTGGTCAGCGGATAAATGTGTCTGCATTTGATTTGCCTCCCTCACCAATCTGGCGGAACCAATGAAAGCCAGGGAATGTCTGAGTGTAAACGGACTTGAGTTATTTTTTTTTACAGGAAGAGGGCTGCGGTTGAATGAAGCTCCTATGAAGAGTTACAGGGTGAAAGCCGTTTGATTTAGAGGAGAGCAGTTCATTTTGTTGGGGCTTCTCATGTCAATGCCGCTGTACTTGCAAAGGTTTATTAACCTGTAAAAGGGAAATAAAGGTTATCAATCAGTTTGATGAGCCATCAGCGAGAGATTTTCATCCAGCGCCAACCATTCTGAAGCAATAGTGCCATCTGTAGTCTGGATGGAGAACTATTGATGTCTGAGCAGCAATGTGTGATAGGAAGCACTTGCAAGTGGGCTGCCACTGATTTGAGTTGTATCTTTTTGATCAAGTCTTTCTAAGCAAGAGAAAATAGTGTGTTACATAGCGTTTACTACTCCTCTCCTTTCTCCTCTTCCTTTCTAAGCTGTGCTATCCAAACATTATGTATCCTTGTACAGTCAAAAGCAGAGCTTTGGTGCTGACGTGTGACGAAGTCTGAAAAAACTACGGCATCACTTCTCACTTCAACAGTTCAAATTCCTCGCAGCCTTTTCCACCTTTGTCCCAGTATGTCAAATCTCTCCACTATCTTGCCAGCCCATACCTGGACAGCAGAGCCAGACCAAAGGGAGAGAGTCGAGGGGAGAACTTTGTAACCCCTTTAAGCCTTTGGCTCAGCTCTGTGTGTGTAGGGGATTCACTGTTAGTGCTGTCTGTAATCCTGGATTCCCCGAGAGATTAGCGTTCAGAGAGGGTTTGCTTGTCCTGCGCTGCTCTACACTGGCCAGGTTAGGAGAACAGGATGAGCTCTGGGATGATGAGCTTACACCAGGATTGAGCTGTGACTGATCAGCCTATTCATCACGAGCACAAGTCAGGACAGCACTTCACAGCTGTTGTGCCCAAGGTTTCTATTTGTAGAGAGACTGCTGTTTTAATTACTTGTACACAACTTCTTCCTCATTACAGGGAGGTATTAATACTTCATGATTATTTTAAAGGTTACAAAAAAAAGCCTCCTACGTAAATCATCCAGTAGACGCTCCATCAATTTGACTAAAAGGTCCTGGAGCCAACTAATGCACAGCTGACCTTCACTTTGAAGAGGTTTCTGATGAACGCTTGAACCACAAGAATCTTCATTAAGAAGCATTTCCACTGTGAGAGGAACAGATGTTTATGAGACGCTGTGATAAACATATTTTTAGCCCTAATATGGACTAGCAATATCTATTTGTCGAGAAAACTCACCACTTAAAGGTAGAGTGCGCAGAATTTTTAAGGTATTTAGCAGAACAGGCTGGTAGAGATGGAACATGAGTATTTGAATTGTTTATCTTGAAAAAAAAAAGCCTTTTATACATGCACTTTATAGAGTCTGTTCACAGGGAAAACAAATTAGCAAGGGACCATTTGCGGTTTTGTTTTCAGTGGGTGTCCATCTGAAATGCACCTGTTGAAAGACAAAGACAAGGAAAAGTGTAGTTATGATGTAAAATAAAGATACATTACGAAATATTTGGACCGGTTGGATGTTATTCAGTCGTAAAACTGGACAAATCGAGGCTCATACTCATGCATTATAGATGACTGTTGCTCCACTGGAGGGAAGAGTGACTAAGGGAGCGCCTTAATGTAAAATCTGACTGCTCGGTAATAATAAGTATTCCCATTTCTGCACTTAGTACCTTTAAATACCTCATAATTATTCAAGGGATCTGAATCAATTTTTAAACAGATTTCCATGATCTCCAGAGGACAAAGCCAGTGTAAACATAAACAAAATACTAAGTTTGGAGCCCAGAAGCTCACTGGTAGTAAGCAGTATAGACTCATTTGCAGCAAGAAAAGGGCACACATATCCCACAGTAATGGGATATGAATTCATACAAATAAAGAAAGAGAAGACTCCTGGTGTATAAAGAATGCTTTTCTAGAGGAGGTCTTGTTTGGTACAGTGTGGTCCTATAAACTCTGGCCTGTCATGCATTTTTACACCCAACCATACCCATACTTGGTTAGCAGGGTCGTGAGCTGAACGGCATTAGCCCTGTCAGCTAAGAAGAAGTAACTGAACTGCAACAACAGGGGACACCAGACAAGAGATTTAATCCATAGGATATTTTAAAGTGGCATGTCTGTTCACTTTTGCAGCTGTGGGACAAAAAGTAACATGCAGTGCATAGACTGTATATACTATGGACAACTTGGTCCAGCCTTCCATCATTGTATGAATTTGGAGCTGAATTGCTCTCTGTATTATTTTATCCACTTCAGGAGAGTCGCTGTGATGACGCTCAGCTCAAACAGCATATCCCCTGGGAGAGCTACGTAATCTTTATATGTCCATAGGCTGTAACAAGTGTCAATCATAGAAAACATGAACCCCCTAATAATCATTTTAAAATGGAGCTGTACAGAAAAAAAGAGGACTTGATCACAAACCAGTCTTACAGTAACTACATGTCAACATCGCAACCAGGGGTGAGAAAAACTTATGTTCTGTGTAATAAATTTCTAAAGTTCCAGTCCACAGCTCCATAGGGATTGCTGGAGGAGGCGGGAATTATACTGCAGCCTGTCACCAGAGGGTGCTGTTCTTGTGGTAGCTTGACCCAGTGAGTAGGTAGATGGCGTCTATTCTATATACAGTCTATGATGCTGTGTGTCTAGCTCTACCATTTAGAGTGTGATAAGTAGGCTGGTTTCCCAAGAAAGAGCGTGGTAAGAAAATGGTAGGAATCGGCACAGAATGATTATTTTGTTACGTTTTCCATTTCAGACAGTAAAAATGCAAATGATTATGTACCTTACTGAACTCAGTCACTCTATGGACACGCAGCTTTAGTCTACCATCTCAGAACCCATTGGCTGATATTTGGTGACAGTAGAGCCTTGAAAGGGCCTGCAAACTTTTTCGAGCTTCCAGGTAAGCCAGGGGCTAATGATATCAGACCTCCAGACTTTCTTTTCCGTGCATTAAAAGTGTTTACAGTCCAACCATCAACTTGGGGAGATTGTTGATGACATGAGGCAAAGAGTGGTTTGTTGGCTGTGCCTTTGCAGAAGACTGATGATGAAGTTTTAAATAAAAGATTCATCTTTGTCAGACTATAGCAGATGAGTTTGGAGTTTGCACCACAACTGATATTTTATGCTTTCAACAGGAACAAACAGGAGCCAGAACTATTCAAACACATGATACTGCATGACTTCCACACAGACTTCACATTTATTCACTAAATCTGCTTGTAGAGGTTAATAGAGGCAAAACAGCGAATCAAATGCAAACTGGAGCCCCCACTTTAACTATTGTGGCACATTTTTAACTTAGTCCCAAACTAACTAAATTCAAATTCAAATGATGGGGTTGAACCGAGAGGTTGATAGAAGTCTGGTCTCTCTGTTATTCTTATTCTTGTTCTCAACTAGCTGATGAATCCAAGGAATGATCCAACCTACAGAAGTACTCTTTGAGACATTAGCCATGTTAACATGAAATTTCTTAATCCGATTAAAAATTTGAGGGATCGGAAAATCTGAATTCACTGTTGATATGGGTGTAAATTCAAATAATACGATCATGACATGCGTATACTTGTATAATAAATCACCCTTCTCGTTCAGAATACAATTTCTTTCGGATTAAGCTGATAGATCAGAATTTTCCGATCGACATGTTTATATGATGCTTTTATATTCTGATCGGGCCTTTATTCAGATAGTTTGTGCCCATGTAAACACAGCTATTGGGTACTACAAGCAGGAAACACTTTAAGCTCTGGGGGTCATGAGTATATAATCTTCTTCTGTAGATTATGATGGGAGTTTATTTTCTAGTTTTTGTCTGTACACATTAAGCAGCTTTGTAGACCAGTTGAAGAGTCTTGATAAACTTATTACAGCAGACTAATAAGAAGCCCAACAAATGTGTGGACACACGTGATTTTGAGGAGGGAAATACTTGATTCTTGAAATTTTAAAAAGCAAATATTGCAAATGATACCGGAGTTTTAGGACATCCTGTTACAAGCCAGTAAAAAGGCAGCTACAAAGGTAGTAAGAAAAGGGGATCTGGGAGATCAAAGTGGATGTGCAGGTAGAGGTTGGGGGGTCAGAGGGTGATCTGTTGGTGAACAAGGCAGAGAGAGGCACCAACTACTCTAAGATGCTTAGGAACAGAGTCGTGGAAGATTCCCAAGGTGAGGGAGTGAGTGGAAAAGGAGATCAGGGCTAAAGTAAGCTCATCCATCTCTGTCCATTTTAGGGGGAGAGGCTGGAAGAGCTAAAGATGGATGAGGCATGCAGGGCTAAATCCCGTCATGTCCACTCACACAACAGGGCCTGGTGGTGAAATAGTGTTTTGGCTGCGAGCAAGGCCAGCCCGACCCACTCCCTTTTTTTCGGGAATGAAGATGACGGTTGGACCAGTTAGGATGGATTAGTCAAACAACACCTGACATGAAGAGGAGAGCTATAAGGAGATAACTGCCTTAATTCAGAACTCAATGGAAAAAAGTTAAAACTCTTTGCAACCAGTTAAGTGTTTCCATGTTTTCGATCAGCTCCATTAATCTAATGAAAATTAGATCACTATAATAAATGTACATTTTTTCGACTGTGGTGTATTTGTACAGATTTTCTTGGCTTGTCAAGTCGCATCATCTGTGTTTTCATGATGAAATTCATCTTGTGGGAGCAAGCATGCTTTCAACAAAGCAGGGGTTTTAAGGAATTCTCTTCGGAGGGTCGACCGCATCTCATTCATCAATCCTATACATCACAGCCAGGGTGTTCTGCTGTCTCAATACATACTCAGAAGGGGCTGGGCTGTTTGTGGGAAGAGGGAAGTTTGTGTTAGAAAAAAAAATAACAATCAAAGTATATGAAGCACTAAGGTCATCTGGCAAAGGGACTTTTCTTCTTGTCATTGCACAATATCTCCCTTTTGATCCTGACATATGCTTCCCCAGCAAAATTGCAACAGCATGAATGCAACTTAATTTTTTTTCTCCAAGGGCATTGTTGCTGGGAAATAATTTCCTCTCAAGGCAAGAGAACATATCTGAAAAAAGACAGAAAAAAAACATTTGTGTTTGTGTGTTTGTGTGTGTGTGTGTGTGTGTCTTTGGTAAGAGAGAGGCAGAGAATGTGTGGTTATGAAAGTGTGATAATAAATGTGCAAACATTGTGCAGGCATGCCTGTATGTCAGCTTGAGTTTGTGTTCACGTGACAAAGAGTGTGTGTGAGACTTTGCGGTGATTTCAGCAATATGAAGACCTTATGCTGCTGGAATTAAAACTATTGGCTTCAGGCGATGCTTGTACTTCTGAGCCTCTTGACCAGGAGGCTCCAGACTGCTGCAGTCTTCTTCCAGGGGATATTCTGTGGCCTCCACTGGTCGTTCTGGTTGTTGCGTTGGCTTTTTTGCTCCAGGCTCTCTGGCAGGAGCCTCAGCCATGCACATGCTGAGGCTGCATCCTGTCTGCAAACTCTGTCACAGTGTCGGGCATGTGTCAGATCAGGAAGGGGCAAGTTGCTGGCTCCAATAGACAGTTGTTCTTTCCAGCCCGAGCTTCCCAAACCGCAAATCCCCTCTCTGTGTGTTTTCTCAGCCAGAATGCATGGGCTCACCCCACACAGGGCCCAGAGCCTAATTACAAAAAGGAGGGAAAACCAGAGCTGGCTACTGATTGAGCTTCCTGGGTGAACGTTAATGACAACCGCAGAAGGATACTTTATACCCTGAGAGGGATGCAACCGAGACTGGGAATAGATGGAAGTATGGGAGGTTTGGAGTCACATAGACACATCTTTACATGGATTTATGAAGACAAACAAGCTATGACATGCTCTTTTATTACATATGCATCATGATATACCTTGTCCAAGTGCACTGACATGATACAACCAGAAACAGTAAACACTTTTAAACTCTGCTGCTGCAGTCAAAGGAGTTTAGAGGCAACGTGCCAAACCTCATTCCAACTGGGAACAATGGGACACATATTCTTCCACATTGCAGCATTCATGCGGTGTAATCACTTCCTTCTCTTGATTTCCACTACCCACATACCGCACTGTCAATGGTTGGATGTATCCAAATAAAACAGTTCCAGGTACTAGTGCTGAACTTGCATATTTATTTTCATGCTAAATGCATTTATCTGCTTTACTGCATCTCAAAGCAAACATGGTACTTTTTACTCAACTAGATTAATGTGGCAGGAGTATTTAGTATCCATGAGTTAATTTAAACAGCTAATTGATTTTGTCTACCTCATAGACTGAAGCAAGAGCAGATGGCTAGCTTTCTATGCTACATGACTCACCTAAAACTTATTGTTTCCCCCATAGACTGTATATACTATAGACAACTTGGTTCCACCTTCTGTCGTTATACGAATTTAAAGCCGAAAGGGGAGAGAAAAAATTATATTCTGTGTAATTAATTAAATTTGTCCATAGCTCCATAGGGATTGCTGGAGGAGGTGGGATTTATGACCTATACTGCCGCCTGTCACTAGAGTCTGCTTTTCTTGCGGTGGCTTCACCCAGCGAGGAGGCAGACGGCGTCCATGCTATATACAGTCTATGGTTTCCCCTCTGAAGTACTTGAATAAACAAAGTACATCATCTGAAAATTCATCTTTAAGAATGGGCATTTGGTCAACTTTGTTCCGCTTTGGCAATTTAAAGCCCTCGGCAGCAGGTACTCATATTTTCTATTGCTGCCGGATGCTGGGAATATTGAATTCCCTTCGTAGATCTATAAAGTTATTCTTATCTTATGTTATCTTATCTTATGTAATCTTATCAACCATAGTTAAGTTCTACTAGTACTCAGATTTGAAGTACATTTACTCCATTTTTGTTTAAGGCATGATTGACAATTGGAGAGATTGGTAATTATTATGAACCTTGCTTTTATGGTGATCATGGTCCTATAGTGCGATCTCCACAAAGTGAGGAGAAAAAAGAAAATCCTTTTACCCTAGCAGGTGCAGGGCTGCAAAAACATTGACCAATGGGAGCCATCCATCCCGGACCGCTCCTATTGGTCAATCTCCTGCTCCACCTCTCTATTCAGTTACTTTGCTGTATTTGACACACTTCACTCCATAGTTCCGAGGGGGGGGGGGGGGGGGGTTGCGTCTACTGTTCATTAATATTACTAGTAAGCCATGTAAGTCAGACACCAAAATAACATAAAAACAAAAGGAACATTTTGTGACTCTGGGCCCGGGGTAACAAGGTCAGGTGTTTACAAAGCTCTCCAAGGAGGTAGAAAACCATTGACTCTGTTTTTAATGCAGGAAACCTTCTGACTTGTGACTCCACATGTCCAGCAATGCGGCTTCTTTCTGCGCTCTGAAACACAACCAGTGGATGTTGACATGGAGCAGGAGCATGGAGCAGAGATGGACTGAACACAGATCTCTTGTGAGTATGGCACTACGGTATTAAGAAGTATCCAGCAGTCAGATTCCATGTCGAGACACTCTACTTCACTTGAGGCTCTAGGAGCAACTGTAGCCTTCGGGACAAAAAGCTCCTGTGAATAAGTGTGATCCATATCTGTCAAGTTTTTAGCATCAAAACAGTCTATGATTCAAAATGATGTTGTTTAGTCTTTTTTATCTACATCTTCCTCCTCTAACCAGTGCAGTTCCAGCAGCCACCCACTCAATGCAAAAATTGGTATGGGCTCTGTCCCTTACCATGACAGTGCAAAAGGGCAGCCTACATAAAAGAGAATTTCCTGGGGTGCAGATGGCCTAGCAGTCTAGGCACCTCTCATATAGAGAGATCTCGTTGCAGTGGTCTCTGGTTGGATTTCCAGCCACAACCCTTTGTTTCATGTTTCCCCTGCTCTCTGCCCTTCTTACGTTTCCTGTCCCTCCTCAGCTGTTGGATCTAATAAGCAGAAAAGCCCTGAAATATAACTTGATAAAAACTGATGGAAACGTGGCTGCCAGTTTGCGCCTACGGCCTCTCCGACCACCAACACACAACACGCACATTCATACACCAGTGGAGGACACACACTGGGAGCAAGGTGGGTTACGTATCTTGCCCAAGGACACAATGGACAGACTAGGGATAGGGGAGGAATTGAACCAACAACCTTACAGTTATTGGAAGACCACTCTACCTCCTGAGCTACTGCCGCCCCAAAAACAGGATTTTCATACAGATACAGTGACACAAATTTAAACATACAAATATTATGTCACTTTTCTGATGCTAAAAACACACACTCTACCTTTAAATCAAACAAGTGGACTTATTTTGTATTTTTTAAGGAGGACTACCACATGAAAATGAGATAATCAGCTAATACTGCATATGTACATTAGGGCTCACCTTTCTTGCATCTGTTCAGAGGTAGCATTAGCTGGTATGTAGACACAACAGGCTTATTTCAAGTAAACAAAAACAAAGAAATCCTTATATCCTGGTAACTGTTTACAACTTTCAACATTTTGTTTTTATAACTTATTTCTATCAAGGCCATTCTGCTAGTTGTCACTAAGTACTACAAACTGTACCCAGAGCTGAAAAGCACCAGGCAAGGCACCCAGCTTTATTCCATCGCATGTTTCCCTAACTCCAACAACATGTACTCCTTTTTAGTAGTCTCCCATTATATCATTATTAATTACATCCATATGCCCTCACAAGAACCGGGGCCACGCATGGTTTCATTTATCAGTTGGCTGGTTCCTCATGGTAGCCATTTGTCTCCTCCGCCGTCTCTAGGGTGGCTGGTCACTGTTAATTTCCCCGACTATGATAACTGGCAAACACAGACGAGTTTAGAGTAACCCAAGGATCCCCAGTGTAAAGCCTGGCCCAGTCTGGTGTTGTTTCATATGTGTAAATTATAGCATCATTGAGAGACTCAAGCCTACATCTGTAGAACACCCTGACATGCGATGTGGTCGGCTGACTTGCTTTGCCTGTATTCCTTTTCCCACTTTTCTCATGCCGTCTCATTTTGCAGTGTAGTAAGGTTACCGTATTACACCCTCTCTCATATATATCCAGTCAAGACACATCACTCACTTGTTCGTGACATGATCTGTAATAGACACGAAAACTCACAGTGCACCCTCTGTTGTGGAAGATAAAGGGGAATTTTTGAGTAGTCTTTTGCGATGGATTGGAATGAACTCTACCGTGTTATTGCCACGTACAATTTTATATGCGGTCACATACACACACGTATTCACCAAGGGATACTAGTGTCACTCTCACACACTCACATTCTCAGTAGTGTAAACTTGGCAGGCTAGCGATGCTACCATCTGCTTGTGGGGAGAGGGATATGGCAGGCGGACAACCACAAACAGCCAAGGTAATAGTGATGGGTTCCACTCAGTCTCTATCTCCCAGACAGCAGTCGAGTCCTCATTCCACAGTGTTTGGACTTAATACAGCATGGGCCATGGCGTAACGACAAAGTGCTTCTCCAGTTGGCTGGCAGCTACTGTAACATTTTTTTAGACATTTACACAGTTTTGTGTAAACCAAACAGAATGTCTTATTCATACAGTTTTTGCCCATGTAAATCTTGGATCCAGTTTCCACTGGTACTTCCAGGTAGGGATTTTTTTAATAAATGCTAATTAAAGGAGAGTATTGGGTGTAGAGGATTTTTAGCTCCTGGAGACAAATAAAGTAAGAAACAGAAATACAGGGAGATATTTAACTCCAAGGTATAGCCAACACATTTATAGAAAAACAGAATAGCAGAAAAAAAAACAACAATGGAGTTTATGAGTTGGGTCCTCAACCAAATTAGTTAGACTCCACGCCAGAGTATAAAAAGCTTAGGCTGCAAATCCATTACCTGTGGCAGGGTTTTAATGGACACTTTGTTCATCAGGATTGGAGGCTGCAAAAACTCCTAATTGCACATTTTTTTTCAGATTCAAAACACAAAAACTTTAACATCTTTCGTAGAGCCACTAATAATACTTATTAAATCCGATTTTGAGTGATCACGTTAAAGTCAAAGGCAACTGTCCAACAGCGTGTTGCTTTGATCGCATACACAGTGAGGTGAAAATTCTCAAATAAATCATTACATTTCCTATATTAAATGATGGAGTCGATCAGCTAAACCATGGTAACCCCTGTGACCTCCCCTCAGTATAAGTGCTGGCTGAAGTTTGCACGTTTTTCTTCAGTTTCCAGAGCCAAACCATAAAGGCTAATTTCACCACATCGTCATCTTAGGTCAAAGTGGGATCTTTCACATAAGAACACATTTGAAGGTGCTGTGTGGAGGATTTGGCAGGCGGTATTCTTGTAGCTACTTGTAAGACATTCGACATTGAAGATTGTATTGCATTATGCTTTTTGCATAATGCAATACAATCAATATTGGCAGTGATCCACTTTGTCCATTCTTAATTATTCATCAGTTATGCATCAAATGCAGCAAGAAGAGGGAATAATTATGTTCACCAAGGAGGCAGACAACAAACATGAGTCACATTAGTTCACTTCACCAGGGATCCTTTTAAAAGCTGTCTTCTGCAACACAATGTACATCAGTACAAGAGAGGGCTCTTTAGTGACTAATCCAGGGGGACTTTTAACCAAAGTTTTGAGCTTTACTGAGCTTTACAGAGTTTTATATTCACCTCATTGTTTCACAGTCCGTCTGCAATTTTACAGGATCAGTTCACTCAGCTCCCTCAATGTTGCTTTGGCTGCAGAGGGTGGCTTTTTTTCTCTTAAGAAAAAGCTTTAAAATACCACCACACTCACAGCAAAGCACTGCACAGTAGATAGTATCAGAGAAGCAGCAGAGTATAGTAAAGCATGAGAGTAACACCAGCGCTTAAATAAGAACTACAGTATATCAGTGAACCAATGTGAGCTACATGTACTTTTATTGATTTCCATTTTATTAAAAAAAAAAAATTCTACAAATCTGCCCCAGAAATTTTCCTAAGGTTTTTCATACGTGTGTCATATCCACCCTAATGCTTGAGCTGAGGTTTATCGGTCATTTCCTGCAGTTTACAGGCAGAAATTTTACCAGGGAGCTGGAAGGAAGAAGTCCAACTTGAGGTGATAATTTCAGTTGTTTGCGATCAAACATGCAGCCCACATAGAAATGCATAAAAGCAGCAGTGGAAATAGGCCAGGTCATTATAAAGACAGTTTTTGGTGTGTCCCATTTGATCTTGAGAGTTGGACATTCCAAGATGACAGTCTGGTATGTCATCCCGCAGCCAGGCGTGCACCTTTTAATTGGAATTCCAGCTTGGTAACGTTGAAACTTGAGTTTCCTGAGCATCATATCCAAGATGGTTGCACTTTTTATGATGTTTATTTTCTCAACATAGTCTGTTTTTTTTTTGTTGTTGTTAATGAAATTGAACTCACCAACTGTAAAGTTCAGGTTCTACTTGTAGACACATTGTCGTGGTGCTTTCTCTTGCAGACTATCAAATAAATGTTGTTTTCACTTCATTTTGCTAACAGTGCTAAAAACTTGAAAAGTTAATGGCTAAACAACTGACCGACTTGTACCTGGAATGCGATTAACTCAAATGTAGTTACACCCCCAGCTCTGATATACAACTTCCATGGTTATTTAAGCCAGTTCCACTAGATAGGCCTTTTAGATATTGTACTCAGCCATAAAAAGCTGCAGAACACAAATCCGACAGGGGAAAGATCTGGAGGTAAAGGTTTAGCTGGAGCAGTTTGAACATTTAACGAGCATTTGTGTTAAGACATAATAACACTGTTGGATTTCAGCCGCATTGTTGATTGAGGTCTTGATATTACTTCACAAGACTGTGCAGTGAATATGTAGTAAATACCCAGCTACAGGTCAGGCAGTTTAACAGCAATCATCCATTCATACACTTTTTAAGGAGGAGCAGGCTTGGTTCAGTATGTTCTATAAGACTGCAGAAGCCAGGGCTCAGACCACCGACTGTCTGACAGATGAACCACCCACTCTACATTTCTACCTTTGAATTATCTCAGTACATGTGTATAGTATTACAAAATGTTGACAGATAAAATCCCTCAGCTTCATGTCAGATATTGCAAGTATGATACATTTTAATACTTGCATTTTAATTCAAGTGAAATACACTACTTCTAAAGCTGCCTTGCACGTCGATGTTAACACAGAGACTCTGGATAAAATTACTTGTGTGACACCAGTGTGGATAATGTAGCTGTGTATCAGCACATCTAAAGATGAATCTGAAACACAACAGTGCACATAGAGAGAAGATCAGATTCTTCTTTAAGATATCAAATTTAGCAAACTCCAATAAAGTTTACCTTCTCCTTGACCGCTGAGACACTTAAATCCAGCTCAATAATCTCAAATGCCACTACCAGCTCACGTCAAACCCACTGTATCACACGGCAGTGGAACATTGTAAAGATCGGAACAAGTCGTACGTATCACATGCTGAGAGATGCGTGCTCATCAGGAGGGTAAGGTTTCCTCTGCAGTGACTGTTTGTCAATAATTTCACTGTATATACCTCTGGAAAGTTTCTGCAAGACTTTTCTGCCCTCGTGGAAAACAATCATTGATGCAAATTTGTTTTGTTGTGGAGGCTCTGATTCAGTCCAAGATCGAGAGCAGTCCGGTTTCCTCAAAGCCCAAATTGAGCTTTTTTTCCTCCCAGAGGTCTGGGGATTAAAAACCAAAACTATTAAGTTCCTCGACTGAGAGCATTTCTGTTTTGCCCTCATGCGTCAACACTCCGATGGTTCCTATTTTCTTTTGATACATTGTTGGAGTGATGTCAAGCCTTCATAAGACTCGAGTCTGTGTGCTGAGCCACCTGAATGCTTGGTGGGCGCACTAAACCAGAAAGACCAAGTAGAACTTTCTCATCGGACTTATATTGAGAGGACACAGCTGAATACCTTTGATTGCGGTTGTCTGCTTTTGTATTTTAGCAGCATACTACTAGAACGCGCAGAAGGAGGCCGGGATGAGGTACAGTAAAACTAAATTTGGTGGGGAATGAGAGCGAGTAAAGCGTTGACTTCAGTTTGACTTTAACTTTACCTTTGGAGGGGTAAACAGACCAATGCTGGTCCCTGTAGGCCTGATCCAGTCTCTGGAGATTTATGATCCAAGCTACATTCAGACTAACAAAGGACACCATTATTCAAAGTGACAGATCAGGGGTTGGCACTTTAGTTATATTTCATGTGAATAAATAACTCTCCTTGGTGATACATACCATCTCATTACTTATCTACCGCTGCTGATGTCATTGCCACTGTCAACCACTCCAGCAGTCAAAGTAAGAGCTACAGGGGTTAAACAGTACCACGTTTTTCTCCAGGCCTGGATCGACTGCTCCTTGTCTGTTAACAGTAAAATAAGGAAAGCAAATGATCCATCATCAAGAAGCAGAGAAGCAGTGATTTATTCATGGCCGCCCAGTCCAGCCTGCACCAAATCATCCAGAACAGATGCCCTGATCCAGCTCGCTGGCATCTCAGCTCACCCTTCTCTCTCCAGCTCTGGAGTCTGGGAATCAGGGATGCTGTCACTCATCATCAACCAGTCAAGTGGGAAGCCAGAGCTTTATATGGATGGTGAAGTGGA